TTGCAGAACTTTTTCGGCCGGCGAGATCCGGGCTCTGCCGTTACATCCTGACAAAGAGGACCGGGAAAGAAAGTGCCGAGTCGATGGCGCCCTAAGAGTCAAGACGACAAACTTTCAGACCCGATATACCGCGAGATGCCGGAAAATTTAATGGACCCCTTGGGAAAAGTTCCCGCTTTCGAATCGCTCAAAATGGCGGCCTGGTAGTATCTACTTCAAATGCCATTAATCGTTGAAAGTAATATTAAAAGCTAACCGGTCTTTTTTTTCTTCATTGTTGCAGTCCTAGTTACACATCTTTTGTCATGAATGGAAGGAGGAATTTTATCTGACCCACTCCAAGTTCCGCAGCAAAGCGGGGGAGGAAAACTGCGGCGGGGATAATCGCATGACGAACGAAAATGTCGATATCGGCGATCGACGAGTAATTGGCACGAAACGGAACACCCCTCGGCAGCGGCGAAGCAGTGCGAAATTTATATGGATTTCCATAAATATGTACGAATTACCATAAATCGAGGTCGTTATCAGCAGCCTGCGCGGCTTCACGAGATCGCTCGGGAAACGACAATCCGCCGGCTGGCCGCGCCGAGAGCAAATGAAAACCCGCGAATTTTATGCAAATCACCGATATCGGCCGAACGCTTGTAATTACCTCGGTATCCGGGCGTTATTTGACGGGCCATTACCGTCCAATTTATTGTGTAATTCCGGGCAGAATATTCGAGGTGGTTTAGTCTCGTGAAAGAGGAACGACCTAAGGGACTTTCGCGAGCCGCGCGAATTCCGCATAACTCGTAATCCAGCAGCTCGGATTTCCGGTCCAATTATCGCGAACCCGGCGCGGCTCGGCCGCAGAATGTCCCTCGTACTTTGCTATTTAAGTTTTAAGCGATGTCGTAATAACATAGTCGTAGTGGTTAAGTGCCGTGCGTTAATTACTCGCGTTATGGGGCCGCGTCGAAATGACGATTCCGCGAGTCCGGGGCCTCCGGGTTGCGCACTTATCAGTCCGATAAAAAATGTTTGTTAAATTCGGCCCTTCCCGTCGGGTGGACAAACGTAACGCGCGACAATCGGGCAGATTATCCCCGGAATCCTCGTGAGAACGAGCACTTGGTCGCGCGTTTAAGGGGGCGCTCGCGCCTGCTTTAATGCACCGTGCACTGTTTACTCTTCTTACTAATGGCCGAGTTTAGTGAGATTGAAATTCGCCCCGGTCGGTCCGTAGGCGCGGAACTTCGGGCTCGGGGGAGCGAGGACGTTTCAACTTTGGGCCTCTTCGTAATTGCAGGGAGTTACACAGCCCGCGGCTGCCGGCCCGTCACCCAGCTTCGAGTCCGCTTTGGAAAACTTCGCCGAGGGAAGAGGAAAGTCCTGCCCGGGAGGACCCTAGGAGATATTGGAGTCCCAGGCGTCCAGGATCTTCTTCAATTTTGACCAGCACCGATTCTAGCCCGGTCGCCTGAAACGGTAAAGATTTGGATGGAAGGAAATAGACCTCACGGATGTGGATCTTCGATCGGAAGTCGGAATTTCATGTTTAGAGACCTCCTCCGGAATATCTCGGACGAGCGGTAAGTCCGCGGAACGGCGGAATCTTATGAATGCGAATCGCACAATCTGGTCTTCACGGCCGAGTGGCGGTGCATCTCGCAGAGTGATTCGCGACGAAAGGGGACATGTCTCGGTTTGTACAGGGCATTCTGCCGCGGGGAGGTGGAAAAGGGAAATATTTAAATAATTTCCATTGAGCGAAACCATGGATCGAGGGGGTAGGAGATACGCGCGTATGATTTATGTACAAGGAGCCCTGTTTAATTATTTTCTTAAATTTACAGGAACTCGAGTTGCCGCCACTTTGTCTTCGAAGTGCACAACCATCGATGGATATCTACATCCACCCCGGCACCGATACCCAGATCCTTCCCCTTGGAGTAAAAGCGCACGGCGAGGGGCAGGAAAGAGTAGCCGATAAAAGAGGGAGCCGACATTTATAATGTACAGGCTCCTTGGGAAGGTTCAGGCGTGCGTCTCGAAAGTTTTGCCGCCTTTGTCGAGATCGAAGAGGTTCCGCGGAAAGCCCTTCCCCATCTCGGGAGGAAATATCGTCAGGGCACCCCAGCCACCATCGAAAATCTCGAGAATCCAGACGTACCCTTCCAAAGGGCTGTTCACCCCTTTTCCGAGTTTCAAAAATCGCTCCGCTTCGAGGAACCGAATTCTCCGTCATTATTTAACGGTAATCGTCATTTTCACTCCGAATTGATACGTTATCGCCAATTACGAAGCGTTCCCCCTTCCTCTGCTTTCCGCCCCTCTCTGTTATCTCTTTCTCGCCCGCGAGTCGAAATCCGTCGAGGGAGGAAACGAGGTCTCGCGAGGGTTTCCCTGGGAAAACTTGGCCCAAGAATCTAATATGACGGTGGGTAGACGCACATTCTACGGATTTTCCTAGACGTGTACCTGACTTCTGTACGACCGACACGTACACGCGGAGTGGCGAGTGCGAGAGAGAGCGCAGTCGTGGCGGGGCCGAGGGACGGGCGGAGGGGGCGACACGGAGAGGGAGAGAGAGGGTTGCTATCTTAGCCACCACAAAGCAGTGATAACATTTTCCCTCCCTGTCAGGAGCATGGCAACCCTCCCGTGGGGTGCAGGTCGATATCCGGATAACGCCGCCCGTTACCTGGGCAACCTGGCAACCACGCCCCCGCAAACATGGCCGCCGGAGGGTGGACGAGGATACACAAGAGGTTCGAATTATCATAATATTGGTCATTGCCGTGGATGAGGTGAAATAGTTAGCCGGCGAAAAGTGTGTTCCGGAATTGAGATGCGCCCCCCCCTGCCCTCCACCCCGGCCACGGCCCCCTACCCCCGGGAAGCTACCCCGTGCTCATTGACGATCCACCCCGGATGCGGCGTATGAGCCCCGCGACGATTACCGCCGTATTGTCCTCCCTCGAGGTGTCCTTTATCGCTCTTCATCGCACGGCCTGCACCTCTCCGCCCTTGGTCTTTGCTGACTTTCGATTTACTCCCGTTGAAATACCGGTGGTTTGGGAGAAAAATCACCATCTCATCTACAGGGGGGTAATTGGTCGGATCCCATAGAAATTGCCATCCTGGAAGGTGCTCTCTAGGTGGACGTTTTAATTTTTTCCTAGATGTCCTTCGACGCGTTTTCTGAAACTTGTCCTCGGGGCGTCAGGTAAGGGATTTTTTGGGGAATTTTTAAGGGATGCTTTTAAGTAATACAGGACTTTTCTTAAATTCTTTTAGACCTCGTCGGAGTTGGGAGTGCCACTCGGTCACGGGATGGACGCATCAGGGACCCCTGGAAAGGAGCCGCGGCTTCGATTGGCGCCCGGACGAGCAGGCTCCCCTTCTTGTCTCCTACGGACATCTTTACAGCTCCCCGAATTGGCAGGGACCGTCTGCAGGAGTCAGCTGAAATTGAATGGAGCCCGAGTAGGAATCGCGGTCCATGGCCAGTTTCGCGGATCGAATCGATCGCCCCTTCCCCTTCGAGGCTCGCCCCGCCTTCGGGGTTCTCCTTCTTCGGTGGCCATCGGACGTGGCGTCTTCGCGGACCAAAATCCGTACCCTGGGGAGCGGAGCATCTCGTCGGAAGACAATTCGAAGCAATCTCAAGAAGAGTTCGAGTCCGCGTGCAGGGAGGAAATAACAATGACAAATGTAGCTTGGGCTAAATGTTAATATTTAGAGCTCGACGCCATTTTAACGACGCCCGAGTTCCAGGCATCGCCATCGCGGCCCTCCGCATAAAATATCCATGGCGGCTAAATATGAATATTTTAATTCCGACCGAAGGGGGTCCGCTCTTCAGGGCCCTCGTTACATCTCGATCCGTTGACGCCTTTCCGATGTAGATTGAATCTCGATCCCAATCGAGGTCTCATCGCCTCTGTATGCGTCTTCTCGCGCGTATGCACACCCTCTAATCGACTGTCAAGTGTGTGTGCCCTCGGAATGTAATATATCCCGCTACACACGTGGCACGCACGTGTCGCTAAGTGTTTGTTTCGGTTTGTATTGTCACCGCGTATATGAAGCCGTGGGGTATTTAAAGACGCGCCTTGTACTCTTGTTCGGTGTCTCTCTGATACCGGCCCCCGTGCAACCGCTGCATTTTGTCCTCGTGCAACGATGTGCCCCTCGACAATGGGGTAAATAATGTCTCCTAAGCGTCTCCAGGCTATGGGAAAGAAATTTAATAGCTGGTTACAATCGTTGCCACGTGGTCTATCAGCTGCATGCATTTTTACTTGAATTTAACGTTATAATTTTCTATTATTTAACTCAGATGCCGAATGCGCTGTCACAGAGACAATGTAATTTTCCCGCAGTTTATCGTGGCATCGAAATCACCAATGATTGAGTGAGTAAATTTACATGGGCATTTTTATCAGTGTAAGGTATTATCGGGAAATGTTATTCCATTCCCGGTAAAATTATTTTCCACTACATTAAAATGGATTTTTTTTTCCAGGGGACTAGGAGGACTGTTGATTGTTCTGCAGACGGGGGCTTGTCAACCTTTGACTGATTAGGATTGTCTCATTGGGACGGTCCTGCCATTGTTTCGATAGTTGGGAAAGTATCGCGCGTGAGAATACTCTAGGGTATTCCTATTTAACTCTGAAGATAGGGATCAAAGGGCGAAGGTACGCGAAGGGCTGGAGAGGAGCGTGGTAGCTCGTCACGATCGTGGAATGCAATATCGTCACCCCAAGCGACAAGAGTTGCCTTCGTATCGCCGATTACGATCTCAAGAGGGGGAGGGGCAGGATTAAAGTGCAATGAAAGCCCACTAATTTTAATGGCGACCTCGACGGGTACCACCTAAGCGGTTCCACTATTGGACGTGACCTAGCAAACGTCGATTCGCCTTTTAAGAATCTCGGATGAAGGGCTTGTCATAAAATGTTAATCCGTAAGACGCGGAAGGCAATTGCGATGCCGTTTGTCCTTAATTACTTTATTATTAATTATTATAAATCTACCACTTTGACACGTATATACTAGCGTCTACGGAAGTAAGTCTGTGAAGTGGTAGGTTACCCCGCCTACGACTAAACGTACATACATACACATTGCCCCGAAGTGAGCTTCGACGATGCGTTATCAGGAATCGATACGAAGCCGAGAGGAATTCGGGACTCGAGATATTTCATTCGCGAGCTCGAAAATAATGACGTTGCGCAGCAAGGCCGGAATTCGAGGTCGGATGGGGAGCGACCGGTAGGAGGTTTCTATCTTACAAAAGTCACGAAAATGATCCTCGATTATTGAGTGAACGGTTCAATTTTTCATTTCGGATTTACCTCGGGAACTCGATTTGCGAGGAATCGACGAATCGGATGTGGGGAATTTTTCAGCGGGGTGGCGCCCCGAAAATGGCGAATCCTCGTCTCGGGAATTCGCGTTATCCTCGTCTCCTTTTTCATACAAGTAGATCTCGCCCGACTACTCTAATCTACGTGATGCTTAAGTCTAAGCTCTGCGGAAAACACGAAGTTCCGGAAAGTACATACACGTCGATACACGGTTAGACCGTCAAAGAGCGCCCATCGATTCACGGTTCATTTTCGAATCCCGAGGACTATCCAGAAACTCGGTACTCCGTCTCTTATCGATGCGCGCTCTCCGATAAAATATACAATCTTCGCTTCTTTTAAATATACACATAGGTCTCTGCGCAGACAATACTAGCTCGCTAGACACTCGGCGATTTCGAGAAATTAAGGCTACCCGTAGAAACTCAAAAAAAAAAAAGAAAACTCCGTCAAGCCTAAATCGTAGGAAAAACAACGTGGTCGATTTTATCTCGATTTTTATCCGAAGAAAGAGTACAGATGTATCGGGTTGTTCCATACATTCAAAGAAGGGATATTTAAATGTATCGTTTTATATAAGCGGGCAATTATCAGGAATTCGGGAAAGAATTAATATGGAGCAACCTAGAACGCGTTCGCCATTCTCCGATTCGCGGTGACGTTGCCAGGAGATCCGCGAAAATTACGCGCGGTAATTCGAGCGTCGACACGTGCGGTAATTCAGAGCGGAATATTTCGAACAATCGGGGCTTAAAGTCCGCACCACTGTACGCAATGTTTAGCGACTGTCGAGCGACATTGTTACGTGGATGGGAAAAGTTAACGCCGAGGATACACAATCCGGTGTCTGACGCGGATCTCCGGGGAACGTCGGAATCCGCGACGCGCCCGTGAAATCGCACCGGCGCAAAAGACGACGCAAAGACGAGGGACTTTGTAGAGCCGAGCTTTGTTGGCAGAGGACTTTTCTCGAGATATCTGGCAAACATAGCGGAGCATAAACGCACGACTTGCAGCGTGTTTGCCGAACCTAGTAATACGCTACGGCACTGGATGTATATATACACCGGCCCCCGATCGTCGTCGACCCCCGTTCGATCGATCTCGATCGATCGACGGAGGCCCCGTGCGGTTGAATGAGAAAAAAAAAATAGGAGGAATCAAGTGCTATGTCAATGTTGACGCAAAAGCTGTATTTACAGGGGAGTATATAATCTTCATAAGCGACACACGCGCGCTAAACGACCCGCGGGGATCCTCCAGAATGTCGAGCGTTTCTCCGACCGAGCCGCGATTAACGTCCCGGAAATCAATCTCCACGTCGAATTAAATGTAAATCGTTAATCAGAGATGTTTAGGGAAGAGAAGCCTAAGTGGCAAATTTACAGGGGAGGAGTGTAGTAGGCTCTGTGCCTAAATTTAGCGATTGCGTTTGCCCCATTTCCGATTATTGCACGCTACCCCCTCGAACCTCTTTTTGGAAGAGTCATGGGGAAAGTCATCCCTCGGTTATGTCTTCTACATTCGGAGCAGGGCAAATGCAATTTTTGCCGGACAGGTTGGATTTTGCTCAATTTGAGAAAATGGCGGGGAGTCGGAGCATCCCCGCGGGTCGCCTCGAAGGACTCCTCGTCGACGTCGACGCTATTGCACTAAACTTTTTTTTTTTTTACAACGATGCGATTATTACTTATACAAATATCGCGACGTTAAGGCTTCGCCTCGGTCGAAACCAAAATTCGCACGCGTGAGAATTATCCGAGGATTCTAAGCCAAGACCCGCGAGACCCAGTGACATCCTCGCGAGGGTGTCAAATAATTCGAAAAGAGTGGATTTCATTTAAACTCTGCCTCGAGCTTAAAGATTATCTCTTCTTCGTGACTAGATGTCGGAGTGTAACGGTTCAACGAGATCGCCCAAGAAATTCGGATGTCACCGGTGTCACCTCCACCCCCAACCGAGGTATGGCAACGTGTACCTCCATACGCTAAAATCACCATCGCGACACGTGGAGGTGACAATAAAAATCTCAATAATCTCCTTCGTACAGTCATCCTTTGTGACCGACTTCGACGCACCAATTTCTAGATTCAAAGAAATGGATTTGCAATCGCAGCCACGTGGGTGTTCAGTTCAAGGCATGCAACGAGGCGGTCGAAATCATGAAATCATGAAATCTGGAAGTGTCCTCCATTCCCACCCTGCTGGAGGATGGGGATCCTCGGAAGGGACTTGGTCACGGTGCTGAGGAAGATCAAGGGATTCCGAGACAAGCCATCTCCGTGAGTACGAGACCAGATCCTTAAAGCAAAGGCGAGAACGCGGAGGCCTGACTCCTGATCTCGCGATGTTCCGCAGGACGCCTGAGATCCAGAAGACCCCCGATGGTCTGTTCGCTGGCGACCTGTTTGCCGATGAGAGCATCGATGCTGAAGCTGCGTTTCTTCACGACAACGGGCCCAGGAGAAGGGTGAGGATGTGGATGAGGGTGAGGTGGCACAGTACCTCTGGGAGGGGGCCCGATCTGACCCAGCGAGGGGGCGGCGATGGGCACGGGTTTGTAAAGGGGGGCAGGGGGCTCAAGGAACCCTCCCAGCTTCAGGGCCTCAAGGGCCCCAGGGGGGAAGTCGAGCAGGGGCAGACCAGGCGGGGGCGACAGGTAGGCTCCTGCCCCCGGGTACCCCATTCCCCCTGCGGGGCCCCCAGGGGGGCAGGTGCCCCTGTCGCCGCAAATCGCGAAGGTTGCCATGATGGCCCGATCTCGGAGAACGTAATGGGGCGGCGGTCGCTTGTAACGCTTCCTTCTCCTCAGGAAGCTGCCGTTGTCGAACATGTCCTCGGCCAGGGGGTCCAGGGTCCAGTAGTTCCCCTTCCCCGGGTTCCCCGGCTCCCGTGGGATCTTGATGAAGCAGTCGTTCAGCGAGAGGTTGTGCCTGATGGAGTTCTGCCAGGCTGGGAACTTGTCGTGGTAGTAGGGGAACCGCGACATGATGAACTCGCAGATGCCGCTCAGGGTCAGCTTCTTCTGGGGCGACTGCAGGATCGCCATGGTGATGAGCGCGATGTACGAGTAGGGGGGCTTAATCAGGGAGGAGGACATCTTTTCCGAGCCGTAGGTCGACGCCTGGCTGGACTTCTGGCTCGAGGAGGACATCGAGGAGTAGGTCTTCTTGTACCCTCGGTTGCGGTTCTGGCTGGGCACCGGGGAGCTGGGGATCACGGGGCTGCTCGACTGCGGGGAGAGCTCGTTCTTGTCCAGGCTCACCGGGTCCACGATCGTGCTGCTGCTGTCCGAGTCCCGGTCGCTGCTGTCCAGGCACCCGTCGCAGGACACGTTGGACATCATCATGGACTCCATGGTGAAACCGCGACGCTTGTCTCCCTCGGCCCACCCTCTTCAGCGAGAGAACTCACGAGACGATCCGATCTGACCTGACCTACCCTAACTTCATTTTCCGTCGCACTCGGCCCGTCGCCTTCGGCATCTTCCCTCTCGATCGGCTCCTGCGGGTCGAATGGCCTCCTCGAAACGATATCTCCTCCGGGAATCCCTCAAAGCTAAGCACGACCGACTCCACTCGACCTTCTCCGTCGGCGAGGGCACCGATGCAACTGTCGCTCGCCACTTATCTCCACTATCGGCTCGCGCTAATAGTTTGTTTCCTCAGTGATAAGGGACCTGTGAAGTTGCACGCGTGCACGTTCCACCCGGATCACCCGCGAGCTATTATCAGCCTCCGCAGTTTCCTAACTCCTTCGACTGCATGCACGAGGGACCTCTAAAAGATCCAAAGAAACGGTCCGATCAAACCGCTCCCGATTTTCAACCGATTAACGACCTCCTGCTGTTCTTCCAGGGCGTGGGACCTCGCAAGGAAGTCTTCCCAGTCACCGGCCCGAGTGCCCGACCTGAAACTTCACTACAGCCTCCTGTTCGCCATCACCAGCCTGCACCTCCGCCATCTTCTCGACGCATATCAGGTACTACGTGTCCTCTTCTTCCATGACCGTATCATCCCTCACGAGTGTAAGTAGAAACCACTGGAATTTACCCCGGAAGATCGAGAATTGCGGTCCATTCACATAACGAATTTTCGGCAGGTGCGGTCCTGGAGGCCCCCGCGTCCGGTCACTTCCAGCCTCGACGGGGATCGGCGGGATCTTCTTTTGACGGCGGTCCCTTCGCAGGAGTCGACTCTTCGGGGCGCTTCCGGTTCCTCCACCTGGCTCGTTTCCGGTCTCGTGCCAGGGTGGCGACCGTTCTCGCGCGACTCGGACTTGCGACTGGACCCTCTCTCTCCGCGACAAGCTGGAAAGCTTTCGAAAGTTCCCGCACGTACGGTTGACCCTGCGGGCTTCGCTTTGAAAACACACGAAATCACGTGACCTCCCACCGCGCTTTGTACAAGCGGTGTATACACGCGCACGCCACCCCCGCCCCCAGCGACTCGCGAATTGATCCGCGGGCCTCCCCCGACCGGGGGCGGTTCAAAGGGCGGGATTTCCGAGCCCCACGACGCGGGAGGGGCGCACTACCCGCGGTGGGGCTGCAGCCCCGCGGGGGTGGAGTTAGGAAAATAGCGAGATAGATAAAGGGGCTTTCCGCGGGCTGGGGGTGACATTGTTACACTCCGGGGGCTGCTTTGCTTTGAGCCCGGCCCTGAGAGGGAACCGTTTCCGCCGTGTCGACAAAAACAAGCGCTTCGCGAAATTGTCACCGGCACCGCCGGGGGTGGGTCTTCTTCTTCTTCTTCGGCCAGCGACGCGCACGCACTTCCGGCGAGACGAGAGTAGCTCCTGGGGATTCGTTCTTCGCTGGCCGAAGAGGATTCTCGGGGGCGGCGAAATCGAGGGGTGCTAGACATTTATTTTCTCGACCGGATCCGTCACTCGCCGATCTATGTATATCTCTTCTCAAGGAATCTTCTTCTCGGTGAATTTCTTGTCGACGGAAGGCGCTAAAAGGATTGACGAATTTTTCTTAAGGATTTTTTAGATTCAACCGAATATCTTCATGCCCAAGACCTTCGAATCCGCACCTTAGGGCGCGTCCAGGGTGCGTCGCGAGTCCTGAATCGAGCGGAGGGTGAACGAGACCGGTGGCCCAGTTTTCCGGGAAATGCTTTCTCTTCGCCCTCAATCCCTCTTCTTATTAATTCCCCGCTCCGCTCCTCCCTTTTCTAGGTGCACCCGGGAGGCATCCAAAAAGTCCAGGGATCTCGACGGCTTCTCCTCCAGGGTGAAGGAGCGAATTTTTCCGGCGAGTTCTCATTCGCGCCGGGAATTATCGCGCGAGGGGTATATATCCCAGGTACGTATAGGTGCGCGAGGCAAGTTAACATCCCCCAGGCATGTCAAATAGAATCTGCATTATGCCGCAGTTGTACACAGGGAGGCAGCCCAGGAAAGCTGTCAGGGTCGGCGTGTACGTGTCTGCCATCTACCATCCACCGTTCGCCATCTACCGCTCGACATCTACCTGGGTCCGGGCATGGATCACAGAGCCGGCAGAGAGAGCGAATATTATGTTTACCCGTACACACGGCACTGCGATGCAAATAATCCGGTATTATTGCACTTACTCCGCATCCCGCGGATGGAGCCTCTTGCCGATTCTTCTCTCGCCCTCCCAGGATCCGCCGAAACCGACGATACGAAATAATCGCAGATCCCCGTCAATTTCTCTTCTTCGATATCTCGGGACTAAACGGATTCACTATAAATGAAATAAGAAAAAAAAAAAAAAAATATCGATGGTACGAAATGCAATTTAGATTTTCGCCGATATCTGGGGACTATATGAATCCACCGTAAATGAAACGATACTTCTAAGTTAAAGGGAATTATTAAGCGCTGATAATTATTCTTCATTTATTTCCGCGAAATGATAATTATCACGGTGTGTGCTTCTTCTGGGCGCGAGAGGAGCGGTATAAATTAAATGACGTTAGTGATAATGTTTATGTAAATACGGTCGATGGGGAGATATGGAGAATGTAAGTTCGGTTTCTGAAAATATTCGGGAGCGTTTAATCGACGGGGTGGGAGATCGGGGGGTGGTGTCGATATCGGGGATTGCAGATGTACCGCCAATATTCGATCGATTCCCCATCGGCCGGAAAACAGGGGTAAGGTGCTTAGGCGGACCTCTCCCATTCGAGCCCCGGCGGATTGCGGATTCCACGAGTTCCTACATTCGGGTCGATCTCCTATCTTGTGCCTTGGGTTACCTCGGGACTTGTCTCCGCATTCTCCCGGGGAATGGCGAGAGAAATCCGCGAAATAGGCTCCGATTGACCGATCGTAATTTCAGGGGGGTGAAACCTCCTTTCCGCCTACTAATTTCTCTCCCCTTTTTCAGATAACCTCGTTTACGGAATTAATTACCGAAAAGACGAGGCTGGACGATTCACTTTCGGGAAAGTCACGCGGATTACGCGGCCATCTTGGATGTTGGTAAATATTCCGCCCCCGCAAGAGGGTGGAAACGGGACGAGCGGAGCAAAGTCAAGAGAGCTCCTCCAGGGTTGGAAAAGGACGAGAAAGGATGAACCGAGCACACTGGAGAGGAGTTATCGATAACTTTTTAACCGCGAATAATCCTTGGGTATGGTATTTTTAAAGTAGCCTTTTCTAAACGAAACCACGCAAAGGTAACGCATGTTCGAGTTGAGATAATTAATCAATTTTAGGGGTGGAAGAATATTTCTATCCTTCTTATCAAGCCGGGATCGATCGATAGGATCTCGATAAAGCGAGAGGAACGGCTTCTCGTCGCCTTTCGAAAGAGCTCCGCGGATTAGGCGGCCATCTTGGATGTTGGTAAATATCGGAGTAAAAAGAGCTGCCGGGCGAGGGTCGCAAGGAAGACGGGGACGGTGCTCGTAAAAGGGTTCGGAAGCTGGCGAGGTATCGCCCAAGGGTGCCCGGGGGTGCGGGGAGCCGGTGGACTAAAAAGTGAACAAGTGTGAAGAGGTATTTAGTAAGGCGGTCGCACTCGCCACAAAGAATACTGTCGGCTTTGCACCTTTTTCGAGACGCTGCTTTCTCCTTCCGCTCTTTCTCCCCGTTTCATCCCCCGCTTTCACCCCGGGCAAGTCTTACCCACACACCCGAGAGCCCTCTTTCTCTTTTGCCGTCCCTCTGTACAGCCGGCGAGCTTTTCTCCTCGGCGCCTTCCTTGCCTTTGGCGCTGGAAGAAACCACTTTTTCATTATACCACTGCTTCTTTCGAGAAATCGAAGGAAAAAAAGGAGATCCGCCCGGCGGATTCCGCGGCGGTGAACGCCCCAATTATTTCTACACCCCGGATGGCAGCTCTCGTCCCCGATTACGTGCGACCCTTTGCACGAGGTATATCCCTTTCCTTTATATCGAGATAATATTAAATAGCTAGCGCCTAATTTTTGGAAACCTAATTGCTTCTTTATGCTTTCAGATAGGAGGGCGATTCGTCTCGTAGCTGTTCCGGAGAGTTTGCGGAGAGTCGAAAGGGGCGAGCGTGTATTCGGCCGGAATCGATTGGACCCTCGATGATGAATTTAAATCGCTTAGTGGGAATTATAAGGTGATCCTTTTCGATGGCGAAGCACTTATCCTCGAAGAGGTCCTCGAGGAACCGCCCGCCCTCTTGTTTCCCCGAGACTGCAGATTCTCTCGAGGTTTTGGGTCAAAACGAGCCACTAGCCGCGGGACTCATCGATATTAAAATATGCGCGGGGCGCGACTATATTAATAATTTTATTTCGCACTCGGTAACACTCGAGGGCCGAGGGGACGGCCCATCTGAAATTCAATGGGATGCTAAACGAGGCACCCCCGTGGAGAACGCACGAGCAGGATCCAAGGAGTTGCCGGAGGAGCGGCAAACACTCGGCGGTTTTATCAGGCTTATGAAATATTGATAAGAACCAGAGGACTCCGTGGTTTCGGTAATTCACTCGTCAACAGAGTTTCGGGGGGTCGGTTCGATTGCAAATTATTAATTGCCAATTAACGCTGTTTCAGGGCAGGAGATTTCTTCCACCCCTTCATTGTCATCGGTCGACCGGAATGAACGAAACTGACGAAGTCGAAATTTCCTGCGTACTCTCGAGCTCACCTGAGGCTGCACCTCGAGACAGGTGCACCAACCTCCCCCGCGTTTCGACGAAACGGCGGATTACATATCTGTCCCAGGCAAGGGGGGTGTCGCTCGTCGCGGAGGAAAATGCGGGGGCAAGTGCTCGTCTGCATTTAGCGGGCACAAAGTCTCGCGGGGTGGCGCACCCCCGAGACCGAAAGGAAGGGAAAAAGACGAGATCGACTCGACTCGGCCCTCAGAGGTTTCGGGGCTCGCTCACCGGCGTCTATTCTGACCCTGCACGTGTACATACGGTCGCAAGTACTCCTATGTACCCCACGTACACCCATGCCCCGTAGTTCCTCGATTGCGAGTGTACTCGCTGGTGTACGCGTGAGTATACTCACGCGTTCCTACTCACCGATACCCTCGCAAGGGAGTATACTCGCGAGTGCACTCGCAAGTACCGAGCGAGTACTTTCAGGGGCGAATCCAGCAAGGACTCGGCGAAGGGAAGGAAAAGCGTCGGTGCGGGGCCGGCCCTCGGATTACGAGGAGAGTGGGCCGGCACTCGGGCGAGATGCAAGTTTGAAAGGCCACGAGAAATGTTTATAATTGGGATTGTTGGCCCATTGTTCGAGCCTTTGATATTTCTGAGGGTACCGCGCTGAAAAGAACCTGCCGGTCTCCTACTCGTCTAAGTGAGCCCGGCTCACAATGCCCGAGTAATAATACGTGCATTACGCGCCCGTGCACCCCGGAAGTGCGTGCGCCCCGCTTCCGGGGTGGAGGTCCTCGGTTCCGATATATATTCCACGGGTTCCTAAAATGGTCACACCGGGGCAACTCGAAGTAACCCGCAACCCATGAACTCACTCTTTTCCTTTACGCTTCCCATATTTTTAATTTCCTAAATATTAATCACAAGTAGAGATTTTCGGTGGTGTAATCATTTTCGCGTTTCGTTCCCACTGGTCCCTCTAAAAAGGAAAAAAAGAAACAATAGGGAAGATCTAGTACTCTTTGACGTTTGTATGTTATCCCATGGATTTGTACAAGACACGTGGATTGCACCGATCAATCTTTTTTTTCTTTTTTCTTTCTCGCGTTTCTGATGAATTCATCGTCTCTCCGTTCATCCGAGGACCTCGATGTTGATTCGGAAGCGGGCGGGGGAGGATTTGTTAGCCCGAAGTGCGCGAAACCCGCGAAATGCGCGAAATCCCGGCGGAGGCTCCGCATTGTTTCCTTGTTTGCGAGGTGTTTCGAGTGGTCCCACCGAGTGGCGACTGCGCCCATTGTGCCGCCAAGTCGCGGCACCGGTTCAACAAAGACCGCGATCTAATGCTCTTTTATTGTGCATTGTGTCGCGGCCAAATCAAGGAGCAGGGGGTGCTCCTTCTGCCCCCGCCCCGACCGCACCCCTCGAGGTACGACCCCACCGCGACTCGAGTACCACCACCGAGGTTAAACGCGTCTACGTCCCAAAGGGTTACAGGGACTACACGTAAAAGTAACGATACCGCATAATTTGTAATCTACAAGTCGATTTAGTATTGGAATTATACTCCGGATTAAAAAAAAAAATTCATATCTTCTTCAGGCTTGGAGTCATCAGTGATCGAAGGGACGTCGGCGTCAAGGTGGCAACTCCTGGTCCCAATTCCCCACCCTGGACCCTAAGTGGCCTGAAACCAATTACATTACGCATGTACAGAGGTATCGAGGGGTAGAGGTACTCGCGAGGACCCTGAAGAGAGCCCCACAAAAGCGGCTCCACAATGGTGGTGGAACATTTTCCCGCGCTTCAGTATCAATCAAACCTTTTATTCACACACGTTACAATTACTTTCATACAGCCCCGAGATTGCAACTTCGCCGAGTGCCGAGTGCCGTGGCGAGAGGAACCTGCCCATCCTGAGGAGCACGGCGAAGAGTCGGGTCGAACCCGCGAAGAAGAGAGCTCGTCAGGTCCAGAGATGTACATTTTGGTCTGCGACCGCAGGGGGTTCGAGGTGGCTCGAGGGCTGCTTCTTATGAGCTGAGTAATTCCTATTTTATCGATTTAGATCAATGACCCTGGATTAATTTCCACCGTCGACCGTTATTATTACTCATCTCGATGCCCGGCAGGACTGTATCACCAAATTGGAAGGGCCGACCAAACGCAGCGTCCTCCGATTCGGCGCCGACCCGATGACCGACTCTGGACCGGATAGGAAGTCGTCGAGGGCTCTGAAACACTCACTCGGTAAAAAGCCGCCTCCGAGCGTGGCGTTATAAATAGCGTTTTATCTTTCGAGACGTAGGAGGCACCTGGGAGGCGCAGCGACCGCGATGACACCTCGCAGGGGCTTCGCGCGCCGCAGATGGGAAGCCGTTCCCCAGGGCGGAACGGTTGTTAAATATTTTCCTAATTTTTCTTGGATGGTTACAAATGTCGCCGCACTTCCTAGGGGCCTCCGCGGCGCTATGTTTTACTTATCGCGTACATTGAAATTATCCTAGATATCGGACACGCGCTCGCACGATTGAGTTGCGAGTGGCGGACCGCAGGATCGCATCCGGAGGGTTTCGCCGGATGCAAACCCTCCGGATAAGTCGGTAGAAAGTTCCTCTATACACACACACGCAGGCACGCACCCACGCACGTCAAGATTGCATTATGCGACGTATCAAAGAAAATCAAGGTGACGAAAATCGCCAGAGCCCTCCCTGCTCCACCTCTTCGAGGCTCATCGTCGCGACTTCTTACAAGTGGAAAAATCATAGTACATCGAATCAAGTGGTCTGTACAAACGCAACGATTCTCGGCGAAAACGCGAAGCCCATCGTTCTCTCTTCCACCGGGACGTCAAGGATGCTCCCATGCAGGGTGGGGAAAAATCTTCCCATACAAAGTCTGATCTCGAAGCGTCCAGGAATTTTCCTCCGCGTCCTGTTCCTCTAGCGGAGATGACCTAATGCCAACTGCGGAACTAACCGCTAACAGCCACGTTAAACCTCGTTTACATAAAAATGCTACACGGTTTGGTATCTTGCATCGGAGTGGTCGCGTCTAAGATGATCGGACGAGGTCGAAAATTTCACGAGTCTATCGCTGACATCGCGATTATACGTGGCATGGGATGGTGCGTCGAATGCAATGGTTCTGTACAGACGGGAGAACGTTGGACCGCTACTCCGAGGATCGACAGTCGTCATCCTGGAGATGCCACGTGGTCTGGTATCTCCGGGGAGGTCGTTTGAATTTTTTCCTCGAAGATTTCCGCACTCTTCGAGTACAGGTCAGCCTGATCGCGGTCGAACGGTGCCTTGCAAAGACGATACACTAAGCGTTGACCGAGGTCAGCGTCGGCAAGGCGAAGCTGGAAAATGGAGTAGAAAGGGAAAGCACGGTCTCGAGTTAACTTACGGACTTTAGAAATACTTGCGCGAGGGTTTGGACAATAAAGGCGAAGGAACGATGCCGTGTCGTTAGGCCTGATTTGCAAAGCACCGTTCGCCTTCATCGGAGATGCAACGTGGTCTCCGGTTGAACGTTTCCTCAGGGTCTTCTTCGGCATCCGATCTGCAAAAATCCTCACAGCGTAAAGAATCAAGGACGACTAGAAGTCCCAGGCGGTCCTCTTCAAGGTCTCCACCTGACCCGCGCGTGGTCGCGCTCTCCGGAGCGCAGCTCCGTACATCAGTTGAAGAAGTCGTCGTCGTCGAAGGGGTCGTTCTTCCTGGCGAAGATGTTTACGGACTCCGACTTCTTGATGTACTGCTCGGCTTTGATTTTATTGTTGGGGCACTTGGCCTTGTTGTTGGGCTTCTTCAGGGGGAGAGTGGTGGCCCTGTCGGGGACGTTGTCCTCGAGCTCGGCCTTAAAGGCGAAGGAGTCTTCCTCGAACCTGGAGTCGCCATTGAAAAAGGAGTCCCGGCCGTCTCTGGAGGAGAAGGCATCGCCGGTGGGTTCCTTGGTCCTGGGGAAGTCTTCTGGGCTGGGCTCGGGGTCGGTTCCATGGGCCTTCTGTCGCTCGGGGGGGTCGGCGGGGGCGGGGGGCAGCTCGTCCTCGAAATACCCGGTCCTCTTGCAGGGCCTTTGCTCGCGCCTCTGGGCCTGCTCCTTCGGGCCCCGAGGGGTGGAGGTCGCAGGGCCCTGCTTGAGCTCGAGCTCACCGGGGCCCGCGAAAGGGTCCGGCGAGGCCTGCTCGGGGCCCCGCGGGAACTCGGCCTCGAAGGGCGACCCCTGCTTCGGTATTTGGGCCCCGGGAGGGGCCTTGTGCCTGGTGAGTCTTCGACGATGCAGAGTCTCGGCCTTGGCGGGGCCCGGGCCCTCGGACCAGTAAGGCCTCTCGGGCCAGCCGTCGAACTCCTGGTCGCTGCCCCAGTACCTCTCCCTGCTCCTCGACCTGTGGTGGATCCGGTGGTAGGGGTCGGAGTCGTTGTCGCTGCACTCCGACCTGGAGACCTCGTACTTGGACCGGGGGTCCGCGTAGACGTGCTCCGACATCCTGAAGTCGGTCGCGCTGATGGGCCTCTTGGGCCAGTGTCGCTTGCGCGTCGCGTATTTCGGGGAGTCCTCCGTCATTTCGGGGCCGTACTCCTCGTCCGGCCACCCACCACCCGGGGGATAGTCTGCCGAAGGTCGGTCCCTGCCGTCTCGACAGTGGGGCATCTCGTATTTTCGATACGAGTCCCGGTAGGGGTAGGGCTCCCCGTCCGGGGCCCTTCTGGCCCAGAAGCGCCCCATCTCGTACTCCCTCCGGGACCACCTCTCCTCGTCGTCGTAGCCGGTGCTCTCTTCACTGCTGAACCTGTCCCTGTCTCTGTCTCTGTCCCTGTCTCGATCTCGATCTCGATCTCGGTCTCTCTCCCTGGGCCTTGGGTCCCTCGAGTCCCTCGAATCCCTAGAATCTCTAGGATCCCTGGAGTCCCTAGGGTCTCTAGGGTCTCTAGGGTCCCTAGACTCCCACTCCTCCTCGTTCCACATCATGGTCCTCCACTTGCTCCGCTCTTCCTCGTACGAAGGAACGTGCTCATGGGGCCAGAACCCGTCCCGCTCCCCGTTCCAGGCCCTCGGCCTGGGCCTGCACTTCCAGTGCATGCTCTTGTACTCCTCCTCGTCCTTGTAAGGCCCCTTCGGGTGCAGGTGCCTCCTGTGCTGCTCCTCTTCCCACCTGACCTCGTCGTGCCACGGCGATACATCTCTGGGCCTGTGGCCTCCGGCTTTCGACCAGGGTGCTCCTCTACATTTCCGGCCAGACCTCTCCCTGAAGCACCTCTCCTTTTCCCCAGATCCCATGGGACCGTCCTCGTAGAAGAGCTTCTCCTCGAAATTTTCCTCGAACCTTAGCTGCTTCGACGCCCAGTAGCTCGGCTCGTCCTGGACCCTGCCGTTGCTCTCCTCGCTCTCCTCCTCGTCCTTCCACTCGCTGTCGCTGTCTCCGGAGTGCCGGTGCGTGCTGGACTTGAAGGACCCGTCCTTGTGGAACTCCTTCGCTTCCGGCAGCCATGGCGAGGTACCTGAAAATGTCAGGATATCAACGCTCTGCGACTCGGGTGAGACGTTATCGAGATATGACTTTATGAAATGGATTTTTGAAATATGTGGATGCTTTCCGATTTACCCGGTGATACGACGACTAGCTAACGAATTTCGAGTTTTTTCTCCGTCAAGGCCTACCTCCGACGGATCCAGGACCCTCTCCGGATGACCTGTCGGAGTGGAACGCGTTGCTGTCGAACTTGGCCCAGCCGACGTCCTCCTTGCAGCACTCTCTCTCGTTCCTGGTGTCCGAAAATGGGGAAAACACGTCCTCGAACCCTGAAGACGGGGATTTGTTCCCGCGGGAGCGCTGCGAGCTCGTGTTCAGCATCTTAAACTCCTCGAAGATGTCCATCGTCCCGCTCTTCGGGGTCTCCTCCTTGCTCGGCTTCTTCGGCTCGGTGGGAGCCGGAAAAGGATTCGAGAACAGACTCATCAGGTCGACGTCAGTCACCGTCTTCGAGACCTCCACCTGCGGCACGGCAGCTTCCTCCTCGGGTTTGGGGGCGAATTGTTCGGTCTCCTCGATGATCTCCCTCAGGGCAGCGTAACGGTCGCTGGAGGTCGACGTCGAGGTCTTCACCTCCGTCTTCTCGACCACCGTCCGACTCTCTTCTTCGGCTTTCCCGCTGAATGACTCGGTATCCGCGACTTCGTCGCCTCTTCTAGGTGACGTTTCCACCTGCTCGACCCCCTCTTCGCTCTTCTTCGGCGTCTCTTCAGCTTTTTCGAGGCTGCTCGACCTGTCGGCTTCAGGGTCCGATTCCCTCGACATGCGCCTGACGGTCTTCTCGTCCTCGGTGCTGACTTCCTCGTCCACGGCTTTACTTTCCTCCGCCGCGACGTCCGACTCCGTGGACAGGGACTTCTCGACCTTGGACTCGCGCCTTGAAGAACTCTCCCCAAGAGGGGGCAATTTCACGGTCAAGTTCGCTAATGACGCGATCGTCTCCGTCGAGGCTTCCTTGGGACTCGGGGCCGTCTCTTCTGGCTCCTCCGGTTGCTGCTCATCGGCAACCTCTTCACTCTCCTCTTCCACCTTCGAGTTCTCCTTCAGCTGCTCCAGCTCCAGCCACTCCCGGAACACCGCGTACTTGTCGTAGGTGGTGCTCTCCGATTGTTTCGACTCCTTCTCGAAGCTCGTCGCGAAGAGAGGCTCGCTGGACACGAAGGACGTCTCCACGACCTTTGAACTAGGCTGCGTCTTAGAGTTCGTCTTCAGGTCCGACGTTGAAGAAGAGTCCGAAGCTGCGCCCCTGGTTGCGTCCTTTGCCGACTCCATGGTGTTTTCCTTAGAAGAGAGAGACGCCAGGCATTCCGTTAATTGCTGCAGAGTCAAACTCGTTAACTCGGAGACTGTCATGTCCAGACTAGCTGCCAACTCTGCCAGGTTGGCGGATGTCAACTGACTCAGCGTGATGTCGAGGGAGGGCTTCGTCTTCTTGGTACTCGTGGGGGTCGCCGAGGACTGGAAGAGCGAGGACAGAGTCGACGGCGCCATCGACTCGAAGGAGTCCTCGAACTTGGCCATGGGGAAGCTGGCGACGACCTCGGACCTCTTTGGGAGGTGGGGAGGTGGCGAGGGGCTGAAGTCGTCGTCGAATCGATTTTTTATATCCTTGGCCGGGCTCTTTACGGACTCCTTCCTGGTCGGGGACGGCGAAGTTTCGTCTCGTCCTAGGAAGTCGTAATGGAAGTGCCCCTCGGTGTGTGGAGGCCTCGGAGGTGGTTTCATGGAACCCCTGCAACTCTGCTTCTTCGGGGGCAGGGGTGGTGGGTTTATTAATATACTTCCAGTACCCCTAGGAGGTGGTTCCGGCACGTTGTCCAGCTCGGCGCTGGAACTTGACAATCTGAAAAAAATCCACAAACATGTTACCACGCTTAAACAAGATGTATGCAGAAATTAACTCCAAGGACCCATGACGAGTTCATTGCTGACCTGGAGTTCGCATCCGAAGAACAGGACCTCAACGGAGAAGCCGGTGAGTCGTTGCTCAGCGAAAAATCGACTGGGAATGATTTTTCTAAAGGTTTATTTCCCGGCAGGTCGACGGCGACGTCTCGTCTCAGAAGAGAATTCGCGGACTGCAAGTACTTCTTCGGGCTGGGCAACTTGACCAGGGCTTGCACCGCTTCCGAGGCGTCTTTGTCGCCATCCTTCTCCGTTTTGGTCGTCGTCGACGTCTCGTTCTTCGAGGAACTCTTCTGCGGAGTGCTGTTCTCAGGTGGCAGAGAAACGGACAGCGGTTGGCCATGAATCGTCCTAGAGCCGGAGTCCCTCTTCGGCTTCGGCGACTCTGCCTTCTTCAACGTCTCGATGTCCTTGTCGCTAAAGTCATCGCCAAAACTGTCATCCTCGAAGCGTCCGAAATTCTTCGAGAGGACGTTGTTCTGCGTCTTGATCGAATCCTTGGACTCGGAGGATTCCATCAGCGTCATGGAACACGCTTCCTCCGAGGCCGTTACGAAGTCCTTCAGGACCTTCTTGGGGGGGTTCTTCAGGTGCTGAAAGAAGTCCTTCTTGTCCACGTAGGGTTTGATCAGTCCCGTCCCCAGAGGATCCAGCTCGGTGAAGACGTCGATCTGAGGACTCTTGACGAGCGCCGATGCGTTCGCCGAATCCTTGTCCTTTTCCGAAGTTACGTGATTGGCCAGTCTCGACAACTCGTCCTCGGTGAACAAATTCTCCGTTTCTTTGTCAAACCAGTGAATTGGATCCTGAAGAGGTGGCGTTTTGCTGGAGGCAGGTGCGGCCGCACCGGAAGTCGCCAACGAGGACGGACCCGAAACTGTCGGTCGGTTTTCAAAGTAACACCTTCTTGAAGATGAAGGTGGAGGTGGCAAAATCGGTCTGATGGATTCCTTTACCTTTGAACGTTAGACATTTTTTAAATGCAACATTATTATCATTCTTCGTTTATAGGGGAAAGGAAATCGTCAGTGTCTCACCTTGATACTGGTAAAGGAGTCACCAAAGGGATCGCTGTCGAAAGGATCTTCCGAAGATGGTCTGGGATTATCCGGAGTGATCTTGTCCATCTGATGAATGCCCTGCTGCAGCGAATTCAGCTCGAACTGTAAATCCAGAAGATCAGCGATCACTCCGCTTTGCGTTTCCTGTTTCCTCGAGGATTTCTCGGCCTCCGAGCTTGCAGCCCTTGATCGATGCAGAGCAACCTCGCTCCCCGCCGCACCCTGTCGAATATATTCCCAATAGATCTGTGATAGATTCACCGATTACCTAAAAATAAAATAATCATCCACCTACCTTCGTGTCCGGTGAGGGTGCGAAGAAAACATTGCTCTGAAACTTCACGGCACTATGCTCTATATGCTGTTTCGCCAGTTCGATTTCCTTCTTCTTGAGCTCGAACACCACTTGGAACAGGTCACGCATTGCAATCACCACCTAATCAATGAAAAAAAAAAAAAGATAATCATTCCTTATCTTTCCTTGCAGCGTGGTAGAATATAGAAGATGAAAATTGAAGTCAACCCGCAGCGCGTCCAGAGCTTTTTTCACACTTTTCGAAACGGACGACTAACACGGCTCATTTGGAGATAACGTCGCACCTGACTAGCAGCCTTATCAGTCTTGATTCCGAAAAATCGATGTCCAGTGTCCGGCGATCCAAAGATGTAGCCGAAAGCCCTCGAATCGCTCATGTCTTGCGCAATGAACGATATCTTGTGAACCGGATGGTGGTATACGGAATCCTGAAAAGATGGTTAATCTCAGCGTTGCAGAAATGATGACCGAAAATGAAAGCAGGTATAAAAGTAATTCGTTCATGAAGTGCAAAATGCTTGACAGCGATTACCCCAGTTTTCTCATCTCTGAGTCGAAGTCCATCGATGCTGACTTGGACGGCGATTCGCTGCTTGTGTTCCCCAGCCGCGCGAATCGCCATCTTCAGGTCTGCCAAGGCTTCCTGGCACATCCGGTCCCCTCGAGCTTCCGACACCTCGAGGATCCCGATGAGCTTCGCCTTGAACGAGACGCCCTCCCCGAGGAATCGGGTTGGCTCGTTCTTGACTGGGGACCAATGAATAAATTAATAATAACTCGTTGTAAGGAAAGGAACAACGTGCATGCAGGTCGTTCGAGTCCATCGAGGCGTTCTCGGGCGGAATTAATGGATAAACGCAAAATTCACCAGCACCTCGAGCCTGTCCACGATACCTCGCCCTATGTGGTCCCCTCCAGGGGCAGCTCGCTTTAAGACCAATCGCGTTAACAGGATGGCCAAATCGAATCCGATATCGCGGGGGGTCGAGCGATATACCACCGATAGGGCTAAAAGAATTATCTTTCAATTGGAACCGGATCGCCTAAGTGATTTAAATAACGATTGGGTAAAATTCAGGTTTAAGGGACTCGACGAAGGCGTTAGTTCCAAGCATTTGGTGCACCCTCGATTCATAGGGCTCGACGTATTGGCCGTCGATCGGGCAAACTATTCTTGGATGAAGAGGGAATGCCTCTTGAAAGAACTCCAAGCGGCACTAACGATGGAACCGTGAAACCATACGAGCATTCGTTCGAATGTGCCCGTACGCTCGAGTGGAGAACGCCAACTGTCGACACTCGACGATCTACGCTCCGCGGGATGGAACTGCACAGAATGGCCGAATTCTCCCTCCGGGGAGAGTTCCACCCCGAGTTCTTTGAAGCTTCATTCTCCTCGGCATTCCTCGTCCAGACAGACTGCGAACGATTCAGTCGATTCGCCTCTGTCGGTCGAACTACACATACCGTTCCTGCATCTCGATCTCTAGTTCCTTGCGAGAACCGCTACGGTGCCTCGGAAAACTCAGTAGAAGAGGTTCGCGTCAGTCAGCCATCGAGTGCCGTATATACGTGAGAGAAGAGTACATCGTCGACAGATATCGTATGTATTCATTCTGGGCTACATTAAATGGGGTATAGCGGGTAGAGCATTCTCACGTAAAATACCAGACACCGCTGACAAACAATTTCGCTTTTTTTCCCGAACAATTTATCCATAGCGCCCGACCGGCGAATACTTATCCACTCCGGCGTCCACGATTCGAAACTCCCGTTAAACGTTTTTACTCACACCCATGAACAGTTCATTAAACAAAATAAACCATACCGCGTTCTTGCATCCATCGATTTTCCGCGATATCCAATTAATTGATATCCTTTCAGATTAAGAAAGAAGTCGAGTGGCGAAGCCGCGCCCGTGGTGCCACCTGTCCCGGCGCGCTTGCACTCGCTACCCAGTGCCATCGGTAAGGCAGGTTCCCGGGGAACCGTCCCTTATAAACAAATTAAACGTACCGGACGACGAGGAAACCCTCCATCCCTCGTGGAAAACACAGGGTCTGTAGAGCTGACATTAGGGACGACCCACGCAATTCCTGCACCGAGTTACGAAACGTCAAGCCCCAACCTGTCAATCCCTGACACCTAACACCCTCCTCTCTCTCTCTCTCTCGGCCCTCCTTGTTCATGTCCCATCAAGGGTGTCCCGCGCCCCGCCGGCAAAAAAAACCCTCTCGCGGAGTTCCTCGCCCCTCCGATACGGCGGAAGGGTCTAGAACCCCCTGGATCCCTTTTTTCAGCTCCCGGAATTCTACTCACACTTGCAGGGGCTGTTCTTCTTCCGTAGGTTCTGCATGAGGACTCCGGCGTGGGCGCTGATCGAGAGCAGTTTCGAGCAGTGGTCGGTCCGTAGGGTGGCTCAGCGAGGGCGCATTCCCGAGGCCGCCGCTGCCGTCTCCACTTGGCGCTTGCACGCGCCGGGGTTCCCTTCCATTTGCGGGAGGGCGTTCCGCTCTCCGGCGTTCGCCAGCTGTCACCAGCGCGCACGACCGTGCACCACCGCCCACCGGGAGTCGACCGGGTTGCTCGACGCTCGCGGAGAGATGCGCCGACCGCGGCGATCGCGCGAGCCTTCGGGGGCGGCGGGGATGGCGGTCGCCCCTACCGGCACCGCGAGCCGTGCGAGCCTCCCTCGCTGATCAATAATACACTTCTGGTACGCCGAACGGCGTCGCTCCGGGTTTCCCGCGCAACTTTCGTCAAGGGTGGGCCCCGCGAGCTGAACGAACTGGCGCAAAAAGCTCAGAAAAGGGCAAAAACGCGGAAAACGCGAAAGGATGTATAACGGGGTGGCATTGGAAAATCGGACGATTCGCAATCGTGGTATATGACAGAGCAACGCTACTTATTCTACATTCGGGAGCGATGAACGTGCCACGAGGTTCCTTTTGAATTGTCTTATTAATAAATTAAATATCACTGAACACTTATGGCTAGACAAATCGATTAGAAAATCGTCCAGTACTCGTTATCGCTGACCTCGCGGCTGGGCCCGGACTCAGCTTCTCCATTTCGTTGAAGGCACCCGTAAGGCACTCTCTGCGTAAAAGTATAACTCCGATTGCGGATGCAGCTTTCCTTTGTATTCCAGGAGGGAGATCCTGTCCCCCTGAAGGACGTAGATCTAGAGGCAAGGATGTCTGGTTAGGCTTTGGGGGGATTTTACGAGTTGGGGATGTAGAGATTTTATGGTGGAGACGTACGTCGATCACGGTTTTGTCGCATTGGAATTTCTTTGCGATCTCCAGGCGCTTGCCGATGTTGTCCACGTAGTTTAGGTATTTGTCGAGGACTGCTGATGGGGCATTGTGCTCGTGCAGTATTTTCAGGATGTCTTCGATGGGCAGAGTTGTTTGCAGTTTCTTGTTGCCGAGCCACCCCTGGGGGATTTATTTAGAAACGGTAATCGGGGGGTGGTTGAGCTACCTTTGTTGGATATTACCTTTGTCAGAAGAAGAGCGTCGATGTCTTCCCAAGTTTGGGCAGAGGCTCTGGTTATTAACGCTATTCTCTGGTACTGTCTTGAAGATATTCCGTGCTGTTGCCACAGCATCTTTGGCGATGTTAAGGAACCTTCCGTTGAGTTCCAGTGATATCTGCAGGTGTATCGTAGACATTCCAATGCGGATGAATTCAGCTCGGGTAATTCTTTATAGTCGGCATTCTTCAACACTGTCTGCCACTCTAATAATAAAATAATGTTGTACGCGTATAAAATATATTACCCAATATTCGCAACTTGATCTTAACGTACCCAGAAGTTTGATGTAGTTCTGAACAAATGCGCTCTCTTTGCAATCAGCCAAATTAGCGAACTGCATTTTGTAACAAGTCTGAAGTTTCTGCAGCAATCTTGCAGGATTCGGGGTGTTCTGAATGATAATTTGCAAGTTTTTCATCTGAAATGAAATTATTTATATCATCTTTAAATCTTGTAAGATTAAAGATTATCGATATAATGCTTACTGCTGCATCTTTTGATCGACCCTGCATGCTGCCGAAAAGAGGCAAAATATTAATATCGTTAAACATGGCATGTGCATTTTTGTTAAACAATTTACAAAAAACATCTACTTACGACAAGAGATCCGTGAGCTCGTTTGTCCGTAACCGAGTGGAGAGATAATGGATGTATACATGTACTGCTTCAAACCGATTAAACAACAGTCTTTGAAGCAACGATGATTTTAAGGTTTTCGCGATAAATAATATTGCCTGAAACATGAAACATTTTTTATCGTGTGTTTCTTTGATTGCAATCATTACCAGTGTGTTAAATGAATTTTTAATAAAGAATACTGACTATTAATATAGCGTTACCATCTCCACTAGCTATAGCTGCATCCAGTAAAGCTGTTTTACTAGAAAGTGACTTATAACATTCTAAGGAATATTGCTGGCCAAGTAATATTTTCCTTAACGTCACATCGATTGGAATTATAGCATGTCCTTCAGGAAGAATCTTTGTTTTATCAGCTGCTATGACTGAAATGCAATCGAATCGATATTTTAGATTTCTCTTAAAAATGCATTGAGGTACTCGACATCTATCTGCAATTTAAAGAACTTACTATTATTTAGAGTCTTCTCTGAAATAACTGCAAGTAGAGGTTTCAAGTTATACTGCGAGTCATCAGGTTTGAGATAACATTCTGGCACTTGAATGCTAGACACTCCCGCAAGCAGTTTAGCTGTCCCAGATTTTGAAACGCCAAACAGTGTGTCCACCTAAATTAAAATTTAGATCATACAACTACGTTATATGGTATAAGTTAAGAAGAATAATTTATATCTCACATCATTCGTCTCGAAAGAAAAGGAAGGCCTGTCGATACTGTTCCAATATTCTTCATCATCTTTAGCAGTGCCCATTTGCATTTCTTAAGTAGCGGTGCAAAAGACACACTTGGCACTTACAGTTTTGAGCAGAAATAAGTCCTAGAATTTAGTTTTTAACATCTTTGTTTTATTACATTAGGCAAGTACCCTTTCTGTTGGTATAAATTAGGCGAGTCTCGAAAGAAAGACAGACGTGTCATCAACATCATCTCTTCATTAGCTTTTATGTATTCACTGTAATTTAGTTCCTGACATCTGCTAGTAAAATTTTATCTCAATTTTATATTCGTATACAGCTTTATACACCTTGTAAGAAAACATACGTGTCATAGAAAAGTAAATTTGAGGTAGAATTAAATCTCATGCAGAAACTTCGACGTTACTAGAAATTGGTGCTAACGCCATCTTTTGGTTCACGTCGTCCTCTCTTTGGCGGTGAACTCGATTAAAATATTAAACCAGTTTTCAATGTTGATACAGATGAAAATATATCAAAATTGCATTGAAAAGTATATAAACTTCTCTGGAGCCCACTTGGCTGCAGCACTTAATTTTCTACATCGGTAGTGTCTTGATTCGTCTATTGTTTATGCCTTTCCTGCTCGTACAATTTTTTAGTCGTACTGGTCACATTGGTACCTTGATCTTGTTTTATCGTACGATACTTTATCGAGTGGTCTTGTGCTTACCAGTTTCATACCGAGCCTCCTATTTCTTGTACGTGTATATTTTATCTTCCATCTACTAAAGCTGTCTGTTAAATAATCGTAGCTTGATTGCGGTCATTTTGCTTATTCTAAAATGAGGTCTGTGTTTATTTCATTTCTTCTTTTCCAATCGGTTTAATTGCAGAACGTGTCATCATATTTCTTTATGTCGTTTTTATGATACTTATAAATTAGTCTATAACTAGAATATTCATGTTCTTTTATCCATTTGGCCGATTTCTATTATAAACCAAAATTTGATCTCACTTGTGTCGATAAAATCTTCAAATCGGTTTCTAACCTAACTCGTTCAACTCTAGTACTAGAAGCCAATGAAAAAATTATAAACCAGTTAGCGTTGTGATAAAGGTCATCAATGAGATCTTGATTTGAAAATGTATTTTGTCATGCAAATTCTTTCTTAGGTAACCACGTCATGGATGGAGATCAAATGCCAAAAGTGGATTTAACAAAAGATGCAAGAAAACTCACTATCTCGGATCGAGCTTACATGAAACGCATAGAGGAGATAAATACTGAACGTGTGCAGAGGCTAATGAAAATGCGCAGAAATAATGCTATTACAGGATCTTTACTTGGTCTCGGTGTACTTGGCATTTATTTCTATACTATATATGCAGTAAGACAAGAATCGTTCTTGGATGACTTCGAGGAACCTCAGAAAACGACAAATTAACTTGTTGGATGTAATTGTTTTGTCATATGTAGAGTAAAACTGTTTTTTCATTGATACTTTACATAAAGTTACTACCTTAGTGAAGATTGCTTGGGAGTTCTTCATTGTGGAATTATTAGTCTTAATTTGACTATATCGAACAAGGACATTGCAAGAATATAACTTTATCCTTAGTACGGTGTTCCAAAGGAAAAGAAATAATGAGTGCGTTAAGAATACCACCTCTTCCATCGGTACGTGATTTGGTAAAACTTTACCGAATAAGAGCTATTAAGCAGCTGTCTCAAAATTTTTTGATGGATAACCGTTTGTGCGATAAAATTGTAAAAGTTGCGGGTAAGTTAAACAATGCACAAGTATTGGAAGTTGGACCAGGACCTGGAGGGCTGACTCGATGCATCATTAAAAGGCAGCCGAAAAGACTAGTTGTGGTAGAAAAGGATGAAAGGTTTATGCCAACGCTAGAAATGTTAGCCGATACATTTTCAACTATTGGAGGGAAGATGGATATTAAGCTGGATGATATCAGATCCATAAACATGGCAAACGTATTCTCAGAAGATGAAAAAAGACAATGGGATGACATTTGTCCAAAGATGTATATCATTGGCAACCTCCCATTTAATATTTCAACACCACTTATTATAAAATGGCTGAAGGACATATCGGAAAGAAATGGAGCATGGTCTATGGGCAGAGCTCGTCTTACTTTGACTTTTCAAAAAGAGGTGGCAGAACGCTTAGTAGCCGAACCTTGTGAAGATCAAAGATGTCGACTTTCCATGATGGCTCAAGCTTGGACAAAGCCACATCTGGAATTTGTCATTCCTGGTAAGTTAAACTCACTGCGCTTATAATTTGAAATTTGTAAAATTTAACATTAAGATTTTATTTGTAGGAAGAGCATTTGTACCAAAGCCAGACGTTGACGTAGGAGTAGTAACGTTCACCCCATTGGTCCATCCTCTTACAGCCCATAATTTTCAACTTTTTGAGAAAGTTGTCCGTCACATTTTTAGTTTTCGTCAGAAGTACTGTATTAAGAGCATTGGGTAGGCATACTATACGTACATGAAAAAAAATCTAATTAACATCGAACACAAATTAAATAGTCATTCTTCCAGGACTCTATTCCCTCCGGACAACCGAGAGATGCTGGCTGCACTAATGTTTAAACTCTCCGATCTAGATCCAACTACTCGGCCGTTTCAATTATCAATTAAGGATATGGATAAGCTTTGTACAGCGTACATATATCTTACAGAGAAGCATCCCGAAATTAAGTTGTACGATTACAGAAGCAGTCACTGCGTTTTACCGTCGAGCTTGGCAAAAAATATCCAGATAGAAGCGGTGGCGTAGAGATGCAATCAAATTTGTCATGTTTTGATACGTAACTGGATATTACTGTACGGAGTATCGTTTTCTTGTTTTTATTAAAACGTAAGCTCTGTCACACTTTAGTATGGTAGTGGTTTCAATGCGCGTAGAGCCGTACGAGCTCGGTGTAAACGTGTGTATGTACAACAGATTAAAGCTTAAATAAAATGCGGTATAACGTATACATCCACACGTATACTCTTGTACATAACATTCGTACGTTGTAATTCGGAACCACCTCGATCTAATTCCTGCTTAGTTACGTACATACACATAAATATACGCGAGTTGCTAATCGTACGATAATGTTAACGATGCGAAAAATACTGTTAATCCTTTTTACAATCGCGCCCTCGTAGAGCAGGAAGGACGGAAAAGCGTGTACGCTCGGAATTACCCCAACTGGTCACGCGATGGCGCCAGTTATCCATATAATTTCATCACGTTTTTAATCTTAAAAACCATTGCCCCATTTCCGGCGTTATGGAGAAATCCTTGCCACGTATCTCAGATTTCTAGGAGAAAAAAAAGATACGGGAAGGGAACTATCGCGTCCATAAAAAATGCACATTTAGAAGACCCTTACCTAACATTAGTTGCGAACTCCCAGTATATCGACCGATATCACAGCTACTCTTCCTTTCGAGGCTAACGCGACGGCTTTTATCTCTCCCATGTCTAACGTACGCATATATTACTATCACCTATGGTACCATTACCGTCATCGTCGTTGTCCTACGTGTCGCGTTGCGATCACCGTTGCACAAATGTCTATACAAATGCGTGCCTAAAGCCACGCCCGAAAACCTCGTTCGAGCGCTAGGACGGAAATAATTGCTCGTGGAAACCGAGGCACCTTTCCCTCGTTTCCGGAGCATTTGTCAAAATTCGCTGACTAGTGCCTAGCGATGCCGCAAATCATGATATTCGGTAAGGCTCCACGTCGACGACGCCAAGCGCCGAGCGACTGAGCGTGAACCTGAAGCGTCCTGCACCACCTCTTCGTCTTGGCTTCGTCGTCGGCCTTAAAAAAAACGAAATCTCGATCGTCAATTCGAACAGCGGGTACTTTGTAACCGACTCCATGTACGCACCTTGAAGATGAACGTCTCCTTCGAGGACAGCTCCTGTATCTCGAAGTAGTCCTCGAGGTCGGTCTCGCAGCAAACGATACACCTGTCCAGGCAAAGCGGCTCCTGTTGATCATGACCCGAAGCGTTACTCAAGTCGAACGACTTCCTAAGCTCCCCATGTTCGAACTTACCCTCAGTAACGAGTATCGGCCGATTTTTTCTTTCACCAGGAGTAAGGTCGCTTCTTTGACTCCGAATTGTTTGGGAAGAATAGTCTCCTCGGCCGAGTCGAGCAGGGCAGGATTTGGCTGCAAAGGTCGGCGAGATAGCGTTAGTACCTACTAGGTCCTTGACCAGTCGTTTAAATGTGGAGTTTACATTTTTCTACACTTTCTACGGACTCACTTTTCCATTGACAACGAGCATCGCGATAACCGGGACGAGCTTGACGGTGCGTCCTCGTCGCCAATTATTATCCGTAGGTTGAGCAACTAGAAGTCGTCCTTCGAGGACGAACCTGGCTTCTTCGTGGTCCCACTCCAGGATGCGAACCGCCATCTGTTACAAAATGTATTTAGAGAGGCCGGCGATTGATAAAAAATGCGGATCGCATCGGTACCCACCCTTCTAAGTTTAATGTTCACCGTGTCCTGCTCCTCGGCGGACCGTTTGTTGTGCTGAATAATGGATATCCTCCGCCACAGTTTGGTGGACGTCACGTCTTTCGCTATCTGATTTTGTCGGAATGCATTGAAGTTAATAAAAATATATACGGGGCTGCATACCTCTCCGTGATCGATTTAACGGGTCGTTACGCTTACGGCATTCATGTGCTCCAGGTGCATCTCGACGTTTGCCTGAGCCTGCTTCAGCCTCTTCCTTGCCTCTTGAATATCCGACCTGACCAGCGGCGTCGTTTTCGAGAGGCGGGCCAGCAGCAGAGGGTATTTGGTTACTCTTTGTACAGGTACCTATCGAACAATGAAAATTATTAACGTTTGTCTTTCCTAAAACCAATCCCTCCCGCTTACCATGAGGAAGGAGTTCAAGTTCATCCTGCGGAGGACGGCGTTCTCCATCTGGGACACCCGGAGGAATATCCTCAGCAATTCCTTCTCCTTCTCCAGGTTCTGCAGCAACAAGCTCGCGTTGCCCTGGCGAGTGCAGTACCTCTCGAATGCCCGAAACATTTTTTCAGACTCGAGGAAGATCTCGCCGACGTCCACCGTGACTAAATCCTCGTCTCCGGATTCCTAGGTAAAAGGGCGCTTCATAAATAACGGATCCAATCGGTACAATTTATTTAATCTAATTAATCGATCGATTTAAATTCCAGGAGGCAGTTTTGGCGGACCTGGGCAAGCTCGACGGCAGTTTTCAATTTCCGAGCGAGGACGACGTTGTGTTCCTGGAGTTCTTCGACGTTCAGGAAGATGGCGGAGAGTTGTTCCCTGGTCAGCAGCCCGGCTCTCAGCATGGGTCGGTAGAACTCCTCGAGGATGATCTGCAGGTCCCTGCCGTACTTGTGCTCCGTCTCTACGATCTCGGTGATGATCTCCTTCCTTTCTGCGCGCTTCTTCGAGCACTTCCGGCAGACGAAGGGCGCGTAGACGACGCCGCTGGAAGGGAATGGAATTTTACCCGGAAGTCTGGCGTGCATCGAGCCGGATATTATACCTTATTACAAGTTGAATGCGTGATCTCTTATGACTATGACTTTAATTCACCTTTCTGTTACGAGGGGCTCGAGACGCTGCTCGCAATCTTCGCAGAGCTTCGAGTTGACGGAAGTCGTCGGTGGACCAATCGTGGAACATCCCGTTCTTCGACGTCTGGCCAGGTCACCTCTGGTACTACTAGCTTGGCTACTCTCGGATCCTACTCCGCTGTCGGTACGTTCGATGTCCACATTTCGTTTCTACAATGAGTAATAATGTATCAGATCCCAGTATGAACGTTCATTGGATGGATATTCGCGTTACAAAATAATTGAAATCCTGTAGAATATTATCGCCTTAATTTAGGTACAATATCTTAATTAATTCCCACCTTCGAAGTGTCCCCAGTCTTGGCAAGGGCGAAGGAGTTCTCCTCACTGCTGTCGGAAACGCTGGAGACGTGCAAGTTCTTGTAATTCAAGTTGAGATTCCCAAGGTTGGTGGTCTCCTTTCTCTCGTATAGAGCTTCCAGGATGCCCTCGGCGTCTTCCTCCTCCTCCTCGGCTTCGCCCTGCTCGTTCTCGGTCTCTACGCGGTCGTCCCCTTCGTCGGCCTCTTCGTCCTCGGCCGGAGGAGACGAGTCCTTTTCGACTTTGTTGTCGATCAGGAAGTTGAGGAGCTCGAACTTGGCCGACAGATTCCGCTCCGTTGAGGAATCCGTTGACCTGGGCTTTGTCAGGTTCTCGGAGACGTCGGACTTGTAGGAAGTCGTAACCAGGTCCGTCCCCTTTGCAAGAAGAGTGCTCGGGAAATAAGACTCGAGGAACTGGCCATTGTCGATCTCGGAATAATAAGAAGTTCTCGTTCCCGGGGCCTCGTCCTCGAGGAAGATCCTGTCCCTGAAGCGGTCCTCCACGGGTGGAGGACTCAGGGGCAAGGGAGGGGGCTCGTCGGGAATTTCCTCGTAAATGGGCTCCTTGATGATCTCGTAAGGATTTTCCTCGCGGAAGAGGCTCTCGTCGGGAAGTCCTTTCTCGGACGCGTCCTGAGAAGCCGTGATCCTGGTGTTCTGGGACTCCGACTTCAACAGGGTCTGCTTCAGGATCTCCAGGATGGCCTCCTCGCTGCTGTCGTTCAGGATCTCACCGTTCATCCTGGCCTTGCGAAGCGAGTCCTCCAGCAGTTTAGAAATGGCGGCTTCTTTCGAGAGTGCGGCGCATCTCTTCAGGATCTCCGCCGAGGACTCCTCCTCCTCTTCGCTGTGGCAATCCACGTCCGCGATGCCTTCCTCTTCTTTTTCATCTTCGTCCTCGTCCTCGTCCTCGTCTTCGTCCTCCTGCTTCCGACCCTTGTCTCTCTGCTTCCGTCTCCTCCGTCGCCTTTTCCTCTTCCTCTTCGAGGGCAGCACTCGACCCTCCCTCTTGTCTTCCTTCGGCCCTTCGACGACTTCGTCGCTCGCATCCCTTGTCGCGCTTTCCCTCCCAGACCCCTCCTCATCGTCTTCCTCTTTAACCTTAACCTTATCTTCTTCTTCGTTGCAATCGGCATTTCCATTCTCATCGATTTTTTTGACGCTCATCCTCGAGGTCGAGGAGGAGTCCACCGACACGGAGCACGTCTTCAGGGATTTCTCGACCCCTTTCTCCTCGGCATCCACCGCCGTCGACTGGACCACTATGTTGGATCTGTAGTTCTCGAGAATGACCAGGGTGCGGTTGCTCTCTGAGAAGCTCCGGACTCTGGGGACGGAGGTGGGGTCGGAGTTCACCGAGATGACCGTAGGGTTGCAAGGACTGTCTTCTCCACCCACGCTGATGGTGACTTTGTTCGCATTCCCGGCATCCGTAGGGTTGCCTCGATCGGCGCTGATCATGATCGAGGTGCGGCGTTCCCCCTCGTTGTGGCGACTCTTCAAGGTGTCACCAGGTCCAATTCTCAGGTGATGAACCAGAGCTGGCTGGGCCGGGGGACTGACTGTGATCTTGCAGACGTTGTCCTCCCTTGTAGTCCCATCCAGGTTGCCTATCGCTATCCTGGACCCCCCAAAGGACCTCGGTTCTTCAGCATCTACCAGTGTCTCCTCATTCTGGCGATTCAGCCGTGTTTGCCTCCTCCAACGAGGCGGCGCCATGCCGGGGTGTTTATTAAAAGACTCGGTGGTGTTGCTCTGGATGATCGACCTCCGGTCCCTCCCAGGAGGAGGTGACCAACTGGTGGGTCTCATCCTCGGAAAGTGCTCCGCGTTTGATCGAACAACCGCGGTGTCGATCGACGGTAACTCCATCACCGTCGGCGAAGGTGTTCTTCTGCCTATCGGCAAGCGACTCGTGGACGTTTTCGTTTCCACGTCGTCTGGAATAGCCGAAGACGAGGTACAGGAACTCAAGGTGGACGGAGACCGCGACAGCGTCGGCGAAGGTGGTACCACTTCAGGTTCCTTTTCAAGGATTTGAAAGAAATCTGACGTTTCTTCCTCTCTCCTCTTGTTCTCTTCCGGTTTCGTTCGAGGATTTGCTACGATCGCTTCCTCCACGTGTCCGCTCGAGTCTTCGTGGTTGGCGCTCTTCGGGTCCTCTGTTCTCTCTTCAGATTCCTTCCTGAAATTCCGAGAATTCCAAGGCGCCTGTTTCGAGAGGCTCGACTGCACGTTATCCTGCATCGAGGCGGTGTCCTTGCAAGGCTGCTCCACATTCCTCGCAATCCGGTCACTCGAGCTCCTCTTCAGGGCCAGCTTGCCGGGAGAACCTGAGGAGGTGAAGAGTGATGCTATTTATCGATTACAGGAAGAGAAAAAAAAATTTAATTGAGATGGAATATAAATTACAGGGGTTACCTTCGAGGCTGGGGACTTGATGTCCTTGAAGAGTAGTCTTTTCCCCAGGATCGGCACTTTTGATCTCGCTGGGCATGGTCTCGGAAGTAACCTTCCCAGTTCCACGTCCGCTGTCCGACCTAACCGGCGGTTCCGGAGCGGTTCTCGTCGCGGTGCCCGTCCTGGAGATGTAAATCGACGGCGTCGGTTTCTTCTCTAGGGTCGCCGCAACTCGAAGAGTCCCGTTCGAGCTGGACCTCCTCTTAACGAGCGACCCTGAAGACGTATCATCCCGCAGAGATCGTCCTTGCTGCGTGGACTTGTTCTGCTCTTCCCTCACCCTGGCCCTCCCAGCTGGCAGGAACTTGTCGATCTTGATAACTCGTTCGGATGGATTCTTCGCGTCGTATCTCTTCCCAATGTCAGGGTCCCTGATATTCGGTACCGAGATGAAGGTCGGCCTTTCCGGCTCCTTCGAAACTTCAAGATCCCCTTGCTCCTCTTGTCCTTGGTCCGGAGATGCTAAGCGACTCCTGGGGAATTTCAACCCCGAGAAGGATTCTCTATCCTCCTCTCGACTCGGCTTCTTCGGGGCGAAAATCACGTTATCGACGTTGAAGAGCACGCTCTTCCTCTTGCCCTCCATCTTGTCGGTCTTCAGGATGCTTTTCAGGGTGACGACGCGGGCCTCCTTCGGCTTCCTGGGCGGCCTGGTGGGTGACACTTTGCATGTCGAGTTCCCCAGGCGCGATTCTCTCTGGTATTCTTCCTTCCTTCCGATCTCCTTTCCCTTTAGTCGTTCACGGTCGGGTGGCTTCCTCCGTTCCTCTTGCTCCTCGTCGCCGATCGTTTCCCAGCTCTCCTCACTCTCCATCTCGTTTCCCACGTCGGTCTCTGACGGTTCCTCCTCCCTCCTCGCCCTCTTCTCCGCCTCCTCGTCGCTTTTCCCGTCGATGGAAGAGTCGTCCCCCTTGCCGAGGTTCTTGTGCTCGCTGAAGAGCCTGATCCTCTGTCCACCGATGGCGGCCACCGCCTTCCCGGCGGGGACTCTCTCGATGGACTTGATCTTCCTAGGGTCGAAGATCCTCGAGGGAGGCTCGTCCAGCTCCAAGGCGTTGTCGGACAACCCGTCGCTCGAGTCGTCCACGTCGCTACCCTCGGGCCCCTTCTTCACCAGCAGGTAGGGGTTGATGTCGCACTCCAGGATGCTTCTCCTTAAATCCACCGAGCCGTTCGTCTTCGGCTTCCTCGCATCCGGACCCCCCGACGTCGTCGTCGACATCAACATCGCCATCTCGGACGCTTCGCGTTTCGTCTTGCTCGATTCCTCGCTCGCATCCGGCGTGGCCGTTCTCCAGGACTCCATCGAGTCCTGCCGATGGTTTTCCAGGCGAGGGCGCGAACCGACGTCGTCGCCTTCGTCGTCTCCCCCGTCGTTGTCCTCGGAGTCGCACCACTCCGTCGTCGGCGACGTTCCCTCGGACGTGTAGGACGCGTTCCTTGCCATGCTCCGACTTCTCGAGTCTTTTAAGGATGATCGTCGACGAGGAGATATGCTTCTTGCTCGAGATTTCGGCTCTATCAGGCGACCGCGTCGCACCAGGTCGTAGGGGTCGTCAGCAGGTGGGCGGAACATACCTGTAAGAAACGATGTCATTTTTTCCTTCTATTCTCTGTAAAATTAACAATTATAACTACGCACTCAATAACGAAACTGCACAGAGCTGTATCAATTTAACTGACTGAGAATTATGCGAGTTAATTTAATTGGATCCTGCGGCATGATGGGAATTAATTATATCGACGTATCGCTAGGATTTAGTTTATAAAAAATTATCCGTAGATTTTTAAAGAGGAACGCGTACCCGCGAGACTGGGCCTGGACCGCGCGTTCGAGGAAGGAACTCTGCAGGTTCCTCCGAAGGGGAGACCGGCCAGTCGGTGTCCTCCGCATTTCCTGCAGTTTCCGAGTTTCCTGGCCGTCCCGTTGAGGAATTCTGGACAGGAGCAGACCACCAAGACCGGCGCGCCTGCCAAGGGAGATCCTGCAGGGGCGGTTGGTCCTGGTACCGGCATCGGTACCATGGGCACCAACGCCGATCCACCTCGGACACTCCCATAGATCCATGGGTGCGATGTCCAGGGCAGACCGGAACCCGCGCTCACGGTTCTGGTGCCCCAGGACCTTCCGGAATCGGGTCCTTGTTGGCGGTCCTCCTGCACCTCTCGTCCTCGATACTGACCCTGGCTCGGTCGACATAGTCGCAGTCGCACGCTCCAGGACTTCTTGCTCTTGCTCGCCGGCGCGTCGTAGCCCTGGGGAATCGAGAAAAATTCCATTAATACATCTAAACGTCATCTTGAACCAAAATAAGATTTTCTTAATTTATTGAATAACTCTTCCTTGGTTGGATGACATTTTCATCGCAGGCCAGGGTGAGGAGAAAAGTATTCCCGTCCTCTGCTGGCGCTGGTAAATTGAATTTTAGTCCTTTCACGTCATCCACGAGGCGACTTCGCCAGGTCGGGCGAGTCCACTCGCGAGAAACCGGGCGGAAAAAAACCGAGCAGGAAGTAGGTGTACCCGTCGGATCGGGTATCAAGGGAAACCTTTAAGAAATTATTCCGGGAGGAATAATTCGTCAGAAAGGAGGGGAAACTCGAGGAGTCAGGGAAAGTGGCCGAAGTCGGGCGGATCGATCGAGATCTCGAGAGATTAAGACCGAAATCCATCTCTCCGCCGCGGAGAACAAATCGCCGGTTTTTGCCCCCGGCATTCCGTCCCCGCAAAAAGGCGAAACGTCTCTCTCCCTCTCTCTCTCCCCGTCGTCTCGAGGTCTGTCTCGCTTCGGCTACGACGTCGACCTAGGAGCACCGGTTCGGCAAACCGAGCCGGAGGCTGTGGCGAAATATTCCGTCGATACCGGTCGTCGCGGTGCCCGGCGACGCGACGCGTCGAGCTGTACGATCGTCATGCTTTCCCGACGCTGGACCGGCGAGGCGAGGCAGGAATAAGTAGTCTCTTGATATTCGACGAGGAATCGAGAGCAGGAGAGAGAGGAGTCGATCGAGAAGCCGAAGATCGGGAGAGAAAAAATTTCCATTAAATTTTCCAATCAAATTTCACTCTCGGCACCGAAATACGTATTTCGGCCATCTTCGATCTTACGAAAGTGGAGTTTATGAAACTTTTCTCCAAACCGAGGGCACGGAATCTTTCGAAATCCCACGTGGTTGTCCAGGCCTCGATCCTCCTGAATTTCCATTTTTTTTTTCACACGGAATCCAAAAATCCTGTATAAAGAGGATGTATAAGAAAAAATTGGGGTTTCTGTTTTTTAGCACGAGCGAACCCAGGAACGCACGAGACGATCGGATCGATTCTCGGGTGGATTCGAGAAAATGTTCAAAGCCCGGGAAGTCGATCGGTCGATCGTAATGGAGACTGGCGAGTAGGGGAAATAGGGCACTCCGATGCCGCGAGCCACTTCGATGCTTTCTCGAGAACGACGGAAAAGGTGTTGGTCTCTCTCCCTCGCTCGGGAGAGAGATAAAGAGAGGAGTAAGAGTCCACCTCTCGGGTAAAAGTAGAAAGACGAGAGGTGCCGCGCGAAATCGAGTAAGAGGGAGCGAGACCGTACCTGCGCACGAGGAAGTTAATTCAGGCTCGACGATGACCGTTTAGTCTCCTCGATTCCTTTTTTCTCCCGCGAATCACGGCATAACCTATTACGGCCACTGGTCGCTTCCTCGACACGAGGATCTCCGATCGCATCCTTCGATCCGGTTAAGGCGATATAAAATCGGCGTAGAATCAATTTTAACATTTCCCCAAACCGTTCCCGCCGAATCGCTCGAAACTTACCAAGGCCCTAAGGAACGTCCCGAGACTCGCGAAAATGACTGATTAAAAATGGAAAAAAAATTCTCCCAGATGAAGGGATGAATAAAAAAAAATTTTTTCTATGAAATCCCATCAGTTTCAGGACGTTCCTTAAGGCCTACGTGGTCACGGGATGAAGTTTCAAATGGTGCACTCAGTTTGGCGAAAAGTTTTATAAACATTTGGACGATTCGACGTGTGGGGTCCTTGTCAAAATCGGTGGCGGTAACCGAGGGGAATTAATGATTAGGGTGGATTGATATTATCGATAAGACGAATAGGGGAGAAATGCATCTTACGTCTCGAGGAACGGGCAGCGTCGAGTCCGAAGCGATCCCCTCCTGCAGGCGTCGACTCTTCGGGGCGAGCATCGCTTGGGCTGCGACGAGGCTATCCGGGCCTATGGCCACGCTCGTCACAGTCATTTCCGGACCGAGATGACGTCGAGGTGGTCGTTCCGGCCCCTGGGGGACTCCTTCGTGCCCTGTTCCGCGGCTCGCCCTGTATCATGGTAGCCGGGTCGTGACGGAGGTCCCTGAAAAAAACCGCGATAACTCGTTATCACCGTAACTAAGGACGCGATTAGACTCCATTTTTAAAAGTTCACCACGTGAATTTTCCCAATGGATATTCGACAAGTCTCTGAAAACGACCCTTATCCTCCCGAACTCGATAAAAAGAAAAATAATAATACTCGATCGTGACAAGAAAAATCGATATGGAAGAGCGACACTTTTTTTTTTTCTACATAAATATTTCCGTTTCATTTATTGCGACATTTTATTACAATGTTTCTTTCTTACTGCAGGGTAGGGGGGAATTTTTTATGAGGCATGTCCTTTGCTAAAGTGTGGTTTAGTGTTTTTTAGCTCTTTGGGGCAATGATCTGAGCGAGGGCTAGGACGGCAAGTGCCCGATAAAGCGGTCCGAAAGAGACTAACGTCCGGCCGAGGAATTCGCATAAAAATGGCTGTTAAAATTCCTCGGTAGAGCAAAAACCGCGGGAATTTGCATTTAATCTGGAGTAGAAAAGGAAAAGCTTAGTAGCTAAAAGTGAAAGGCCTCTCGGTCCTCCTTTTCGAGGTTCTCCCTTTATTTAATCCTTTTCGGCATTGCCACACAGCGACCGTTCGCCGGTATCTGTCGCTCCCTTTACACCAGAATAAACATATGCCTATGCTTAATGCACCTGTTCGTTTTCACGGTGTCACTCCGCCCGAGGGACGAGGAAACTATCGAAACGGGACACGGGACGTGTTGTTCCTACTTGTTTTATAAACAGCCTCCACCTACTTCGAGGCATTAAATTCCTCGGCGCAGCCGGCATGACTTCTCTCGCGGCGAATGACGTCGATTTAAAAAGTGACCTCTATTTATTCGAACCCCTAGACAGACAATGAATACATTACGCCATTAATTGGAATTAAAACCGAGAGGAAAAAAAAATTCCAAGCGGCACCTCCACCGTGAGAATCCACGAAAATTCGGGCCAACACTTCGACGCTTTCACTCAGACGTGAGAATTAAGCTCTGCTTAATCTCGTTCTTAATCTCATAAGTACAGGAAAGAATACGACATCCCACGGACGTAGGATACATATCCCTGTAATTCCGACAAATTAAAGTCCACGTGAAGAATCTAGGGAAAGAAAAAGTAATTTATCCCACATCTCGCGTTGCAATTTCTATTTTTCAACGAGACACTTCTTTGGTTCGATGAAATTTTTGTTTTCTCAGGGTATGTATGGAAAAAAAAATATATATATATATCGCTTATTTACGTATTCTATGTATGGATCTATCAATGGATGGCGGTCGACGTTCGGATAGGTCGCGTCCTGTTCCGTCGGCGTCCGCTTGGCGGCGCTGGGGTCGCGAGCAGTATCGGAGCCCGCTGATTGGTCGATCCCGTTAGAGCGGCGCGCGCCGCCGCATTAGGGCATTCCCGTCCGAGGAAGTCCTCGCGCATTCTGGCGCATCCTAATCCCTGGTCAACGAGTACCGATTACGAGCCGGCGCGCGTCGCGATGCACCGCCGATCGATCTTCCTCTAAAACAACCGTTAAGGTTGGACCCAAGGCTGAGTCGCGCCGCTCCCGCCTCCTGACCTCCATTTCGCCAAAGTGGAACCGATCGCGAGCGCGGTTAGGACGCTCCGATAACGGTTCCTCTCCCGCCGTCTCCCGCGGCGAACGGTTGACGCAATTTCACGGCCGATGGCTCTCCAGGGTCGGACCCTCTGCCGGAACGGGCCGATCGGTCGGCGGAATACGGGACCGGATCCGTTCCGTATCGCGGATTTTAAAGAAAAAAAGAAAAAACCCTTTCGAATGGTATCAAAGAAATATTTTGTTGATTCTAGGCTTATCGTTTATTATATACCGAGTCCAGGGAGGGCGGTAATAATTTTTTAATAAGGATAAATATGGATAGACCGCGGATATCAATTTTCGTGATTTTTGCCCTCTGGCCGCTGCTTGGGTAGATCCGCCATTTTGGATGCGCGAAATGAAAAATGGTTAAACTCGGTAGTTAATTACAAAACACGATAGAGGAAGTCCGGCAAGTCGGCCGAAAAGCAAGGAGCGAAAGTAGTCTCTCGACGTAACTATCGTTAGATCGAAATCGGTTACAGCTCGCGCGTTCGAGACAATCGGAGATGCCGAGACAATCGAGCGAGATAACCCCGATAGGGCAGGGCGCGCTGGCCACGTCGGCGATTCCCGCGAAACTCCTTCCACCGTTTCTCTCCCTCGTTTCCCAATGGTCCGTCTCGCACCTCGCATCCGTTTTCCGAGAAATCTCGTCTCCCCCTTCGTCCCAGGTTGCGCTTTTCCGCTTTGCGAAACGGAAAAGGCGAGATAATCGCTCGATAAGCGCTTCCGATTCGCGTTTCACCCACGACCGCGATAACGGTCTATCCAAAAAATCTAGAAACATCAATCCTACTCCGCGTATCGCGTTGCGTGGATTTAAATTCCACCGGGAAGTCAGTTATTTCAAAAAGGATAAGAAAAGGAACGGGTCGGACCAGTTTCTAAATTACAAGCGGATTTATTTGAATTTACCTGGAATTTACCGCGCATCCGGAATATTATTCGACAGTATCGATTGAGCCGGTTAACATTAGCGCCTTTTCCCACCGTTCTATGCCTACACCATAACCTTAGATTTCTCAGGGGAGGCGACTTGCGTTCGCCACTCGTGCGCGCGCAGCTCGAGAAAGCGGAATCGCGCCGCGTGGCGGCGGCACTCTTGCGAGTCCCCGATTTCGCAATCGCAAGATCGCCGCTTCTTGGCGGTTCTTCCCTCCTATTTTTCTTTTCCGGCGTTATCGATCGCCCTCAAGTCGGTTAGCACGGTGGATAGGCATCGAGGGTTCCGTCGGGATCGCTTTCTTCATTTTCCTCCCCGAGCCAGGAGAGCGCGTTTCCATAGAAGGTAAACCACTCCGAGAAAAATGTCTCGAAGGAGCCCGCATCACGGTAACGAACTTTTTCAAATTAAATCCTCCGAAAGGAGTTTCAGCCTATATATCTCTATCGTCCTCCTCCTTGGATATATCCAGTGAATCGAAAATAATTGTTCCTTGCAGTTACATACGATGTAGGCCTCGATGTATACATGTACAGGTCCCTTTCGGTCAGGTAATCCTTTTTCTCCGTTTTTCTCCGTACGACCGAGTGGCCGAAAGCGAAAGCGCGACACGAGGCGGCGAACCCCCGTGCAAAAGAATGCCGATTCCAATTTCCGACCGGGCCGCGCTTTCCCGGCCCGAGATCGGGGCAAGAAGACGGCGACGCCGACCGGCGACGTTACATAAACCGCAAAAGTTACGGAACCGCGGCGAGCCGAGTAGCCGGCGGATAAATAGGACGCGCACGCGATGTAAACGGCTTATACGTGACTTTCCACTCTGGACGGGTCTCCGCCGACGCGACGTTTTAGGGCCGATTTACAACGTCCGTTACAGATCGGTTCGGTACCTCTCGTGTACAGTGGCCGACATGAATATCGTCCTCGGAGACAGGGTACCGTCCACGTAAGAGGCGAAACTATTCGCGTCCACCGGTGTACGGGACGGATACCGAACCGATACGGAACGGAGGCGGATAAATCGACCTTTATGGCGCTTTCGGTCGCCGGTACCCACGCGTCCACCTCGCCGGCCATGGAACATGAACATTCGAGAAGCGCGTTTGCGCAATCGGCCAGAAAGGAGGCGACCTCGCGTCCAGAATCGGGACGCTCGAAAATCCGCCGCGTTTTCGCCGCAGGGAAACTCGTATTCGTATTTTTATACATTTTTCTTACGAAATTCAACTCGGACGACGTAAACCGAGAAAAGGAACTCTCCTTGAAACGAAGAAATATTTTCTTCATTCGATGAATATTCCGCTCGGACTTGGAATAAATTGGATTCAAGTCTTAGTGAAATAATTCTCTGTATTAGGAAAATATATCTATGGTTCAATGAATTTTTCTTTCTCGGCGTAGGAATAATAAGTCATTGGTTAAACCTGGTCTCAAGTTTACCCAACGGGTAGATATAATTTCCTAGATATTCTATACGAGGTGCGCTCTCGCGGTCGGCGTCGATCCGGCCGCGATCGATACATCGAGGTCGCCGGTTCTCGTCCTCTCGGACCTGTTTAGACCCGCACGGCATTCGGCCACCGACGAGCCCTCGAATCGCTCGACATCGAGCCTGGGGACAATCGATTCTGGATCTCCGCTCGACAGGGCTCGAGCTCCACATTCAAAGCAGCGATTGTCGCCGATATTTTTCTCCCTCGTCCCCCGGAAAGTTCATCTCGCGAGCCTTCGAAGAAAGTAGGTAAACGGCTGCGTTGGCAGGCGTTCCGGCAATTGCATTCCCGTTCACGCCTTGCATACGATTAAACCATTAGCGGGGGTTATCGAGAGGTTCTCGAGAGTTCGAGTCGACCTCGCGGTCGAGTCCTGTCGATCGAACCTTCGAGAGAACGACCGGTTCGACGCCTCGAATTCGATTTCTGCGATCCGGTCCCCCAAGTGTCGACGTTATCGTTTATCGCGCGCTTTACTTTCAGCCCGGAGAAAGCGCGAGGAACCTCGAGGGATGCAGTCGATCAGTCCGCGGTGTTCCTCCGAGGACGATGATCCTTCCGCCCCTCTCCGCGCGGCGAGGAATGCGCGGAAGAGACGCGCCGGATGATCGGCCGATGACTCTAGACGTCCCGACCGAGTCGACCGCCGCGATTCGCCCTGCAACGAGAATCTAGTAGATTCCCCTGAAAATGGGACACGAGACAGGAATTTAAATTTCCATCCCACTTATAACCTTCCCTGCAGACCCAAGGTAAAATAAAAATGGCGGCTGAGGGGTTCTTTTTACCATGAATATAAAAGACTGATTTAGATTACAAGGAAGGTCCTGCCATGGAATTAAATTCCCTTTTAATGGCTTATGAAAGTTTCTTTAATTTTTAACAAGGAATTTTTATGGCATGAAATTATATACGAGAAAGTGCACTAAGAGTATGGATGCATTTTCAGATATGGCGGATGGTGGAGGACAGAAGACACGAGTGCTCGTCAATGTGGAACAATGTATGACAACAATGAGTCGCGGCTCGAACGCCCATCTAAACGGTCTCGTCGAGGCTCCGTTAGCGATCTACCGGACTTTCGGACTTTCCACTACGGCGAGGAGGGATCGGAAGAGGCGTCGACGAAAGGAAAAGTTAATGACCATTGACATCGGGTGCACGTCCGCGCTCTCGCGGCCTAGGTGCGACGCCCCTCGCATAAATCGGAGTTCGAGTTCCTTTTGACTTTCCAGAAGCCTAAAGTGGAGAAAATGGAGACCGAGGGACTCGCCATTGAGCCGAGCTTAATCTCCTTCGAAAGCTCCACTCGAACGAGGGAAGAGAAAATGTATCATTGAATTGCGACGGAAAAAAGAGGAGAGAATTTTATCAAAGTGTAAAAAAATGTCAGGTCCACGTAGGCAAGGCTTAAGGTGTAGATAGATAAAGTGAAACGCGCTCCCAGCGTATGCATAATGTCGCTTAATTAAGATAGGATTAAATTAGAGCTAGAGTAAGAGATAGGACTGTCGAAAGTGCAGCCAGAGCGAGGGAGAAAAATCGGCAGGCCGCGAAAACGAGCTCTCCACTTTCGATCTCGCTCGGTCGATCGATCGCTCGAGAGACGCGAGTCTCCTCTCTAAATGGCAGAGGCCTTACTCGACAAAGAGTTATAACCCGAGTGCTCCCAGGATTACGTTACGTGCCAACGCGTCACGCTCGGTCATAATCGCGACGTAACGTACACGGGGGGAAACGTCAGCTGCAATCCGCACCGCACTTATCCACCGCGACGAAATCGCGTGTCTCCATGAGCGCGGTTTTCTCGACGGAAGCGGGACGAACGAAAATGAACTTCGGGATTTTCGCGGCCGACGTGACGGTCGAAATGACTTCGTGCGATTTTAATACAGAGAAAGTAAGAAGGCGTATTTCCCCGGTGCTAGGTGAATTAATAATTATACATCGGTAATGTGATTAACAGGTAGATCGGAAGCCGTGACCGTCCTCTCCTCGCATCCGGTTCCGCAACGTGAGTCTTTGACTCCTTCGTTCCCCGGCAATCCCCCGTTCCGGCTTCCACCGGAAGTGGCGACGCCGGCATGGCGACCTCGGGTTTCTTTCGGGTATCGAGAGAAAGAGAGACGTTCCGTTCCGATAAACCTGGGAAACAACGGAACCTAACGGACGTTCCGATCCCCGAATAAATCGGGCGGCTCGAACGGATTCTGGAACAGTGGTCGCGGAAGTCGCGTCGGACCGCTCTCGATATTTAATAATAATTTATTAAATACGTCCCTATGCTTGGATCGCTCTTAGATTCGGATCCAGGTGGACAAGCGACGATCGACGATACCGTTGGATTTATCCCAAGATTTTTTCGCCCGGCGAGAAGGGTGCAGAAAATTCGCTTCGCTTATCGGGAGAACGCTGCTCGTCTTCTGTCGTTTTCTTTCCGAATCACGGCTTAGAATAGCAATCGGTGGCGATGTAGGGGACGAGTCGAGGCTTCGAACGGCATTAACTCGGCGATAAACGCCTCGAAGAAAATCACGATCGCGTATAAATCTACCGGCAAGGACGTCGAAGACAATGAATCCTCGTTCCGCTTTCTCGAGGCGGTCCTTGAGGCGGTCGCGGACTCCGCGATAAAATTAATCCCGCCGAAGGATCGCCTCGAAGTCGCGCGTCCACCTTTACGGCCTGCACTTTTCGGGGCCGATCTCGAGGAGAGAGGTTCGTCCTCGGGCGTATCGAGTGTCGACTTCGCCGGCGTTCGCCGAGTCGGGTCGAGTCACTTTCCAACCCGCAGAGATATCGTCGAAATCGTGAGCCGGCTCTCTATATCCGGCGAGACCGACCGTCGAGAGCCCAAGGAAACCCAGATTCGCCGTATACTTTAATTCTCGGGGCATTCGCACGGTTTCGCACCTTGCTGCGACTAACACGCGTCCTAATCGAGCGTTCTCCTCGAGAAGACGCGAAACCCTGGATCGAGAGTCCAAGGAAATCCAGATTCGCTGTATACCTTAATCACTCAATGCTACGAGTTTCTTGATTTTCAAGACATTTGCACGGTTTTGCACCTTGCTACAACTAACACGCGTCCTAATCGAGCGTTCTCCTCGAGAAGCCGCGAAACCAAAACGATTCCTCGAGTCGCCGGAATTACTCACGAAATTAACGTCGCACGGTAATAAAGCGTAATATATCGTAGCAATAATAACCGTAACGTTTAACAACGGCCGGCTCATCCTACCGTTGAGCGCACTCGAGTGTGGATCGTTTAGTGGGCACATGTGCTAAGAGCGAGCGCACCTGCGCCAGCAGGTGCGAACTCGACCAACGGTGCTTTTCAGCTTCGACTTGCGTTCTGCTTCAATAACCCGCGAATTGTCTCTCTGCCTTATTCGGAACAAGACGCGTCTTTTCGTCCTACTCCGACCAAGATACGACTCCCAAGTCTTGCGTGCTACCGTTAATTTCTCATCTAGATTCATCCGAAAAAACGCCTCGTAAGGTAGGAAAATGCGAAAATGCGAAAATTAAAAAATGCGAAAATTCGAAAATTTGAAAATGCGAAAATTCGAAAATTCGAAAATGCGAAAATGTGAAAATGTGAAAATGTGAAAAATGCGAAAATTCGAAAATCCAAAAATATGAAAATATGAAAATGCGAAAGTACGAAAATAAAAAAATGTGAAAATATGAAAATGCGAAAATTGGATAATCTGAATATCCGAATATACACGAATCGTCGGCGAGCGCCCATTGGAATTTCTATTGGTCTAATTTCCTAGATATAAGTGTACCGAGCGTACTCATTTCTCCGGGCCCGCTCTCTCCTCCGGGATAGGATTATTTTACGAGGACGTTGATCTCCGTTGGTTCGGTCGTTTACCACTTAGTGCTGGTCTTTAATCGCCCGGCACTGTAATAAGCATCGCCTGGAAGTCGTTGCGCGGTAGAGAGCGAGCTCGGATCGATCGTTCGATCGGTCGGTCCGAAACCGTTCGACCGATCCGCCTCGATCGCTCGCGGGCCGCTCGTACAAGGCAGAGAGAATGGAACGATTTCGCGGGAACGCCGATCTCGGGACGGTCTAGCCGATCCCGGTCGTTTTACAAAACCGCAGAGCGTATTGTACTTCCGCGGACAGGTGTGTACGCGGTCGGGCCGCGAGCGTTACGGCGCATCCGTAATATTACACCGAGGCGAGATAAAGGATTCACGAAAACCGCGACCGTGGTGAAGGCGACGTATTCGGTTACATCTAGAAGATATCACCTCTCTCTGGAGAGAGGGAGAGACCGTCTCGCTCTTACCTATTTCCCAGGCATCTTTATAAACTACCCGGATAAACAAAACAATGCAAAATTTGCATGAAATTTCCCCGATGAAAGATCGCGAAACGAGTCACGGCTAAATTCATCCCACGTATTGCCGATAACCACTTGTAACGAAAAAAAAATGAAAAAAATGGTGGTTTCAGAAGGTGGCCCTTTACCCGTCACCGGGCGCTAGGTCGCATCCTTCGGCATGCCGGGGGACGGACATTCGAGTAATGGCGTTCACGGGCGATATATCCAAAAGGAAAGGATCGAGCGCCGTCTCGGGTCACGGGGAGAAGCCCCGTCCCGAATGTCCGCCGCGAAGTGGGACACGCGCGCGGCGGCGACCCGCGGCGCACCTACGGCGACCGCGACTAAACGGCACGTACCTTCGCATGCAATTACCTGCGGCGAGCCGCTAATCCATCCGGACCGGTATCCAGGGCGCGTCGAGGGTAGGCACACCTCCGCATCCGTCGTTGCCGTTTGGCACTCGCGGGCACGGACTTCCGATCGGGATCGATCCCCGGCGGCCCGGATCGGGAACCGATCTAAGGAAGGACCGCGACTCGAAGGAGGAATATCGGCACTCCCGCGGGAACTCGCGACCGAACGTCCGCGTCGACGGTCGCCGACCAAGTGAGAGGCTAGCGGCACTCGCGGATAAACCAGTGACGTCACCGATCTCCTCCTTTTACCTCCGCGCGAGGTGTACCTACCAACCGAGCAACCTACCTACCTACCGCCGAGACCCGCGAGAAAGGTGCCGCTCTCCCTTCTCCCTCTCTCCCGACGAGCCTCCCGCGGGAGGGCCGCGGACCGACGAGAGGTCCTCCCCTCGGTAACGGTGTCGGTAGTCCTCCCGAGGCGGTCGATCTGCGAGAGGAAATACAGAAATCATCATCTCGGGACGATCTTCTCATCGGCCGTCACGTACAATCGGGAATAACGTCGGAGATTTATGTACGCGTATGATGATATAAGCACGAGACGTTATTTCAGGGCACGGATACGTGACGGATGGGTTTCAATCGGCTTTTGTACCTCGATCCTCTCGACCCCGCTTTTGCGCCTGATGGCTCCAGGTCTCGCGGGGTCGTGGCCTCTCAACCGCGAGGCCTTGTCTTCGAGATACCTGAAACGAGCCCCGTATATATGTAAATATATATACATGCACATGAGTATTCAAAAGTGCACGTAAAAAGAACGTTACGGTACCCGGCAAAGCGACGGAATGCGATATTCGCGGAGAAGGCCAGCGGGTGACCATGGAGAAAGAGAGTGGACACGGAGACGCATTTGTCGCATTTTATCATTCCCGAGGTTCCCTCGGATATCAGCAGACCGCTTTCGTTTTAAAATCCGTCAAAAATACGAATACGCCAGAAGACAACAGTTTAAATGCCCTAGATAATTATGCATCGAGGTGACGATATCGCGCGAGGGTGGAAACGATTTCATCTCCGTATCGGAGGAGATTCCATCGCGGGCGATTTACGCACGACCTGGGTACACCAGGCCCGTCCTTTCGAAACTGGCATAAACGGCAGGGAACGAACGCGGACACTTTCACGCGGATGCCTTGTCGGCAAATATCATGGCCACGTCTTCTATCTCGTCCCTTCGCTGGGTCCAATAAAATCCTAAGCGCCTCTTGAACGATGGATAGAGTAGACTTGGGTGTTTAGAAGCGTTTCACCTTTTCGTTTCCTCTTCTTTTTTTTTTCCACCAGCCGATTCGGTGGTTACGGTCAGCCGGTGGCGTCAGGCACGGTCGTCCCCGAGAGTCGGGCTCCCCTGAAAAAGAGACAATCGGTAAAAGCTAGCCGGATCGTTCCTGGGAAAGGAATCTCTCTAAAGGTGGATGCAGAAAGGCGCTCGCAGGTGGTTTCGTGTACGTGTGGACGTGGGAGTGCTCGAGGAGGAGGCGTAGGCGATGTCGGTGGAATCGCCGAACGCGTCAACGTCCTCTGCGAGAAAGACTCGTACGACCGGGAGGAAGTCGCGGGAAAAACACCGAGGAATGCCGCCGAATCGCAGATCGAAACGAGACCGGGGAACGGTGGGATTAACGCGGATGCTTTTTATTAACCGTCTGAATGGGCTCTTAAAAAAAAAAAGAAGAAAAAACCTTGTCGAAAAATGACGATCGGCGAGATAGCGCTTGTTTTAAATTGTTTTTCGAAGCTAAGTAGAGATGGAAGGAACGCGATATTTCGACATATTATCGCGTTCAAATGTGCTGGGAATTTTTCTACGTGAAATCTGAACAGCTTTGGACGCAAATGGTTAACAATCTCTGCCGGAGACTCGAGAACGGTTTATTGCTCGTAAGAGCTCGGGTGCTTAACACCTTCCCTATAATCGGACGGAACTAAAACGATATCGCCTCGCGATGGACGTGTACGAACGACTAAACGATTTCTGTTACTTTTTTCTCCCGGCCGAAAAGGGATTACAATGCGGATGTTTTAACGCCACGCCTGGTACAAGCATGTCGGGAGAGAACTATGGGAGGCGCGAATTAACCGTCACCCATGATCTTGAACAGGGCGGTTCGTTAGGCGTGGAACTTTTTCTCACGATTAACGCCCAAAGAATGACGAAGAATGGCGAGGGAACGAGATAATTAATGATTTCTCCCTAGGAACTGGCGTTTTCACTGCTCTCCTAGAGAATTCAGTTCCTGGAAGCAGATTCTCCGCATAACGGGGCATCGCAGAAATGCGGAGGCGTTACTTCGAGCCAGGTACGCCCGCGATCGGAATAAAGGAAGTGGATTCGAATTTTCGAGATCAGACGGATTTAACTGGACGACTGGACGTGGGCTTGCCACCGAGGTCGGCTCGGTCGGATCTATGGAAATAAAATCGATTACCGCCGCGGCTATTCTCGACGGAAAATAAAGGACTCTTTGCCGCGTAAGGCGTCAAAAGTTCTTTCTTTGCGATTCTTGACCTTTAGTACTACTTTAAATAGGATATTTATCGTACTATCGGTTCGCTCAATTATCTCGTTCTCTCTTACTTCATTTAACTGGGTTTTATACCTGTATTTGGTTTTGGAGGTGTGAAGTACAACGAATTGTTTCAGTCTCCAGAAGTGGATTTGTTGTTTAACATTTTTTTTTTCTCCTGTTTTGAATGCTGGGAAGTCGGCTAAGAATTCACGTCCTGTATGTCGAGACGAATGCGACGCCGCTGGCGCCATCTCGCGGAGACCGAATAGAGTAGGTGTACTTCCTTCGGCGCTTGGCAATCTCCTGATTTGTCGGATTAATAAAAAAAAAAAAAAATCATTCCGCAAGCAGATCGAAAAGCTAGCAAAACGACGACCTGCGATCCGAGGATGCGCAGTCCGAGCGTATTGCACATTTATTCGATTCCCAAGCGCGGTCTAAAATACCTAGAAAATAAACTATGGAAGTTAGCTAGGGTATTTTATTTATTTAACTCTGGTCAGTAGAGTTATTTAGTGGTTATATTGGGGAACCTGCTGCAGCACTGCCAGCGCATTCGCCACCTATTTCCGGTCGCTTCGTTCGTCCATTTTTCCCGACAAGCGCAATGGGAGAGGAGCCATCTTGTTCGAGTCGCCGACGTGGCGGCCGGCTTGTCAGAAGATTTCTCGTTCATAATGAAGGCTTGTAAGTGTGCTTTACTTAGATTTTGTAAATGACCAGTATTGATTTTTTTCTGAGTACTTATTAGCACAGAACTCACGTTTGATTTGAAACTTTTATGTGGACTCACTGTGCCACCCACGTTTCTCTTGGCGTGGCTAATTCTCTCGGCTAGAAATAACGTCTGCCGTTCTGATAATTCTTCGAGTTCTGTTTGGAGAGACTTATTCTTTTGTTGAGAATAGCATATTCCGTTATTCGTATGCAAAATTTATGTTGGATGGTAGGCGTACTTTATGATTATAATTTGTGGTTAACAAGCGTCGTTATGTTCAGCAGTTTGGCCATTTATTGCTGTGATTGCATCGCTACATGTAATAGCAGCAACGAAAGTGGAAACTTCGACGAGTTCCTACTTATCAAAGGCTGAGCTTACTCGCCTCAAGAAGGTCTTAGAACCAGGACTTCAACTTAAAGATATTTCCGAAGTATACCATGCGGTGCTTGGTTATTCGCTCGCAAAAGAAACTATTCCGAATGTGGAAGTAAGTTTTATTGTTCTTTTAAATTGCCTTATGTTAACATCTTTGTAAAGTGATGATTTTTACATGTATTGAATTATCAATGATGCTTGATTAGTCTTTCTGATAATGGAAATAATTTATAGCAAATTAATGAGAATTGGATTGCAACAATTAATTGAGAAATTAATGATTGTAGGGTATCTGCAAATTTGCTCTAAGTTCAGTTGGAGATGGAACCAATGTAGCAGTCGAAACTATTTTCTATGCCACGTCTGTCTGGCAAACCACTGGAAAATGTCAGCCGCTTCCTGTACCTGCCATCACCAAGGTTATTATATAAATTATTATTTAATGTATGATTTTAAGTATTACATGTGATGTAACAAAATAACTTTCATTCATCTGTAGTAGTAGTGAAAAAATATGGTTAGTTTACTGTACATAAATGTACTATCGTTAATAACCCATTTTATTTTTATTACAGGTTCTGACTAAAATAGTTGAGAAGGATACTTCTACGATTCCTGAGTTGTATTATGCTGTTGGTGCTTTGAAACATTTGTCTCATAAATTACCTGAAGCTACAATCACCAAGCTTGTAAAAACGTTACAGAGCGCTTTGAAGAAAGACGATAGCGTTTCCAAGTAAGAAAGCCTCAAGAAAATCAAGTGATTGATTCATATTTAACGTTTTCAATTTTATGTAAGTTTGTTCTGTTTATAGCTTAGGATATACATTCCATATAGCTGCCGATTTGGGTTCTCCTGGTGCATTTGCTTTTGAACGCATTGAGGATGCCATTGTCCAAGCGGATGAGGTCAATGGGCAATACTTGCAGTTTGAAGGTGGTCTTTCCGTTACAAGTGAGTTGATTCATTTAGAGTAATTATTTTAAACCTTTTCATACATGCATTTCACTATGATGTTTATAAAACTTTCGTTCTACTGTAAGAATGTTGAAGAAACTAAATTTTTCTGATATTGTTTTTATTCATCAGTAACAAATATTTTTGGCTTGACTGTATTTGTAACTATTGTAATTGTCTGTGTACAGGTCTCGTGGTCAATGGAGTATTTAAATTGTCTTCTTCTTTGAACAAAAAACCTCCACTCACATCCCAGCAAATTGTTAAGCTAGCAAACTATCTCCTATCTCGAGTTTCTGTACAAACACCCAAAGGCGTAATTAGCCTTCTCTCTGCATTGACCACTTTGGCTACGAATGAATTCGAGAAACCAACATGCATTACCTTGGCGGAAGGAGGCATGAGTATTTCTGTGCAACAACCACTGGTCAAAGTTAAGGTCTGTGATATTCTTGGCAATCCTCTTGAAAAGGTGCCAACAGTTACTGCCAAGTCCGTTACAAAGTTGAAAGGGGAAGCTGTTGCTGTAAACAAGAAAAAGTTTGAACCTTCACAGGAAGACAAGTGAGTCGATTCTCCAAAATATTTGATATTAATTTTAATGAAATTATTCCCCAATTATTTGCTGTATCAATATATGCATCTTGATAACAGTTATACGCTTGGGGTATATGAACTGTTGGACAACAAAATTTGACCTTGTTTCATATGGGATGGTTATTTTAGAGTTTAACAGACATTTCCAATTGCGATGATTAACAGCTTTTCCTTGCATGGAGTTTTTTAGCTATTTTTAAAAATATGTTTGTTACAGAACCTTGTTCACGTTGGATTTGATGGATGCCAAGCTGAGTCGAGGTTTCTACCAGATATCGATATCAGCAGGTTTGGTGTCCAATACCGTTACGGTCAAGGTGCTTTCAGAAGCTGTGATAGATTATCTGGAAATTGGAATCGGTGATGCTGATCAAACCACTCAACCAAAACTGATAAAGTAATTGTTTTTATATATTACATTTCTTTTGATGTCATTGCAACGGTAGTGTATAATTATTAACAAATTCCAGAGTTAAATACCCAAACAAGTTGGAGGAAAAAATTGAAGCCGACTCTCAGCAGAAGCTCGTTATGAGATTTGCACTAAAGGATAGCACAAAGAAAACAATCAGAACCCATCAGGCTTTTGTGAAGCTTTCTCCAGCGGCTGATTCAACTATAACAAATAAAGATCATGAGATCATTTTCGTTGCCGAAACGTCGCTGGAAGTTTACAAATTTGACATGGTACGTATGCATCTATGGGTACATTACAATTTTAAAATCAGATTATATTACGAGTGTGTTCATTATCATACTGACTTATATTTAATTTCTGTACTAGCCAGTGGGACCAACTGCTGGAAATTTTGGTCATGAAAGTGGGGACTACAATGTGGAATTAATAGTTGGTGACGCATTGCTGAGCAATTCTTTCCAGTGGAGAGTGGCAGTTGTGACGTTGAAATTCCCCGAAGCACCTACATTTGATGTCTCGGTCCCATCCGATAAATTTGCACCATTCCAACATAAGAATAATATGTATACACCAAAGCCAGAAATTAAGGTAAGAATTAGAATTTTTATAGTGAAAAGATGTGTTTGATACCAATGCTCGTTAGTGGCAGAAAGTGTTCATTATTTTTGTCACCTCCATAACATTGGTAAATCAACGACCAATTTGTAAGATTCCTGTTCTAACATCCAATCTGTTGAACGGTTGTTTCACACCTTGGCCAACAGTTATATAATAAAAATAATCATATCCGTTATGAAAATGATAAAATGTATGAGCAATTTTATCATTGAATCATGTTTATTTTTCCAGCATATGTTCCGGGAACCTGAAAAGAGACCCCCTGCATTTGTGTCCAATTTGTTCACTGGATTATGTCTTGCACCCGTTCTTCTGTTATTTATCCTCTGGGCTAAACTTGGAGTCAACATTTCCAACTTCCCGCTGTCTCTCAGTGCTGTCGTATTCCACCTAGGATTGGGCAGTATGTATAAATTTTTTTTTAACGAAAGCACTAGGTCCAAACCTGAACTACAATAAATGATATACGCCTGATGCTTGACAGACAACTGTGATCCAGTAAGATTGTTTGTTTTCAATCAGGCGAAGAGAAAAATGAATTTTCTCGCATATGTAACGACTGGTTACATTTGTAGAATAGTATTCATAACAATTTATATACTTATAGAAAATATGTCATCAAAGCGTGTGAAAGTTTTTAGTAACGGTAATATTTTTGCTTTTCAGGTATTTTCGTTCTCTTCGGAGTCTTCTGGTTGAAACTGAATATGTTCGTAACTCTCAGGTATCTCATGGGTCTTGGAGTCGTTACGTTCCTCGCAGGCAATAAATTGTTGTCGCACATAGCACGTACTCGTAAAGGACGTTAATTTTCATTTAGGATAATCATCGAGAGTGTATCATTCTTCTTTTTTTTTTAATACACGAGCTAAAACCAGAATAGGTGCAGTGATACACGTTTGCAAATAAGTCGTAACTCGTCTATTTTGTATATAAAAGAAGAGGAAGGAAAAAGTGAGAATATTAAACGTCCCGATAACGGTGGGGTATGATGATGAATCTACTTTGTCAGAAGGTGGCAGAACGTGTACTAGGATTCGGTATAGAATCGAAGTCATTTCTTTCCATTATCAGTCACGGCATTTCGAGATTAACTTTTAAGCTTCGAACACGTTAAACGTTCTTGTAAGTATTCTTATTTATGTGATGACGTGTTCTCGGTAAAATAAAACTTGCTAATTTGTATGTTTATAACCTGAGCGTTAGAGCAGACGCTAAATATTTCGTCAGATTTGTTTCTCCCGTCAGACTTGGAAAAATATACGATCGTACGTACTCATATTATTAAAAAAAAAAACTGACTAGAGGGTGGAGGACTGAACGCGAACAGTCGTTTTGTACGGATCTGTTACACATTCCTGCGATACTTGCTGCGAAGACTTGTTAATTATAAGTTCGTCAGGTTTATCGCTTTCTACTTGTACAGACTTCGAATAAATAAATTGCTAGAGCAATAAGAGGTTCACAGAGAGTGGAAAAAGGGACGAGAAGCAACGAAGGGTTTTTCTTGGATCACTTAAAAGTCCTCGATGGACAGACTTTGCATCTTGTGGACCGATGAGTTTCTAATATTTCCCAGTTTCTCTTTCTCCGACAAAGTCTCGGCGTTTCCTGCTCTCACGGAAATGCAATGCCGAAGACATTCCTGCAAACAATGCGTTTCTTTTTTCAACTTGTCCCTCTTCACTCGCAATTCCGAAGTTATTAATTGCGCCGCGCTGACCCGGCGCCAGAATTGCTCCAGATTTTGGAATTCCTCGAGGATCTGAAACACGTTAAAAAAAAATTATTCACCAGTCCGGAATTAATTTTTAATTTATACAAGTTACAAACTTGATGACTGTCGTCCCAGTCTGATCGAATCGACGTAATCGTCACCGATTCCTCCAACTCGGTAGGATTAACAAATGGCAAGATCTTTTCATCGAGCGTCTCGAATTTTCTGCACATCTGTACCATTGTTAAAATCTGCTCGGCTTTGTTTACCAATTGTTCCAAGTGTCCCGTGGTTCGCTTGTACTCGATCGTCATTACTTTCAACTGGCTCTTGTCCTTTTCTTGGTCTGAAATTAAATTTTCTTTCGACCACATTACTGGGAGTTTTTTTTTATTTTACAAAGAAAGCGAATTTCACCTGACGCGAATTTGTCTTTTGCAGCCCAATAGGCGGCCTGAAAGAAGTCCCGCTCTTTCGCGATCTCCTGGACCTCCTTGTCGGCGGAGGTCCTGAAGGTTCCGATTTTCTCCCGAAATTTTCTAATCGATTCGTACAGAGAGATAGTGCGAGCCATCTGACGCTCGATGATCCCTCGTTCCTTCTCGTCCTTCGTCCTGAGGGCTTCGTAGAGCTTTCTCTTATCCGCGGTTTCTGCAAAAGTCGCGGCTCTTCATCCCCTCTCGGATTAAAGAAAGCCTCCCTCACTTGTCAAGTACGCTGTCAAGATTTTCTGTAAATGTTCGCAGAGGGTGCCAAGTTGCTTCTCCATCTGGGTACCAGTTAGGCGTTGAACTTCCTTGTTCTCTCCGTCCATTGCGTCCACCTTGGCTGTGGAGAAGGAAAACTAGAAATAGGATCTAGAAGCCATTGGGCCCGTTAATTTTAACTTATCGATGCTCACTGATGGTCCCACTTTTAACGTTGTTCAAGAACTCCTCGTTTCGATGTTCTACCGCGAATATCATCGCCTGGAGGACGGTCTCGTCCTCGGTGTGCACGTTACTAATCTCCGTGTTTTCCAGCTCGGAACCTGCCAACATCTCTTCGAGATCTCGCCGATAGTTCCTCTGCTCCTGGTGCAACCTTTTGCCGAAGATCCCCATCAATCGATCTATCCCATCCACGTGGGACCGGAAGTTCATCTGATACTGCTCTTCGGCGGCCGATACCGCGTCCATTAACAGACTGATACTAGACAGTAGAATTTCACATTTTAGATAGAAAGTAGTTGAGCAATAATTAATTTATTATATATCCCGCTTCGGGCAGGATGGAAAGTCGTCTCTGTGATCAATTTTTTATCGGCGTCTTATCGGGGACCAGTTCGGACCTTATTAATGAAACATGTGAAATCCTGGGAAATCGGGTATCTGGATGGGAGGCTTGAGAAAAAAAATTATTTATTATTCCCGACCAGTTTTACAGCGGTCAGGGGCGGATATGAATATCTTGGAAGACCCGCCAAGTCATCCGGCGATTAAATTACATCCGAGATTAATTGGGAATTTAATGGACGGCATTTATGGGCGGATATTTCCCCTACCTGTAGTCCTTAATGTCAAGGGCACGATCGAAGGTGCGCCAGGCCACCTCCAGGTCCTCCTTGAAGGATGGCAGCGTCACTTTCCTCATCGTCTCTCGCCATTTTCCTCGGATTTTTTTCAAGTTCGCCGCACTTAGGGCGACCTCCCTCTTCAAGTGCTCCTTTTTCAGGAAAATCTCTCTCTCCCGTTTCGCGCGAAGCGCGGCTTCCCTCTTCGCCGTCGCCCTCGCCCTTTTCTCCTCCGGAGACAATTTCTGCCGAAATAAGATACAGTTCTCTCGAGTTCGTAATTTCTTTTCAGGGAAATTTTTCAACCGAATTTTTCGATAAATCATTCGATAGGATATTTTTTTTTTACTTTAGGAGGCATTTTCAAGCTTGGATTCGGGGGACTTCGTGATCTGGAGGGTTGATACTGTTAGTTGTGAATTAATTGACATTGACACTCGAGATCGACACGTGAATGCCGGATCGCGGCTTCTTCGTGGTCTTCGGGTTAAGGCGGCTCCTGTGCTCGGTGGGGCTTTCTCAATACTCGATCTAGCTTTCGGATAGAGTTAAACTTTCCTTTTCTTTTTGGTACTTCTCAACCGCGAGAGGACGACGTGCACTCGAAAATGAAAGAGTCTCGCGACATCGAGACTTGGTCCCGGGATTCGTCCTTCGCTCTGCCCACGTCATTTCATCGAAAGTAAAATCCTCCTTACAGTTGCGACAAGATTGGTAACATCGAAATTTATAGCGGTGAGGTCGTTTAAACGGTATAAAGTTTTTGCGTTTCCGTTGGACCCCGCAGTTGTTACGGTGACGTTACGAGGACGATATCGATCACCGATTAAGTGTGGGATATTTTTTACGGAAGGATTTGGACCGCCAAAAGTCGACGAGGAATCACGGTGAGCGACTCATCGACAGCGATATAAACGGGAATTTAAATCGGCGCCAATTTTTCTCCCCTTACTGAATCTCGACTTTTTATTCCAGGCATTCGAAATGAAGCTCTCGGAGGTACTTTTTGTTATCAGCATCACGGCATGGACCGCATCTGCCCGGAAACTGGACGAGAATTATTTCCGCTCGAGGCGTCAGATCGGAGAAATTTCCAGGTCCACCGGAGAAGTTATTAAATTTCTTACCCCGAGGTAATTCCTATAATCGCATCTCCACATTCCCTTATTGATAGCGTTAATTGTAGTTATCTCTACGCGCTGATTACCGGCTATCTAAACTGTATCAAAATTTCAGACTGCTCTCGGAAATCGAGGAAGCCAGGAACGACCGCACGGGACGTGGGGTCGCTTATGGATCGGAGTACGTCGGGTATAAACCATTTTATCCGCCATACATCACTGTTCAAGACAGACTCAACAGCAACAATCGGAAAATTTATTACGACAAGGAGTACTACTCGTTCCGGGGGAATAACGACCACGTGGACGGGGAGCGCAGTCAGGATTCCAAGGGAGATCCTTTTCCAAAAATCGGTGGCTACTCTTCGACGAAGAGCCCCATAGACCTCCCGGAAGTGCACCAGATCGCTCGTCACAGCGGAACCGGAAGTCTCGATGGATATCAATTTCCAGGAGGAAGTGCAAGCTACGCCTCGTCTTTCGCTAGTGTCTATGTACTCTTTGACGATAATTAAAAAGTACGCAAGTTGGGCGAACGCACTCGAAAATGGTCATGGCTGATTTCTGGGGGTTTCACATTGTCATGGGTTTTGGTTCCGACGATTTGCGACTAATCACAAGGACGTCGATTTGATATGCCGCAACAGGCGCACCTGTAGGCTAATAACCAGGGGTAATTAAACGTGGAATAAAGGGCGTGCTTACATTCAATATTGATAAAGTACTCGTGAAAAGCTCTTCTCCACCGATTTTTCTCGAGAATCGTAGGGAAGCGATGGCTTTCTTTTTTTCCCTTAGAAAATTCAGGGCAACGAAAGAGGGCCGATGCCGTTTCCGTCCTAACTTTCAATCTGCAATTTAAACAAGTATTTTAGCCGGCTATGAAAGCGATGCATTTCGCAAGTGCGCCAGGTCCGTTGCGATATGTCGAAAACGAAGTAAATCAAAAGTTCCCGCAGTGGACAACACATGCAAAACATGTTCGCTTTGGACTAGGGAAGTCGAAATTTATTGCAGCTGCGGATGCCCTCTGTATGCGAATTATTTCCTTTTTTTTCTGTTATTCCAGTAATTGGAAAACTTCATCCGTGACGAATGACGGATTTTTTTCTCCTCCCGTTTCCACTTCCTCTCTTTATTCCTTTTTCCATCGCGTTCGTTCTTTCTCCGGGTAGGAACTTCGCCGTCGGTTTCATTTCTTTCTTTCTTCCTCTTTTAGAGCACGATTTCGTTTAACATTCGAGAGGAAAAATCTTGAGGGGAAGTTCTTCTTTTCTCTAGTTGGACGTTTCTTTGCGAGATCGAACGTCCCAGTTTCGTCGCTGTCCTGGGCACTTCGCGGTCGCGAGAGGGACGTTTCGAAATACCGTGTGGATGCTTATGCAAATGTCATAAATTACACGAACCATACAGACGCGTGGTGCCAAGGTCGGGCCTAGATGGGCGTGTGGTATTTTTATGTCGCTAGATTTTTTCGCGACTTTTGGGAGCCGTCGTTCCACGTTCGGTCAGCATGACAAGATCCGAAGTAACGATTTCCGGGTCGTTAGGAAATTCCGTGAATCCATGAATATTTCTGGGAATTCCCCATAGCAGTAAAAAAAAATCGACCTAACGCCGACTAAAAATCAGCGAGCCTAAGAGGAATTAACCCAAAAATACGTACTCTCATTATCAGCCGTGAAAAAACCATCCTCTGGCATCCTCTATTCCCCGATGCAAATGTTTTAATATTTAACATTACGAAAAAAAATAGCATCGCTAAGCGATGCGCCACTAAGATTGACTCTTAAAAGCTCATTTGAAATTTAGGAATTGTTAAGGAAAATAAAAAAAAAATCTTCGAGCGAGGGAGCGCTTTCGTTTAGAATTCTGCAACTGGCCCAGACAATGGGCTACTCCTTTGTCGAGAATCCGACCTTGGGAGTTGAAAAATCGAGGAAAAAAGGGGGAAGAAAAGGAGGAACATGATAGAGACGTCTCGAGAGTGCCGAGTCACGTCCATGGTCAATGCTCGATCCCCGTAGATCTTTGTCAGAAGTTCGATTCTGTTGAATGACCTGGACCGGACCTCGGTAATGGGGATCCCAAGGAGTAGGGCTGAACGCGGATGGACCGTCCGGTTTCCTCCTATTTTGGCGAAAGCTTCCCCCATGGTGGGGAGGAATTAAACTCATCCTATAAAAGAGTCTCCTCTCGTTCTCCAGCATCACATGACCCAGAACCACCGAGGTTCGTAAGGAACCTTCCGTTTCTCCGCATTCGCGCGAACGTGGCGTTAATCTCGGAAAAGGCTCTCTCGCGAGTTCGTCTTAAAGAAAAGAAAAAAAATATCTCCAAATTTCAATTTTCAAACTTAAACTCCCCCCTGTGACTCAGTGAGCGCGATCTGGATCAAAGTGGCTTCGTTCGGTCGCGACAAAATTCCCAGTTATTTGTCGATTAAATATAAACATTCATAAAAGATAAAAAATCGCCTCGAGGAGATGCTCTAAATGAATGGTTTAAAAATGTGCGGAAATTCCGGGCGGGGATTTTTCCGGGATTTTACCGCGTGTGGGGTGTAGGGTCTTACAGGTGTTTCTGAGGCCAGGTGAAAAAAAAGGGAAAGAAAAACTGAGAAATATTAAAAACACGGAAGACCATCGAAAACTGGGTCTTCGGGAAGGGCGACGTAGTTTTCGTAACGAGTCACTTTCGAAACTCGTATAAGCGAAAGATTGTATAAGAGGTAGGCGCGCTCGATCGCGGCTCCCGTGGAATTTCAAACGGGATTCCAATTGTCGATATTCCGATTTTTTTTTTTTCGTCCCCTGCTTTCGTCGGTTTCTCAACTATCGAATATGATTTCGCAAAGCCTCCTCCGATGACACGTGGTCTCGAAGTGCATCACCCCACTGCTCGGCGCGGAATTGAATTGGATAAAATTCGGAAAAAAATGAATTTTGAATTATTTTCGATTATTATCGATTAATCTAATTAACCGTTGATTTCATTCGGTAGTAATGCTATAATAAAAATTCTCGATTTTGCCCTACAGATGCAGCTCCAGGTCCTCTTCCTTGCCAGCGTCGTCCTCGCCCTGGCTTACGCCGCGACGATTCCTGAAAACGTTGCCGAAGAAAATCCTCTTCCTGAAGAGCATGTCCGGGACAAGAGGGGACTCCTTTTGGCGAAAAAAGCTGTTCTTTTGGGAGGTGCTGCTCTGGGAGCGAAAGCTGTCGTAGGTGCTGGCCTGGTCGGGGCTGGACTCTACAAAGCGTCCCGGTGAGTCTGCGATTTAATTAACGTTTTTATTTCTAACCATTCCCCGCGGAATTAAAATCTCATGAGACATTAGAACGAAAACGTACGTTGTATCCCTTCGTGGGAATTATTCATTTTGGATATCGCAAAGATTTTCCGTACACCGAAGGTGTTACTTCAGGATCCCCTGTGCAATTTTTAGACCGAACAGCGATCGGCCATTTTTTGTTACCTGTTTTTAAATTTTATCCGGGGCGAGGTAGTGAGTATTTTAATCGGCGATTATTTTCAGGTACTACGGAGGAGGATACGGGGGAGGATATCACAGTTATCAGCCGACCGTTTATCACCACTATGCCAAGCCAACTTACGTCAAGTACTACTCTCATTCTCCTTACTACAGCAGTGGGTGGAGTCCTTCCTACTCTTCAGGGTGAGTGATCCTGCAAACGACGAAAAATTTAAATAAAACATCTCCTAACAAACTATTATACATTATATTCGCCTCTTTCAGCTGGAGTTGGTGAAGAGTCGGAAAATCCTCGAAAAGTGAAATCTGCCCGATGTGACGTTCGATGGACGATAGTGCTGTAAAAGCTTTCTGTAGTAGTTCTAAGTACTTATTTAAAAACTGCGAAAATACAACCTGTTTGTTAAAAGTCGGGGTAATTTGCCGAATAATCGATCGTAGGGAATCGGGGACGGTTTCTTTCCGCACTTATGCGCGCCGATCGGGGCCGTCGAAAGTGTCTTTCGGCGAGTGCTCGAAAATTGCAGTTTTCGCTGCAACTGCAGTTGCAGCTCGCGTGACCTGGGCATGAATCGAGACACGAGGGTCTCCATTATTGCCGGGGAAAACGAGTACGGCCTGCAAGGTCTGGAGGGCCACTGTAACTCCGGTTTACGGGTTAGACGTATGTCCGACAATTGCCCCGTGATTGTGCACTTGCACTTTCTCGGTGCGCCGAGGTCGGCGCTAAAGAATTCGTTGTTTTAAAACCAACGGGAGAAGTATTGGACCGGCGTAATTGTAATCGACGTGGCCTCTCGATTATATAATTAATTATCGTAAAGGGGAGTACACACGAGTGCGTGGTCGCCGAATTATTTCCTATCCTCGTGTGCGGCCTTATGAATGAACGCATTGTCGACGTTCCCCGTTGTCTGTTAACAATTTCGTCATAGGCCTTGCAGAGAATGTCAACGAGACTCGAGGCAGACCGAGCCACGGAAAGCGAGCCGACACACAGGGGTCATTACCGTTTTATTTGGCATGGAAAGTGCGTACGATCGACACCGCCGACTTTCTCGGGCCATTGTGCACGCACCTTAAGCACCGAGGGCACGCAATCATTTTCACTAATGCACGCACGCGGTGCATATTCGATTTTTGGACATATCCCGGCCGTGTGAAAACGCTCGACTCGACATATCTATCCACGAAACGAAGAAAAGAAATGGAGAAAATAAAGTCGAGGACGTTTCCAAACACTCGATGTGCCTTTAGAAATGCTTCCCAGCAGGTTAATCAGGTTCCACTTGACATGGAATTACCGAAAAGTGGTGCGCGGTTTAGAAATTCGAGTTATTTGAGAATGAGTCTCAAGGTCTCGTCTTAGCAGAGCCATTTTTTCGTTTCTTTTTTTACCACGAAGAGCCATGGTCCTTTTTCTATCACGAGGACCCAGGGTCGTTTTGTATTACCTATGGTAGATATGGTTTTACCTTACCCATAAACGTCACTTTTCTTCACGTGGTAAGAAATGTCTAGACCTCGTAACTCGAAGTTACATTGCGCCGAGTGACAATGCCGAATCGATCGCGAGATCGATGGGGTCGAACCTAATTGTAACACACGGCGACACGCCGAATAACGACTAGAAACGAAGGAGGGGGTTGGCGCAACGAGCACTGTATTCGGTATTTTTTTTTTACCTAGAGGGGGGCACCGGGTCACCAGGGTATAAAAAGTAACTCGGAGAGTTACCGGGCACAGTACAAGTACGCCTACGCGAAAAGTTCACTGTACTCGAAGACAAGGTGAGCCGTGCCCGAAAGTACACGGGTAACTTACCCAGGACCGACATTTTTGATCTCGAGTCCCCAAAACCGAATCCTGCCCGAAATTAGTGCAACTCTCGGTGCAACTAGGAGAATCACGGATTTCGCAAGTTTTGCTGGACTCGTCATAGAACTTTCCCGGTCCCTATTGTCGACATTCCGGGTTTTAGGGCCGTTTAACGAGTTCTCCTTTTTTACTCCGCGTACACTTACGTGACTTTTCCTTGCGCAAGCGCTCTTCAGGGCTCGGCACTCGACTGGTTGCACTCGGAAGTAACGTCAATTTTACAGTCATTTTTACACCTGACTGCCGACTCGGAAATTTTGCGTCTCGTAAAGCAAACCCTCGCCTTCCTAAAGTCGGCATAAACGCAGCCGATTGGCCGTTATTAAGATTTTTCTATAATTATCTAAACGCACTCCGGCTCGCGCGGCGTTCGCCATCTTGAAGAGGTGGCTACTTCTTTGCGGTGGAGAACCTTCAGTGTTCTCCAGGCGGGCAAAGTCGAGTCGTTTAGAGCCTCCGTTAACGTAAGAAGGTTAATTTCCCCGTGTAATGAAGATTCATCGACGTCTAATGACCGTGGAAAATCGCTGATGGGAACACCTCCCCCGTTTGCATCACTGATTCTCCTCGCCTCCCGCTTACGTTTCCTCGAGACTCGAAGAAATATTTCCCTTCGGGGAAACATATCGTACAGTGATCGCTTGAATTATTTTTAAGCAGTGTACCATTAATACTAATTGTTACATACAATTTCCCCCTAAATAGATGAAATTCACGAGCGTCGCCCTTGCCGTGTTGTGCTGTTCGGCGGTTTACGCCATGGCGGAAGAGGCTCTTCGGCATCGACCGGAATTCCCGTCCTTGGAGGCGGTTTCCGATGATCAGGTGCATTCCAGGACCAAGAGGACCATCTTCCTGAAGAAGAAGCTCCTGGGAGCCGGCCTGCTTGGATTCGGTCTTGGAATAGCGAAGGGGTGAGTCTTCGGCGTCGATTGTCATGGAGGATCCTCCGTGGCTCTTCCTTATTCGACTTCCTTTCAATTTTCTCCTTCATTTTCAGTTACAAAGCCGGCTTCCTGACGGCGCCTCCTGTTCATCACGTTTACGTGGCACCTCCTTCACCTCCTGTGAAATATATCGAGTACGTGGAGCGTCCTGTGTACGTCGAAAGGATCGTCGAGAAGCCGGTCTTCAAATCGGAGCACGTGGAGTACGAACACGGATGGTCGCAGCCGGAACCTCCTTCTGGATATGGGTAAATAATTTAAATTATTCCTTGCACAATTAATCCCGAAGCTCTAAGTCCTGGAAAGTGTCCCTAGCTTCCCAGAGCAGCTGAAGGAAATTATTTCGAACCTGCGGAAATTCTCAGGATCGAGGATCTCCTAGACCGGGGAAGTACCTGAAGGAAAAATCATTATTCATCGCGATGAAGTCATTCGCTTAAGCAGTGATCGGTTTATGTGACTTGATTGTCAGTTTGGTAAATTCATTGACGCTTCCTTCGGGTCTCCTTGATCCTGACGTGGAGATGCATAATGGTGCTTCCTCGTAAGACCTAAATGCAAGGTCGGCCGAGCAGGCTCCGATTAAATCAACGTATCCCACGATAAGAAGCTAATTACTCTGACGTTGAATATGTATTTTCCATTTACAGCCGCTGGTGAGGGAAGCGACGTCATTGCTGATCCTTCCTGGTCCCAGCGAGGAGGTCGTTGCTGGTTGCTCACCCCTGAAGAGAGGCAACATGCTGATCCACTTCAGGAAAATTTCGTTACTGCTGTTATGTTATGCCTTTTGTAAAGTGAATGTTTATTAAGGAAAAAATGTGCGATTAAATGATTAGTCGCTTAACACTTGGCTATTTGTTTTACCCGACCGATGGTATCCGTGCTAAGTGATCTTGAAAACCTTTCCTCGTCCATCCTCACTGAGGAGGACCTTGAAGAGGCGATGTAAAAAAACGAACAGTGCAATGCCCCGTTTTTGCTTGATCGCGAAACCAAGGATGACACTTTGTTCTCCTCGCTCTCTTCGCGTTCTTCTTCGACATCACTATGGAGGGAATTATTGAACAATCGGCGCGATCTTCTGAATTAATATCGCTCATTTAAATTCATCGATATGAACGGTAGTTGCCATTTTTCATCCCTGCACGTGTTCCCAGGAATGCAGCTCAAGCCGGCCTTTTTTTAACGATGGCTCATGGAAATTGTTATATTCAATTATACGCTTTTACGCGTTTACGGACCTAGGTCAACCACTTACGGAAACGTGGAAGATGCTCCTCGGAGGACTCAAGGTTGGGCCATTAGATGCAAACACGGAACGAGTCGTCATTAAATTGCTGGGAAATTCTCGATGATCCGTTTGTGGTTTTCCTGAAAAAGCGGAGCTAAAATGTCGCTCGTCGGGTCGGTCACTTCGCCGACGTCGTGGATAATAAATTAATTCAGAAAAGTCGGGGAAGCTGGGATGACTGATGATTTTTATGGCCTTACTGAGAAGTGAGTTAATGCGTAATGTTTTGCATATTACGGGTCGAATCTCACGCCTGGCGTCATCAAATCATCTTTGACGTCCTTTTAGCACTTCTATTCCATTCTTACGCTTCCTTGACACTTTTATTAATTTATGAAGGGGCTAAAAATTGTTCCCATTTTTTTTTCTCTCTCTTTTCGTTTAATCGAAAGCCTGGAAAAATGCGGAAAAATCGGCTTGGGTAAAATGGGTTACAGTGATTCGGGATTACAGCACCCCGAACGAGTCACTGTCCACGAGGGTCTTCAGGGTCGATTACGTGTAAACTTTCTGGAAGTACACACGAAAGTCTTGCGCAAACCCGAGGAAAGCGACGCCCAGAAAAATAGGCCTCGGAGGATCCGGCACTAATATTCCTAAGAATTTCGTCCATTTGTGGAGAAACAAAGAGGGCCTCATTTGCATGTGCGGAGATTCGGTCGCCAAAGGAGCGCCGATCATCGAATATGCATCGAGTCCCTTCCTACCTCCCTGGAGAATTTTTTTAAAAATCGAGAAACAATTCTCGATAATAAATCCCGAGCTCACTTTTTCACTGGTATTTACATTTTCACACCTATTAGAGTGTTTCCCAAGTTAAGGTGAAATTTCTCCTGTCCATGAGAACCGTCACGTACGCTTTCATTGAGGTGGCTCCTAATCATTCCAGGATGTAAAAAGCCGATGCTATCGATATTTCGTTTTTACGGAATTTTCTAACGATGCCCTCATTAGGGCTCAAATTGACGTCATTTGGAGTGCAGCCATTGAAGTCTCGAAAATGTGATTTCTACCTTGACATCGGTGACTCCGATATCGTGTGGAGGCTAAACGCGTGAGTTCGTCACGATGGGAGGGAGGTAAATACACCTGAGGAAGATGGCTCATCAGGTGGGAGACTTGTGAGACATATAAGTACTCTGAGATCATCCCGAGGAATGGTCAGACACGTCGAGTACCTCCTGAAGGGTTGGACGTAACACACCACAGAAAATGAAGGTTAGTGTCAAATCAATTAAAACGTGTACTTAATTTTCAGTACATCCGTCCAGTACCTCTTAACTGGATTTTATGATAACCAATAATTTCAATAATTTCCGACGAGAGTTCCTGAATATCGAAAAATTTCGAAAAATCTTCAGATGCGTCTACGACTCCTCTCTCTGGTCCTCCTTTCTTGGGTGGTCCTGACGATCGCCCAGGAAAAGGAAGATGTGCAACCGAACCAGCTGGAAGCCGAAGAGCCCCTCGACGTGGTAGAATCTCCAGAAGCTCCTCTCGACAGGACGAAAAGGACATTGTTCTTGAAGAAGAAACTCCTGGGTGCCGGCGCTCTAGGCTTCGGACTAGGATTTGGCGTTGGAGCAGCCAAAGGGTAATTTCCTCATAATCCACACATCTCATAAAAATTCCACAGGACTCCCAGGATGGTCTTCCTGCTCCCTGAATTTTTCTCGAGATTCAGACCCCCTTCATACTCCAAAAAAAAAAAAAGATATTCCCGGCGGTTTCCACGGAGTCATGAAAGTCAATCGTCACCTCGTTGCAAAAAGGACCAGGATCGGAGTGGACATGTCCTTGGGGATTCCCGGGCACTTAGAATTTCGAGATCACGTCCCTGTGCATGCAGAAGATCCGGATCGCCATTTTGCTGCTTGGCATTCTTCAAGAGTCCTCGCACGCGTCATTTCGGCTCGTTGTCATTCGGCGGTGCACCTCGACCGGTCATGTAACGATTACAAATTCGGTGTAATCATTGCGAGTAGTCGAAGAAAGCACAGTGACTTTCTTCGGCCTCGCATTGTTTACCGCTAATGAAAGAAATTCGGAGGTGTCCCCTCGGAGCTCGTTTGCATTTGAATGCACCCTCTTCGCCATCCTCGAGGAGTGGTTTCAAAATGGAGGCGCATCGAAATGTTTCTCAGGTGACATGATGGTCTGGAATTGAAGGAAAAATTGGAAAAAATGAAATCAATCAGGGGAACGAAACGGAACAGGTCCACGAAGGACTTCCAGGAAACGCTGGAAGAAGGTCATGCTCGGAGCGTCGAGAGATTGGCAAAGCCCGAGGATGAGCTAACGTAATGGACATAAGTAATACTAATGCGATGTGCAAACAAGCCCTGGGCACTTTCGACTTGCCACACTGGTTGTTAGATTTTCTCCATAAACTGCCAAGGCGCCGGTGAAGCATGCGTGAAGCGTCATTTCCAATATTTACAACTCGTCCTAAAAGGATCCTGGTTTTGTGCACGATTATTTATTATTTACCGTCTCGGTTCCAGTCGCATAAATAGACAGTTGCATCATACAACTGTCGTCATCTGTTGCATAAAAACCCCAGCGTTGAATAAATTTCGACGAGTACCTGCTTGTACATGATTTTCATTTTTTTTTTTAGATACAATTATGGCCATGGAGGATATGGAGGATATGGCGGATATGGCGGATATGGCGGATATGGCGGATATGGAGGATATGGAGGATATGGAGGTTATGGTGGCTACAAGGGTTACAGAAAACCCGGGTATTACCATTATGGCGGCGACCCCACGTACGTCGTCCAGCGTCCCGTTTACGTAGAACGTCCAAGTTACGGATACAGTCATCCAAGCTATGGATATGGAGGTTCAAACAGTTACGCCAATAGTGCTGCTAGCAGTTTTAGTGCCGGTGGAAATTTCGGGCCCATTTCTGGGGGAATATCTGCCAGTCAGGCCAGTGCAAGTGCCAGTTCCGGTTCTGGATGGAACGGCTACGGAGGGTGAGTTTGGAGTCATTTGCGGTTATAAAACCAGAAAAAAGACAGAGAGTTCACCAGGAAAACTCACGATTGTCGACCTATGACTTATAGGAAGAGTGCCCATAGTTTAATTCTTGATAACATATGTTATTTAGGAACTTTTGGGGCGATTTCTTACTTAGCGTCGTTTCCCTTCCAGGTACCACTACTGAACAAAATGGCGGCCGTCAGAGATCTCGAGCGGACCGTAACGCGGGGAGATTCGACGTCTAATCTAAGAATTCTGGATGCAATCCTGCAACTTTACATACCTCGTGTAATATATGCGTTAGATTTAAAGTCTTTTGTACGGATACATTAATAAAATTGTATTTATCCCTATTGTCGACCGATCAATGGCGGCTGAAGGCCGCCTTTAAGTGTTTAGAAACGCAATCGAGCGTTTCCGTTCTTTCCGTAAATTCGAAAGGACGACACGAGATAGATTTATTGATATAAATCCGTGGTGGACTGATCACAAGGGGGTGAGAGTGGGAAAGACGCTCAAATATGGACGCGACGTTTAAGACTCGCGAGCGGCCGTGTATTTGGTCACAGCCATTGCTCCTTCGGAAACTGCATATTTTGCCAGATCCCCAGGGAGCAAAAGACGCACCGCAGCCTGGATTTCCCGGGAAGTTATGCTGGATTTATTGCTGTAACGTGCGAGTCTAGAAGCTTCGGTGGCGAGTCTGTGGAACATGTCGTCCAGGAAGCTGTTCATGATAATCATTGCCTGCTTGGAGATCCCCGAGCCCGAGTGGATCTCCTTCAGCACCTTTCAAATTGTACGCTTGTAAAAATAAAATAAACGAAAGATATATCCGACAAACATTTTCTTTTTTTCCTTTTACTTTGTATATGTAGGTGGAATAAGTCTCCGCTCTTTTGGCCTTCCGTTTTCTTTGCTCCCTGATGGAATCGGCGCTCCTCTTCAAGGAAGACTGACTAGGAACTTTACGACCCATTTTTCAAGGCCCTGAAGACGAATCTCAGGCTCCTCGAGAACTGCAGGAAAATCTGTCTCTTCGACTGCACTGGCTTGTACAATTTAAATCATTCAAATCATTTAAATCATCCTCTTCCCCATGGATCTCCAAAACTCATGTCAAACCGAGCCGAATCCGGGTTTGCGGAACAGTGCAATGCCGCGCCGCAAGTGTTTTATTTTTTTTCCTCCTTTCAGAGTCGTTTTTAGCCATGAGCGTGCCGAAGTACAAACGTGCCCTGATGGAGGCTCGTCGTCATTCAAGCTTGATTTTGCTGAGAGTGTTTCATGAAAAATTACGTATATTAATGGTATTATTTATTTCTGATGGATTGCTGCGAACGGAATGGAGGTAAATGTTGAATACGACTGTCTTTATTGTGCTATAGGTACTAAATACTTCTCCTTTCTTAACGGATCGTCTAAAAGATACAAACATCCGATTCTCGGTGAATATACAATATTCTACAGTAAATTCTGTCAACACTTAACATCCATCTGTCTTAAAGTTATCCGAGCGGCGTTAACACAGACAAAATCTCAGCTCCGTACAAACGCCCGGGAAGAAAAAAGAAATACCCTCGACCGAGTCGCCATTAAATGATATTTCGCGGGTTCTTCGTCGTGATAACGTCGGCTGAAATTACACGCGAATTGTCACACGCGTAGCGAGGTATAACGAGAGAGACGAAATGATTCCCAGAAAAAAAAATTCATTTTTTCTTTTACCCTCCTTTCAGTCGACAGATTTCACCCCAGAGCTCACATCCTCCCTCGTTATTTCCTCCGGTTTAATTGCAAATGAAATTCAAATTTAATGGGGAAAAAAAAAAAAATATTTCTTTGGCGATCTTCCATCTCTCGATGACGAAAAAATCCCGAAGAGCTCCCTGTCGAAGGGGCGGTTCGGTAACTCACTTATAGAAAATACAGGCTATTTACACAGGTACTCTAACACCAACTTGTCAACAACATGTAAATATTTATAAACTTCTCTGTAACATTCATAAGAGTTATTAATGATCCTGGGTCTGCGGAAATGCTACGTTCCACCGACGCGCGCAAAGTCGGACGTCCTCGTCTGTCTCGTTACTTTGTACCTGTGCATGTATATAATACCATCGCAGTACGTGACGTACGAACCTAAATTATATACGTGTAAATATAAATATAATTATTTATATATATATATTCATTTACCGCACGAGTCCAGCGCGCGCCTCGATTCAACCGGCCCCCTTAAATATCCATTATCCTGAAAATATCGCTTTGGATGGAAATAATCCACAAAAGAGACATCGACAGGACGTCCGAAAAGCGCGCGTCTCCTTCTAACGATTGTCACCTAGTTTCGTGATGGTGTTTCGGAGCAGTGAAGACGAGGCGGCCTCGAAGCCGCCCTCGTCGGTATCTCTTCGTCGTCTCGTTAACATTACAATGGGAAATCTCGTTACATCCCGCGGTACCTTGACTAACGACACCGATTTTTTTTTACGTCGCTACGAAAGCGTGACGATCTCGAATTTATTGCTTATAAATTACTTCACGTAAAGGGGACTCGCTCCCTGCGAGTGTTCGTCGACTCGCGGCCCAGGATCGCGCCCCGACTTGATAAAAAGAATGGCAAAAAGTCTTTTTTTTCCCATTCCGAAAATTTTCCTCGGCTCTCCAGGGCCCAAAGAAATTTATCGTGATTTTTAAACCGCGATTTCTTTATGACAAAGAATACAATTATCGTTACTTCCGAGCGCGCGACCTCAGGACGCGGACGGTGGTCTTCGGTTTCCTAACTCTATGGTTTACACCGTCGAAACCTTTACAAAGTAAGAAAATCCAGGTAACGGGCACGACGAGACATTTAATTGTATATGTATTTATGTATATATAAACCACAGAACGTTTTCTCATTAGGCCGATAGAAAAAGATACAATATTTACACGCTTCGTAAGAGGACAGGCTCGCGACAGGTGCGAGCCTCTCGGTGTACGTAATTAATGCAGGTAATCGGCGACCTACCGGACGTTGAAGTCGTCGCGAACCGACGAGATCGCTCCAGAAATGGACGACTAGGTTATGGTTAAATACCATTAACCCTAATCAGGGTTATCGGAGGATTTGCAGCGAGGCTGACCCGCAGCGTCGAGTCTAGAGAAATACGCGTGCTCCAATTTCGAGATCGATTAATCTCGACGAGCCGCAATTCCTAATCGCGTCCTGTAAATATATCTCGAGAAGGACCTCTCAGAAGTTGCGTGGGATTTTTCCGAGATCGCTGGATGATCGAATCGATTTTTAGGATCACCGATCGTTCTTCGGGGTCGGTGGCTTTCCGAGGTCGGGGCAACCTTGCCACCTCCTCGAGCCTGAAATAGAATACCTGGGTCCTTTCCAGTCGAGGATCTCTCGAATTTCCCGGTGGGGTTCCTTTTTGAATATTTTCGACCGCTTCTTCTTAGCTCGTCTTGGTCGGAACCCCAGGGCGAGGTTTGGCTCTCGAGCTCCCCCAGAAAGGAAGGATCCCGAAGGATCCTCCAAATAAACCTCTCGGACTTGGTCTCGCTCGGTCGAGTATCGGTTATCGGTTCTTCCGGGGTCTTGATCTTCCCTTTGTCTTGGTCTCGTTCAGTCGAGCATCGGTCCCGGGAATCCTGCACCCTGCTCGTCACCGAGCGACCGGGAGCCGCGAGGTTCCGCTCGTCACTGGGTGACGACTATCGAGGGCGACTCGCCCTGGCCCTCGAGGGAGTCCCCGTCCCTCGAGCGCTCCTCCAGAGGACAGTCCGGCGCGATCCCGAGGGACCTGCGTCGGCGTCCTCTGAACAAACCTCAGCGAAGCGACAGGGACTCGACGGAGAGCGACATGGAAGCAGCGAGTCGGTAGCCCTGGTGGCTGGGAGTGCTTGGCACCTCCTCGATCCTCTCCAGGTCGTTCGCCGCCCCGGCGCTGTTCTGCTTGTGCAGCCTCGGGGTGTTCCTCAGGCTCTGGGACTCGGGGACGACGATGGACGGCTGCTCGTCCGGTCGGTCCAGGCTGAACTGCCTCTTGAGGAGCTTGCAGGTCGAGCCCTTGCCTACGACAGGACCAGAACGATCCTCGATGGATCCCAGGGACATCCCGAAGCGGCGCCTCCTAGCGAACGCGGTCGATCGCTTACCGTAATGCTCGTTCGGCGAGAGGCACCTGTACTGGTTGTACGGGGTGCTCAGGTCGTCCTCGTCGATCACCCCCACCCGCCCTCGGTGCCGCCCCCGGAAGGTGCTGCTGATCGACGTCAGCGAGGTCGTCGAGGCCCCCAGCAGCGCCGCGGCGACCTCCGTCGCCGACACCGGCGTCCCCAGGGACATCTGCGTGTCCCCGGAGGCGCTCTTCGTCACCGTCGCGCTGCCGCTGTAGTCGGGCGTCTTCACGATGTCCCGGAGGATCTCCACGGGTTCGCTGGATTTTATCGAGTAGCTGGGTGTCAGGACCCTCTCGGTGCCGTCGTGCACCGACACGGCCACCTTCCTGGCGCCGGGATGCTCCACCGCGCTCCTGGGGCCCGAGGGAGAGGCGCGACCCCCTGGCGTCCCCTCACCTGGGGCGGCCTCCTCGGAAGAGGGCACCTCCAGCTGAGTGGGTCCGGACTCCGCTTGATCGTGGATCGACAGACTGCACAGGATCACGCTCTCGTCCAGTCTACGGAAATTCCAGATTTATTCCACAATCGATGAACCGGGTAGCAAAAAATCCAACTATGACGCAGGGATGAAGCTATCGATTTTTAGAGTTTTACCCGTGGAACTTAATTCCTGTATATGGTTTACGGGAAAGATCCCCGAGTTTATAGTTTGGACGATGAAGAGGTCGTTCGGATTTTTTACTCACCCGTGGCTCTCCCTGGCATCGCAGCAGTGCAACAGATCAAAAGCGTTAGACACCTGAAAGGTGAAGTCTCCGGTTTAGGGGGTGGTGGCGGATTCAAGGATCCTTATAGTAATTCCTAAAGTCCCGAAGCAAGGCGTTTCCCATTTCGACTTGCATCCTGTCGCTAAACCCTCCTCTCATAATCCCGCCCCAAGTGCGCCTCTTTAAAAGCTATTTCCATCCCGACTTCGCCACCCCTGAAAATAGACCCCCGGCGAGGTTGAAGCGATCGGGCAAAACTTGAAAAGACAATCCACGACGTCTACCTCGACCCCATAATTTTGACGATGGGAATTTTCATATCGCGATCGAAGGGTTTCAGGTCCCTGGTCCTTTTTATCGTGCCATGTCTTCTTTTTTGGGCAGTATCGAACACGAATGCCTTCCCTGCAGGTATGGTCTTCCCTGTGTACGGGTCATCGACGCACTTTCCCCAAAATCGACGAGCTGCATGCTCGGGGGGTCTCGGTGCACCCGGGGATGGGGGTTTCTTCAGGTTTAAGGGGATGTTCAAGAGGCTAGGAGGTTGTTCGATCGCCGGCCGTGGTTCCCCACTTGGTCGGGATCCGCAGGAGCGTGAGAGGAACGGGTTGGATGCGCGATCAGTGGACCGTTCAGGGTTCGCTCACCCGAGTGGAGGAGGCGTTGGAAGCTCTTTGTCGAAGCCCTGCTTGCCCAGGAGCCAGTAAGTGGGCATCTTGCCTTTGCCCTTCACTTCGGTCCTGCCGCGGTACTCGATGTGGTACCCGCCGACCTGGGTCAATCGATCTCTGGTGGCCTGGCTCAGATGGATGCGCCACGGCGCCCCGGTCGATTCCATCCTGGACGCCGTGTTCACCGTGTCCCCGAAGAGACAGTATCGCGGCATCGTCAGGCCTACCACCCCGGCGCAGCATGGCCCTGACAAAGAAAAAAAAAACGATCCCTACCCTTCAAACCCATTTCCCACTTGCACCCCTAATTGTCGATCACTTACCCGTGTGGAGGCCGATTCTCAGCTTCAGCTGGGTGTTAGGAAGGTGTTTGAGTTTGAACTTCCCGCTCTGGTGGAGCAGATCCAGAGCCATGGTGGCGATCTGCGAGGCATGGTCCGGGATCCTCACCGGACACCCTCCGACCACCATGTAAGCGTCGCCTATGGTCTCCACCTTGAATATCATTATCGAGATTGAAGCGATATCCAAATTGCGGGTGGCAATTAATCGGATACATAAATTGAAAAAAAGTAAATCCCGATATTCTCGATATTCTTCATTTTTCCAATTTTTCCAAGCCTCGATGCATAGACCACTCTTCGAGGCCTCATCCCCTCGTTTCTCTCGGCACTGACCTTATACACCGTATAGGCGTTAATGGTGGCGTCGAAGCACGTGTAGAGGTCGTTCAATAAATCGACGACTTGGAAGGGGGTCGAGTAAGCCGAGATCGTGGTGAACCCGACGATGTCCGAGAAGTAGATGGTCACCTCGTTGAACTCTTCAGGGTCCACCGGCATCCCCAGCTTCAGCTTCTCCGCGACCGAGCTGGAAAATTCGTATCGTCTCGGTGAGAAAATAAGTTCACCTTTGGAGGATGATTTAGGGTGAAAAATGAAAGAAAAGTGACCCGAGGGCGTCTTCAGGGTCTGGTCGAGGAGCAAAACGAGCACGTAAACGATGTTTACCCGCTCTAGCTCCGTAAATTTGCTACGGTTAAAGGGTTAAATAAATGTATGCCTTGCCTGGGGAGCATGCGATTCAGAAGCTGCTCCGTCTTCCTCTTCTCCATGTCGAGCTGCTCCGTTCGTTGCCTGATCAGCTCTTCGAGGTTGTTGGAGTACTTCTCCAGGAGTTGGAACATCGTGTCGACGAAATTCACCTTCCTGGGGGAACGACGTGGGAGGGTATTAAAAAATTCCCAATCGTTTTCGAGGTGGAATTTCGCGGGAGGAAAATCTCTTCGGGTTCTTGTCCACCTCGGGGAGGAAGCGAAGGCGAAGGGGGAGAGGTTTAAAATAGCGCCCCAGGGCTCAGGGCATGTAAATCTCATACCTGACCTGGAAAACCTAATAAGAGCAGATCATACATTTGCCCTCGATGTCGGGCAGCGGGAAATTAATTGATTAATTAGAGGCGGGGGGATGGAATTATCCGGAAAGTCGATTCTGAAAGAGCCCTTTAAATCCCGATGTGTATATAATCCTATGAGACTTAAATAAATAAGGGACGGGTTATAATTTATTTCTTGAAGGGTGGAAAAATGCATTTCGGGAGATCGAGGCCAATCGCTTGTCGCCAGTCGGTCGGTCGGAATGGAACTCGATTATTTCGAGAAATAGCTTCCAGTTTCGTCCTAACTTCTAGCCCTTCCAGGGTCGTCCTGAAACTTGGCCGAACTTTGCGAAATACGACGGAGTTACGCGTTCCCTCCACGCTTGGGGAAAATTGGCGAATGCCGGTCCACGTCCATTAACGTTGGGCCAGGGCTCGGATCACTTTGGGAATTTATGTCGGCCTGCGAGGGCTGTTACCGGGTCTGCAGATTCGGATGATTGGGGGCCATTCGGGGGAAACGATCTAGGGGATTTAAATAAATTCCCCTAGCGAGAGCGGGAGTTGCCGGCGAGATTTAACAAGCCCTCCACTCCCTCGGAACTCCGCGACTCGAAATCCGCTTAATCCAACGACATAAAGAGAAACTCGGTGTGGTATTAAAGCCCAGACATATTGACGGGGCCCTTTCTCGATCTAACCGTGAGATTTCACCCTTTGGCCGCGAAAGACCTCCACTTTATATACATACACCACCGGGTCGTTTAAATAAAAAATTAATAAAATGCCTGAGGATGGAGATGAATTATTTCCAAAGTGCCGAGCTGGTTTTCGTCATTTTTTTTTTCTCAAGGGCTAGGTTGCCACTCGTTGGAAGAGGTGATTTCTATTTTTTTTTAAAGACTTTACCTCCCGTGGTTGAGCTTCTTGAAGAGGTCGTGGACCGCATTGAAGTCAGGCCTCATGTCGGCAGCCTCTGCCCAGCATTGTCTCATGATGTTGATGGCCTCGGGAGGAGCTGCTCCTTTGCTGACGGAGGGTCTGATGAGCGGAGGAGGCTTCTTCACCTTCTCGATTATGTCTGATGGACCGGAAGCCCGCGATATGCCGAGAAACGAGAGAAAATGGCATCGTTCAGAAGCTTTTTTAAAAAATTCGTGGTCTCTCGACGCGGCGACGAAAAATCTCCCCCGATGTCGGACCAATTTAGTCACCCGTTGAAAATCAATCCGAGATCGTGATAATTCCATTATCCTTTGGGAACCGCGCAATTAGAGGTCTAATCACCACTCTCATCGATTAGCGTTTAATCCGCCGAGGTCCTCGAGCTATGGTCCAGATTGCAGAAGGACGCTATTAATGGGAAGTTACCGTCATCCCCAAGGGCTCTTCGAGGTCCTCTTCAAGGAGCCTGCACCTCGAGTCTCGATACAAGTACTCCAGGAAATTGCAATTATCCTCCCTTGATAGGAATTTTTTTTTATTCAACTCTGCGTACGTCAATGCCTGATGCTAAGAGAAGTCAAGTTCCTCTTCAAGGTACAGACTACTCTATGGGAAGGATAGAATGAAATTTCACGTATACAAGAGTGGAGTGATTAGAAAGGTTAATTTCTGGCGAAGGAAGGGAATTTCCGGGGAACTTCGTTTCGGGTCTTCACGGATGAGCGTACTTTCCGGGGCACGTAAACGTACTCATCCTTGAGTCCGTTTTAGACGGGGCTAAGTTAACGTTCTTCAGAAGGAGAGCTCGAGAAATTCTAGGGAATGAAAGGGGTGGGATTAATGGGGCGAAGAGGGCGAGTCCAGCAAAGAGCAGAGACGGCGACAGGGAAAAAGGTCCTGGAACTTAGTTTTGACCATTAAGCTCGCGCACCGTCGCGAAGTGTCCTGGAAAGGGGTGAAACCTCCATTTTCGAGATGTACGTCCTGATACGTCGTATCGAGCTGAAACACGAGGAGCTAGTTAGGGACCGGACGGACAATGGCGGCCGGTCGTTAATTAAATTACCGGAGTGCGCCGGAGATAATAATTACGGGACGCTTCCGGACGCGCCAGAGCTCCTTAGAAATCGATATCCTGGGACATCGGCAGGATCTTGTTATACAAGGAAATCGTTATTTCCGGATGTGTCAATATTTTCCCAGGGTCCTGTATTATCGTTAATATGCTTTAAGACCCACGACGAAGGACGAAGAAAATTCCTGGCTATCGGGGGAAAATTGTTGAAATTTTCTCGAGGACCTCGCCAGCCTCGAGAGACTCTTCGGGCTCGTCGCAGCCTCGTTGATTCTTTGATTTTTATTTTTCGAGAGATATTCCCTGGGGGTCGGGAATTTTTTTATAGGACCTTTAGGGGGGGTCTCACCTTCCGGTGATAAGGCGAGCATGCAAAATGGCTCCCCTCGGACGACGACTTCCTGCATGACGATCCCGAAGCTGTACACGTCTCCGGGTTGGGTGCCTCGTTTTCGAAGGCCAGAGTGCCTCAACAATTCCGGAGCGGTCCACAACAAGTCTGAAACAGGGTTTAGCATTCGAAACTCAGGACGTCCTCTGCAGGAACTCGAACTCTCGAACGGGAACCACCGACGTGAATGATCAATCAACTCTTTGAACCGATAAAAAAGCCGGAATAGTAAAGAATATCCATAGAGGATGGAAAATGGCGTTAAGATGAAAATGTAAAAAAAAACGTTTAACCGCGGATAAATTATCCTGAAAATTTCAAGGCACTTCAGCTGGAATAATTGTACCGTCGTTTAAATTATTGACGAACGGACGAGCGAGCGGTGGAAACGCGTTGTTTAAATAATCGGCCCACCTCGCGTCGCATTTACGAGGTCGTGAAATTAACACGGGACCCCCCGCGAGGGCAGTTCCATCGGTCATTAAAATGACGCTGCATTAATCCGACACTTGGCATAATTACGGCAATCAGCGTAATCGGCGTCACGAGCGTCGCTCTAGGGGTTGAATTTACCGGTGAATTTTTTTCCGCGCTCTTCGGCGTCTGGTTTGAATTTTTTCGGATTTTTCTTCGAGTTCGAACCACTCACCTCTGGCGGTCTTTGCGGGGGGCACGATGTTCTGGGCCTCGTAAAAAGCTGGCAGTCCATAATCGGTGACTTTGAGGACCCACCTGGCGTCGATGACGCAGTTCCGCGAGGTCAGGTACCCATGGACCCTGATGGGCGTGCTGTGGAGGTACTTCATACCCTGAAGAAAGGAAGAGAGATCGTGAGAGGACTTATGTTCCTGGATTTCCTCCAGTTTCCCCGAGGCTTGCTTTTCCACCCTGAAGAGGGCTACGTGTCCGTTCTTACCCTGACGAGGTCCGTTAGGAGCGAGAGCCTGAAGGACCAGTCGAGCTTGATCTCGTCCTGGACCAGCACGTCCTCCAAGGACCCTCTCGAGCAGTACTCGAAGACCAGGCAGGGTTTCGCCGGCTCCGTCAGACACCCTATCAAAGGGTTCAGATTCTCATGCCGTAGGCCGTGGATCTGAAAATGGCGGAAAATTGACCCTCGCGATTCCGTTTCCGCCGCAATTCTTTATTTCTCGCAGAAAGTCCTCACCGTGACCAGCACGTCCATCGCCTTGCTCTTCAGCTCGAAGGTGCCCTGACAAGGGAGTTCCTTCAGCTGCACCAGGTCTCCCTGAAAATCAATATGATGAATGTGTGAAAATAGGTGAATGTAAAGTCAACGTACGTAATTCGGTTTTTTTTTTTTTTCCGTTTCCTTTCAATGTCGACACAGGGGAGGGAAACTCGACATCCAAAAATTTAGAGGAGTAAAAAATGGGCGAAATCCGTTTCCTCGTTCGATATTAAAGCCCCGACGTGTCGGAGATTCGCCCAGATCGGAAATTAATTCCCGGGTTTACCGGAAGTGCGACGCCTCGGTGCAGCGGGAATGCGCCTCGACGCCTTCTTGCGAGTGCAGCCGACGTTATTGCAGTCTGCGGGTTCATGGCCCGAACTTCCGGTGGTATACGCCAGGATACCCTCGGGGTGGCCAAATAGGACAAGCCAGGATTTATGGAAGGACACCCGAGAAAAATCCATCGCAACCTCCCGAGCAACCCTTAATGATATCCCCAACCACTTCCGCCTTCCCAAAATAGAATTCCTTGTCGCGTGACATTTATTTTTATTCATACGAATTATCCTAATTTTTAGGTCATTTCAGGATCGCAATGGGGGTGGAAAATAGAAGCAGGAAAGACTCGGTCTTGCAGGGTTCGCGAAGGCGTCAGAGATGGGACCTCGCAGGAAATGAATTTTCACCCCTTCAGGGTGCAACCTGAGCGCACTCGGCGTCGTTTCTCCTATATTTCAAGTAAATGCCCTCTCCGAGGAAATTGTTAGGTCGCGAGGATCCGCGAGATGAACTTCCGGATTTGATGATCCACCCACGGGGGGTGGCAGGGGTGCATAATCTTCGGGTTAACGTGGCGGGCCTAATTCGTTGTGCCACCTAATTTTACGGCTCGGCCAGCCGCGATTCCTCGTTATTTAGAGTTATAAAGTCCACCCTTTGCGAGAGGGAGGGTTAAGTCGAGACGGATCATCCCCTTGACCCCTTTCCTCGCCCCTAAGCGCCCGCCAACGAACAGAGCCTCGAATTCTCGCAAATTTCACAACTGCCACCTACTATCGATGTTTACATATTTTATAAATAAATTTTGCACGGCCGACGATCAGCGGATTAAATTGCCGGGAAGCAAATAGCGCGTAGCGGGTGAAATAGGTACACATAAACGGCCGTTGAAAAATTCATTTTCCGGAAGCGGAAGTTGGCCGCTCGAGGCGCGGAAGCGCGAGTGAAAATCATCGCGCGCGAGTTTATGATAAAATTTCGGACATGGCAGCCCTAGGGGTTTTCCCGGCGACCACTTTTTCCGTCGTTAGACCAGCCGATGCTCGGTTTTCAGAGGTTTTTCAAACCCATGCCGCGGCTGTTTGAACATTTTCAAATTTTTTAATTTTCCTCGCAATGACGTTAGTTCGGTTAGCAATGTCGGGAAATTGGTAACCGAAGGGGTACCGAAAGGATGGTTCTGAAAATTTCTAATTTGTTTTTTTTTTCGGACTAGCGATGGAAAATGCTCTTACTCACGTTGTACCTGGCCCGGGGGTCCCTCAGGATGGTGTGCCTGGCGAGACTTCCGGTGCTGGCCTGAAGATGTGGTCTCAGCGAGCCCACGCTACCCTGAAGAAGGTCTGGCTTCTCCACTTCCGGTCCCCCGAATTCCTGTAGCTGTTGCAGCCAGCAGCAGAGCATCGCCTCGATCCCCTCGTCGACCTTTTGCGGATAGAGAAAAGGGATTAACAACAATTTGACGGAAATGGAGATCGGAATCGGGGCTCCTCTTCAGGATGCAATTAGCTGGAGATCCTTGAGAGGAAGAAAAGGTTTTACCCTCCTCGAATCCGGCACCTGCGGGAAGACGAAGTCGGAGGCTGTCAGGATGATCTTGTAGGGACCCTTCGACATCCTCTTCTTCAACAGGTGCCTCCTGCAACGTTAACCCTCGACCTAGAACCGGGACGTCTTCCTCGGGGGGGCGACGTCCATTAATCTTTCGAGCCCGGGCTTGGTCCTCCTCGCTGCAGGACCTCCGAAAAATCGCGCGTTTCACGTTTCGTTTCCTCGTGGGAATTATTTCAAGAAGCGAGGAGGTCTATTCCAGGGCTCGATAGATCGATTCGATGGATCGGCACGATCGATTACCGAATCAGTGCAGCGATGACGAAGGTGACCAGGACGAAGAGCAAGGACCCCAGGATTATGGCTACGATATGTGCGGTCCGGAATGGCATTCCGGGAAGGTCCCTAGCTGCGAAGGCGGGAAATAATCCTCGTATAAATAATTAATAATTAATAATACTTAGAAATAAATTATATGCTCAAGCCGTCGAGATTCCCAAAAAATCCGGATTTCCGTAGGAGGGAATTTTTATTTTACGTCATCCTGTCGAATTTCTCACCAGGACACTCGGTCTCGTCCACGCAGAGGGTGTCGAAGATCTCGCGACCGGCCAGCAGGTTTCCAGCGAATTCCTTCAGGACGAGTTGATCCTCCACTTCCAGGACAGCGATGACCGGCCTCCAGGTTGATCCTCGCCAGTCCAAGAGAACATAAGTGAACATCTTGTTGTTGAAGGAGTTGAGGCTGGCGTTATCATTAGTCAGGACATCCACACATTCGGCTAGCCTATCTCTCGTGCTGGGCATGGAGATGCTCTCGGATCCGTTGTAGATCCTCCACACGTCGTACCTAGAGGAAGGAAAAAGGAAAAATAATAGAAAGTAGAAGAAACGAAGAATTAATTTCTGCGAGGCTTTGCCAGCATTAATATATAAATAATAATTAATAATCTATTTTTCAAAGGTCTTAAGTCTCCAGGACTCTTATCGAGTTTCGGGGGTGGCATGGAAGGGCTATTAGAGCTCGGTTCCGCGATTGTCACGTTTTCGGGGGCACGTAGACTCGACCCACCCTTTCTATGATATAACCGAGGTGTTAATTAAATCCGAAGTTACCCCCGGAAGTTAGCACGCACGTAAGACTTCCTCTCGCGGGCAGCTACGATCGGTAATCCGATAAACTTCGCCCGACAGCCTGTTGCCGCCCTGAATATTTCAGAGGGGTCCGGGCACGGCTTCCTGGGGCTCGATTTACCCCCGGGAACCGGACACCTCGGGACTCGTGTTTCGGGGGATGGAGAGTTGGCGCGAAATCGAAGCTTCTTTTCTCGGTTTGGCTAACCCGACGAGGGTTGGTAGAAAAATGTCAAATTTCGCCGATTCGGAAGAGGGAAAAAAATCCTGGGCCGCGTGAGATTGCTTATCCCCCGGGAAGGGAAAAAAATGCAACGAATCGTCAATTTTCATCCCCGATTTTTCTGGACTTTTAAAACTTTCTCCTAGACTTTTCCCACATTTTATCTTTCATCGTGGATCGGCAAATCCGGGGTTCATCTCCCTTGTTTCCGAGGGATGAAGTCGCTACTCCCCTTTTAATCCCCATTTTCGGTACCGGAAGACGGCGAGCCAGGAGTTTCGCGTCCAGGATAATGCGGGGGTTGTAAAAGGAGGAAGTAGAGAGGAAAAGGAAAAAGGACGAAGCAGAGTCTCGGGTTTAGTGCCGGGAAGCGCGAGGTCCGACCGAAACAGGACGATGGAGCACTCGGGGGTCCTTTAAATTTCGCCCCCGGGGCTCTGGGGGTGGCTTACTTTTAAAAAGTCTGCCCAGGGGTTACGACCTCGCCGAATCACGCTCTTGCACGAGGACGTGTCCACGAGATCGTGTTAAAACGCGCGTTAAATAGTAACCCGAAAGAGGCAATTTCGGGGGCGGTTATTCCGGCCGGATTTGCGGCCGGTCGTTGCGTTTTTCATGGTCGGCTCTTCCGGGTCCAGGATGCCCCAGGGCCCGAAATATGTCGACAGGACCCTGGATATCCACGTTCAGGATAATATCTGGTACCGCGAAAAGGAGGAATAGAAAATATAAAAAGCCCGGAATGCCGCAAAGAGCAGCCCGGCGACGTCCTGGAAACGGAGCGCCTCGAGTGTCCTTTAAATCGGGGCCGAAAATTTCGAGTCCTCAAGGACCCCCGAGAGCCCCTCTTCCGTTTCAAAATTAATCCGCACCAGCCCGACGTTTTTCAAAAAATAATTTCAAAGCAGTGACCGCATTTCCAGTCACCAGCCGAGGTCCTTTGCGAGGCGCTGTATCCAGTGTCCCAGGATTTCCTCAGAAATTGAGAGAACGGACCTCCCTTATTTTTTTCCTTCCCCGATCGATACCTCCTGTCGGATGAATCGCCGGATCTAATTCCTCCCCAGAAAAGACCCTCGAGACTCCTCTTCTCCAGGAGACGTCGAGGTGGTGCGGAATAATCCGGAGAGGGCACGAGGGGGAAAAGGGAAACGGGATATGCCGACTTCATCCAGGGAAATTCGAGGCGCAGCGCGGAAATAAAACGCGGGGAAGACCTCGAAGGGGTCGAGGAAGATGCCTTAAATCAAACCCCGAAGACTCCCTCGAAGAGTCGACAAAAATCGTGATTAATTAATAATTCCCATTTCTACCCTGAATCGAAGGATGTCGATGGGAGACCAATTGCCTTCTTCTAATGAGTGCACGCTAATGAGTATATAAAAAAAAAGAATTAGATTATTCGGTTACCTCTTCTCGAAGGGCACGATCGCCAGGAAGTTGTCGAGGGTGGTTTTGCTCAGGTTCCGCGGGGGTGAGAATTTCCAGGACACCTCCCTGTTCCCTAGGGATACGTCGATGGCGTTTCGCGTTGCATTCGGCCCGGATGGACCAGAAGAGTTCGAGATTGGGACCTCTTCGGCATTGGAAGACACGGAAACTTGACTTGGCAGGAAGAGATCCGGTCCATCGTGTTGCACAAGCACAATGGCGGAGGTTGGAGCCTGGGTTTCCTGGATTAGGTCCAGCTCGGACAGCACCATCCCGGAGAATTCGTCGTCCAGGGGCAAACAGAGGACGATGGCTGTGGGAATTTTCAAGAGATTAAGTCTCCAGCCTCCTAATGGACCACCTCTCCCCCTGTTCCCCTTTATTCCCCCCTATTAAGGCGACAAATCGCCTTAGCTCCCGCGAAGAATGGGTAAGCAGCCTCCAATTACGAGGAAATGAGTCACCAGGAAAATCTGCGGTGAATTAATCCTAGAGCTCCGTAAAGAAAATTTTTAATCAACGATAGCCGAATTCTATGGAATTATCGATATATTTTTGCAGGGCGCTCGTTTGGCTGATTTTTTAGAGGGGTCTGTTTTTCGCGGATTTTTTAGAATGGCGGGATGGCCTAGTCGCTCTTCAGGATCTGATCCTGCGACAGGAGCACAGGCGAATCGAATTATATCTCTGGCAGGAGTTTGCTTCCAAAGTGGTGCACGTCGTTCCCAGGAACGTCGGGCGGGATCGTCTGTAATTTAATTACGTCTTACGACGTCTCGAGGCGTTAACATTATCTCCTATCCCGGGATATTGGATAAATCGTGCGGTTTAATTAACTGCGGAGGACTGCTAAATCCTGCGGGGAATCGCGAGGATGCGAATATTAGTCGCGGCCACAAATCGCGGTTAACGTTGGCCCGCGTTTATTCCTCGTGTATTAATTATTACCCGTGTACGCGTGCACTCGGTCCCAACATGCGCTAAAAATTTTAAATTCCTAAAACACTGCCGATATTTCAAACGTACGCTCTAAGGACGATTTGAATTTAAAGACGCGTGCACTTGTAGAAAAATAATCCTCGGTGAATTTTTTTCTTCACTTTCAAGGGAACAAGGTGTTACATTTATTAATTAAAAATAAAAGAGAAAATAAATAAATAAATTCAGAGGTTATATCATTTTTAAAGAACTTTTCTTGAATGCAATCTCGAAGTAGACGAGGAACTAGGGGTTCCCTGATTTACAAGGGTGCAAGGTAATTGCCTGATTAAGGGACCACCCCTTGGAGGAGTCATCCAGGGTTCGATCTATCGCCGCGAATCTGGCGGCCTGGAAGGGGATGCTGTCGGGGGGGTACATGCCAGATTACAAATTGTAGTTTGACACCTCGAGTACCAACCTCTGCAGGGAATGGAGTTTAGCGATCTCAGGGATCCATGGATCTGCTTGGCAGTGCCTCGAAAGGGGACCACCGCGTGATGTCTCGGGATGATCCCGATTCCTCTCAGCGCTCCGACAACTGCACGGTCCAGGCTGGACCAGATCTCGTGATCTGAAAGTGGGAACGTAAATAAAAAAATATATCAGAGGAGGAGGGTTTGCAGGAGGGTTCTAGAAATTGCAGACAATTTCAATGTCTTTGAATTTTATGACGCCTTCGGCCCGAGGAAGAAGTCTCTCTGCCTTGCAGTACCGCCTTTTATATTACGGCGGGGAGGAAATTTAATTTGTGCAGAGACTCCCTTGTCGGGCTGCAGATTGCAAGGTGGAATTCTTCCCGGCTTTTTCTTCGAACTTGTAATTTGCAATATTTATTTAGAGCTGCAGATATATCTCGTAGGGAAAGAAGAACAAACAGAGAAGAATCGGTTTACCCGTGCTGATGATGGCGACCGACTTCCACCGGAAGTGCAGGAAAATCTCGGCCAGTGCCTGGGCCAAAACCGGAAATGCAGGGGAAAGTCTAACGATAGAAGACAGTTCCCTCTCCTCGACGGTCCTCTAAAACGAGAGCATAAAAAAATCACCTTAAAACTGTGAAATCCATAATTACCACCGATGCACTCCCGCTGTCAAAGTGCATCGCCGGTGCATAGTGGCAATTCGACTCCGGAAGCAAAAGAAAAATGACAGAAATGGAGAAAAGGGAAGAAAAAGAATTTCCAGACTATTTCGTAAGATCTACTCAGCCAGGAGAAATTGTGTCTACTTAGGGGTGGAAACCAGTCGAGGGGAAAAAATTCCGGGAAGGAGGGAGGACCTTCGTGAGGGATGATTTTCTTCGAGCCAGATTTGGGGAGGGAATCGAAACTCCGGAATGCCTCGAATCCTGGAATTCACTTCCTGGGGTGCAGGAAGAACTCTCTCCCATGGTTTTCCACCCCCTGAAGGGGCATAAAAAAAATCCATCTCAAAGAATTCCATCCCTTTCGCTCGGGCAGGAGTTCCAGAGGTCGCGCGTCCTCTTCTTCGGGAGGGAGAGAGCAAGAAAGTGGCGGGAAAAAGGGCATGGATCCGAGGGGAGGGATCTTCTCCACGAGGGGTGGAACTTTGTCACTGGCCGACCGGAAGGATTCGAAAATAAAATAGAACGCTTCGATCGCGAGGGGTCGAGGGTCGTTCCGACGCGGCCTCTCCCTCCGGCCTTTCCGCGGCGAGCCTCGAAATAACATTCTATAACGAGAGGGTAGATCCACCCCGGACTCCGTTATTTATGACCTTTCCGTGCCGTTTCGCACCCCTCCGCCACTTGTGTCTTAATGGAACGCTCGTGAACGAGAGCATCCCCTGAAAAGTGCCGGTGACTCCGCCCCGGCCCGCCGCCATAAAACATCCCTTTTCTTCGACACCCCCCGAGCTACCCCCGATCAATTTAATATCGTTAGATTCCTCGTGGAAACCCGGGTCGAAAGTCCCTCTTAGAAAAAATTCGAGCCTCCCCTCGTTCTCCAGATATTCGGCCTTGAATTCGGTCCCCCCCTGACTCCTTCCAAAAAAACAAAATATATGAACATGGTAGAAATTAACGGAGTCAAGGAAAAAATCCCTAGAAATTTCCAGACAATTTCTTCTGGTCTCCCATATGATTTTTGGTATTTTCCTCTGTTTCCTTCGGTCGTGTCATGTTTTAGGGACGAAAAATGGGGAATCGCGCCATCCTCAGGAATGACGTTCAGCACGTTAAAGAGCTCTGAGCGTTAATCGATGTGCGCGCGTTTAAACCATTAACGGGGGACTAACGAGGGGCGAATTCGCTTAAAATTTCCCTCGTTAAATCCGCGGCCTGGCGAAATTTCTCCCCGACGGAAAATCACAATTCGAGGGAATATCGAGGAACTCCCTCGAATTAAACATTCGTCCTCGATCCTGCGACTCTTCGTCCCGGGGATCCGGATCCTGGATAACCCCTTCCATTTCCCATTTCCTCCCACCTCCCGTTTTTGCGGTCGACCACGAGGGATGGAGGAGTTTTCAGGGGTGGTTCTTGCAGCTGGAACGTTTACTGGTGCCCGAGTTTCGAAAATAACGAGGGCAAAAATCGTGGGGCAATGCTTCAGGACGTTGATGCATGGGACGCGTTTAACATATCACGGGCGATAACGAGGGATGATTTTCCCGGAAACTTCGCTCGTTAATCCCTCTCCACGCGGCTCTACATAGATATATCCGTAGCCATAGGAATGTCAAAATAATCCAGAAACCCCTAAAATTTCGATCCACGGTCCCCATGAATTTCCTCCCTTTCGGTATCTCCGAGATAAAAATCAAACCGCGCTGATAACGCGATTTTTCAACAGCCTGGAAAATTACTTCTCTTCGAGTTCCTTTTCGCTAGAGGAATTTTTTACCCGCTTTGTCCTTGTTTCGCGGTGGAAATGGCCTGATTACGCGGAGCGAAATTACCGGCGGGTGCTTATCGTGAAAAATTCTGGAGCGATAACGCGTCGCGATCTCTCCAGGGGGTGCGGCACAAAAGTTGGTAGAAATCCATTTAAATGGAAATAAAGTACTTGAATATGCTCGGTGGCTCACGGGGTGTCTCCCTTATTCCCATTCCTCGTTGCGCCATTTATGCACAAAGGTATGCACGTATGCACTTGCCTTATGTGCACCTGCAACCGACGAATATGTACCGCACGTGCAAACCCTCCGAGCGATCGCTTCCCCCCAAGTTCCACGTTATTCGGTCGGCATTAATATAAAAGCATCGCGGCATAAATTTCCCTGCGTTTTCCCTGCGTCGATGTGCATCGATGCAACGGATGCAACCGTGTCCCAGATCGGTGGAAAGCCCCTGGGAATTTATAAGCGCGAGAAAAATTAATCTTACATTTACTTTTAATACAAATTCCAGGGGTATTCGCTAGTTATCGAATTTCGCGCCTGAAGATGCGGATCGCAGGGGGTGGTTTTCCGGGGATGGAAAATCCGTGAGACATCAAGCAGGGTAAGGAATGGTTTAGGTGAAAATGGAGATTACGAGGGATACTTTCCTCCCTCAGGAGGATCCGCGAGTGCACTACACATTGCACATGGATGCACACCCCCGCGAGGGACACTGATCCACCCCTTACACGGAAAGGCGCAGAATCCCCGTCCGAGATTAACTTGGAAACTTTTGCTCGACAACAACCGAACTGGGTCGGCTCCGAATGGACGAGGACTTGTTAAGGACACTCTTTACGGTCGTACTTGACGAATTCCGCGATAAATAAAATAATATATCCCTGAATAAAATTATAAAATGAATTTCGGGCTCCCTGAATAGGGATGAAAAATGGGAAAATTAAAGACGTCCGTATCGGATGGGGTCGGGCCAATCAGGCCCGAGACGACTCCACCCCGGAGGGAACCGCGCCTCATCGCCAGTAATGACCGTTCGACAAACTCGAAATTGAATTCCTCCCGGTGAAAATAAATCCCCCTCCCAGCCGGAATCGCAATCAGGGGGCGATCGGTTCATTAGGGGCGGAAAAGGCTTCGCTTTCCGGGGAAATTGCCGAGCCGGGATATTTTCGCGCCCTCGTTACGGGATAATTGCTCCAAGGAACAACAGGTACTCGAGAGCTAGGTGATACTCAATAGGAGATCCACAAGTGGATTCTGGAAGTCCAGGTGAACCCGAAACTCCGAGGCCAGGTATCTCCCCGATTTTATTCCCACTTTTTCCGTAGAGTTCCGACGACGAATGGGACTTTTGCGAGATACGTATCGCGCGGCCTACATTTTTTTCGACAAAAAGGAAAAATTGTATGACCGAGCAAGCGGATCGCGGAGAGCCTATCAGGCTTTCTCCGGATAAGCCAGTGTCGACTTATTATCGGAATCCGGGACATTGGTTTTCGAAATGCTCCCCTAGCGAGGGAAAGGGGAGAGAAACCGATTCCACGGGAGAATAAAATGTCCCCTGCCGAGGCTGATGTTTCCTTACGGGTCTCGGCGAGGAGGAAACATCTCGCGTTTCCGGACAAATAGTGAATCGATCCGGAGACATCGGACGGAAGAAACGCGGCGAGCATCTATTCTTCCTCCCCTCCTTCTTCCCCTTTTGCAGTACCGCGAGAAACTCCTTAAATGACTGCAACCCCTTAAAAAATGCCCCTTCGAAATCCCCCACTAATTTGAAAATCAAAAATTCTCTCCTGACGTTTCTTCTATAAAACGAGATACGACCTACGGAAAAATATCGCGACAATTCGAGAGAGTGGGAATTCCGGCCACCTATATATTTTTTATAATTAACGCGGATGGAATCTGCGACCTTTCTCGATATTTTCCAGTTTTTTTATCGAGATTCATCGAGAGGAAGGAATCGAGGTGGCCCCTCGACGGGAGGCGTCATCAAATCACGAGGATTAGTCGAGGGTGGAGGGTGGTTTCTCGCAGGGTCTCGAAGGGTGGAAAACTCGTAACATTCGTAATGCCGTCAAAATCCGAGAGAGTAGGGGGGCAGTTTTCGAAGGACCAAGGACTTTACGAGGTCCTTGGGTGTATAAGACGCGGAAGCCGGAGCCTCCCCGCACTCTCGCGGATTACATCCGGCCCACGTGCGGAATTGACGTTTTTATTTTTTCCTTTTCGGGGTGTTTCGGGAGAGAAAAATATGGAATGAAATTTTTGCCCTCCTCGAGGACTCACCAGGGGACAGGTCCAAGTGATGAGCAACTTGTCCCAGAGGTGGGCGAGTCTCCCAGCGACGTCGCAGATGCTGCTGTCCAGGGTGGCGATCATCGTCGTGGTGGTGGCCTGGCCGAGGATCTGCACCAGGGCCCCTAGACCCTGAGACCTGGTCTCGCAGGTCACTGCAAATAGAATGCACCTAAATATCGCATGCAACGTGGCATTTGAATTTCTTTATCCGGTCTTTCCTCTGGAAAAAAAAAAAAGATAGAATTTATTTACAGATCTCAAATTTTGTCTCCCAGGTCCAAATTGTAATTTGTAAAAAACTATGAAATTGAGGGTGAAAATCGAGAAGTACACGAAAATTCGTCAAGTCCCCCCAATGAAGCATTTAAGCTGGGCATAAGTCGATCGATGCAGCTCCGGCCGGTGGTGTACGCACTTGCAGTACATGCATCGATGCAGTCCTGATGCAAGTGCACGTGAATCCTCGGATAGGCTTGGCCGACCTTCCACGGGAGTAATCCAGATAAGTATAGCACGATGCAAGAGAGCAGGGTGCCTGTAAGAGGGTTAATAATAAAAAATGCAGGGGGAAAATGCAGGTTCGCGCGTTGCAGGGCCCATAAAGGCCGCCCCGGACAGCAAAGTAACCCTGCGAGTTGAAAGTTTCACCAATCGCCTGGCCTAATGTCAGTCTAAATAAAAGTGGTCAGAGGAAAGCTGTAAAAGAAAAAAAGAAGAAGAAAAATAATGGAGGTGAAAAATAGATCACCTCGTCCCGATGCATCGCGGGGGCAAAAAAACGACCCCTCGGGATGCACATGACGAATTGGGTCCATGAAGTTAAACTGACGTATAATTATTTCGCTTTTATATCTTCTTTTGTAAATTCTCCCTGGATTAGGGTCGACGGGGCTACTTTTCCGCCCCGTTGTCTCTGCCAATCAAGCCCGACGATCCGAGTCGTTTGCAGATGCGATCTGTCGGGAGGGTGGAAACATCCCTTCGAGCTCCCAAGCCTCGTTAGGGTACACGTGGGTGGAATAACGCAATGTCGCACGTTGGGAGGCTTAATTCGCACGCACACTTGCGTCCCCAGATCGCGAATTACGGGTCTCGTAAATAAATGGAGACGTAAGAGGAGGGTGGATGAAAAATCGACAGGGGTGCATCCCGAGAGGGTCTGAAAAATCCTCGGAGTCCTCTGCGACGGCAGGTCCTCTTGGACAAATTTAGAGAAAGTCCTTTGGGGAGAACTTTTGACAAGACCGGGGTTGGTCTCTCAGGGGTGGCCCCGGATCCCTCAAGGGACCATTTTATGGCCTCCTCGATAACGCTCGTGATAAGGAATTTTCGTCGGTATCGCTTTTCAACTTTTCCCAGCTCCACCCCCGCCTAGGCACCCCTCTGATTTATCTCGGTTATTACAAGGCTGCCCGAGCAGGGAATTCAATAACACTTTGGACCGATCCCTCGGGATCCCTAAAATCGGCGCCACCCCGGATCTTCCCTCAAAGTCCGGAATTCCGAGTAGATCCCCCATAAGGGAAGAAAAAGAAAATAAATTAACCGCGCCGACTTCCTGAATTAATTTCAATATAATTTTAATAAAATCGTGATTATAATTCCTGCAAACGTAATAACCCCCTGACGGGGGATGCCCTTAAGGATGAATTATGGTAGGCGATATTGCATGCAAAAGCATATTAATAAAAACCCTCGAAGGGAAAATCGTTCGCCGGGCTCGCGGATTATAAATCATTCGCCAGGGATGTATCGCGGAATTAATCTCACGACTTCACTTAAAAATCTTCACAAACGTCTTTCGGAGATGCCCTAGAATTCCCGCAATCGTGTTTACGTCGACCCAGGTTCTCGTAAATGCACTTTGCACACGTGGGCTGCGCGCGATGCGAAATGTCAACCGCAACGCGCTGCATAAATATATACGCGAGAATTTGTCCCGGAGGTATCGCGTAATTCCGCATGCGGAAATGTCCCCAGGTCCCGAGAAGGGGATTGGAAAGGGAGGAACGCAAAATGCAATTTTTACGTCAATAAACTGCACCCGACAAACTGGAATACCGCGGATTGATTTCCTGCGCCGAAGGGGGTGGAAAACGTTTTTCCGTTTAATTCTCGCACCGGTGTATATATATTTTTTTTGACACTATTCTAGAGATGAGTACTCCATATTTCGTTATCGAGAGGGGTCTACCCTCTTGGTCCGTTTTCCACCCTGCACCTGCAATTGCACACGCACGTGCGTGCGTCACGGTGCTCTACATTCCGCGAAGAGTATCGGTGCACCCCGAAGCCTTGACCACAAATATGGGAGGGTGCATACGCGTATTGTCGCACATAGATTCGTATATACGAGTATATACGTCATAACCGCGGAGTGAAATTGTCCGATCGCGTATCCTGGGGGTGGAGGGGAGACCTTATGCAGAAGTTGCAAAGTGCAAGGGGGTGGCTTGTTATCAGGGGGTCGGAGTGCAGGGAATACGAAGCGAGGAGTCTCGTAAAGGGATGCTGCGAAAATGGCGAGTGTCTATTGGCACCTTGCATAGGGTACGGACATATGTACGTATCGTGTACGTATGTACGTATACAGAAACAGGAATACCAGAATTTCCTGGAAATTGAAAACGAAGAGCCGAAAGGGGAGGACAAACGGGATTTTTATCACCCTGGGGAGGCGACAAGAAACAGAAACTCACTCCCGGGTACCTCGGTCCACGAAGTGGACGCGGGGGAGGAAACTTCCTCCCGGAAGTTGGGAAATTCCTAGGCGGCAGCTGGTTATCAAAGAGTCGCGGCCGTGCGGAATACGAGATGAGCGGAAGTGTGGGGATTATCGCGGAAAATGGCGGAAAAGGGGGAAAGGGGGATCTTGGACAGATTTTTCCCCCACGTCAGGGGCGACTTCCAAAGTTAATAATTACTTCGGGAATGAAGAATGTGCCCGGACAAAGGCATTCGACCCCTTTTGTTCCCGATCGCAAGAGTTCCCCAGGGATGGAGAAATCCTTTCAAAGGGGGCGGAGGAAAGTCTGCTTTTTGGCATTCCACGAAAATGTTCGACATTTTCCGAATTTTCCCGAAAATTTATAACCCCGAAGAAAAGTTTGGCAAGAATTTCATGACCGGATGCGCTCCTGGCGGCGGGAGGGAAATTACCGACTTTACGCGTGTATACGTGCATTATACATATACACGTATATGTCGCACCCCAGTGGGCACTTTCGCAGAGGCAATAAATTTTCAAAGCTCTGTATGTCCCATTAATGCCTATTATCATTTTCCCCGAGCTCCGTAGCCTTCGTTCGCGATTACGAAAGTTTCCCCCGAGTTCGAGAAAGCCTCCCTCCCTCCCTCCTCGCCTTATCAATTTCCGGGGTACTTGTTCCTCTTGCAAGGGAAAATAGTAAAAAATGAGGGCAAGACATTACGCCGTTAAGAATGTTCCCAAAGTTTCGTGGCATTTAAGTATGGAAAGTTTGGCTTAAAATTGCAGATTTTACGTGAGGGTTTACATTAATGTCACGTGGCCTCTCATTGGGGACTTGTTAGCCAAAATGCCTCGTTTGCAGCTTTCAGAACAATAATGAAAGTAGTAAATGCAGCTGTAACAATGTCGTCTAATGCAACGCGTCGTTACGTTTCCGAAGGACCTCGCGTCCACCTGCAAGCTGCACTTCGCGTGCACCTCTCGGTGCATCTACGGAAATCCACTCGTAAACTGCAATTAGGGGAGCAATTAAGTCGAAGCCCTAAGGTAAGCCGAAGGACGAGCATTACGGAAGACACCACGAGGGCTTACGAGTCCGTTAAAACTGCATTCGGACCAGATGCATCTTCGCGTGAAAAAGAAATTATGGATTCCATAAAATAATGAGAAAAAAATTAATTCGATGGATTTAAAAATTAATTTCAGGGAAAATTAAAAGGTGAAATTTAGAGATGGATTCTTAGAGATATTCCAAATCCTGGGAGCTCGATTATTCCTTCTTTCGGCCTTATGATAGCGCCTTTTCCGCCAAGTTCTCGCGTCACTTTCCGGCGCTTTTCACGCGTCTTACGAATAGCCTGCGAGGCGGAAATTGAATCGACCTGTAGAACGGGAAACGCGGATCCGCTCGTATAAATTTCCCTCCCGAGCTAAGGGGATGCAAAGTGAAACTACTCCCGCAGTCCGGCTCCCCCTCGTCAAGGATAATGTCGAGCAAAGAGACCTCGCTTGTGGTGCATCCGTTGCACTCTTGTTGGCCCCCTCGCCGAATCTCGGAAAAATTCATTACACCATTAACGGTGGCAAAAAGAAATATGTAGAGAAAATTCGCCAATTTATAGTCAATCTATGTCACTAGTGATATATTTCTAGTGGGATTTTCCGCGATCTTCGGACACTCCGGCGCATCTCGAGTGTCGGGTTTATGTCGGGAAAGCTTCAGGAGGGATGCAGAAGCACGGATGCTTCGATACACGACGTTTCCGCGGTTATCGTGGCGGAATGGGCGCGGACGTTCCGCGTTCCGCGACGCTTTTCCGCGCCAGGGGATAAAGGGGGAGGGAAAGAGAGGAGGAACAGGCAAGAAAGCTCCGAAAAAGCGAAAACGGAGACGAGGAGGGTATCGAGCGGTGCATTAGCCGTCCCCTCTCCTCTTGTGCTCTCTCTCCTTATTGCGACGCTCTTTGTCTCTGGTCCATCCAGCCACTCCCGAGATGTCTGCTGACAATAAATGCAACAAAGCTCGAAACGGAGCCGTGCAAGTCCATCGAGCCGGATTTCCAGTCGAAGGAGATCAAAAAGAGCGAGATAAAAATTTACCCCCCCGAGATCCCCCGCGAATTTGCATAACCGATGAGGCGAGTGAAATAGCGAAGCGTGATTCTGATTTATCGGGGGATTTATTCCAGGAATTTCGTCGCCATTTTTCAGAAAGGCCAGGAATTCCCGAAGATCCAAACAGGACGTCCAGGACGAAATGTCGATACCGGCGACGACGTGCATCGGGATGCGCTTTCACTTGTCATCAGCCTCCGATGGTGCACCCCTTGAATATTTAATTACCCCTCGATTTAACCCCGAAGAGGCCAACCATGATGCTCGCCTGAGCGTGCAACATTCGGACGGAACGTTCGTTAACGCATCGACGAGTCCTTCGAGGACAAAAAGGACCTTGGTCGATGGAAACGAGACGAACTCGGGTGGAGTCTCTTCAGAGTCTCGATTTTCCCGGCTCGAGGGAACGGAAAGTGAAATGTAACACGTATGGACGGGGGTGGTTTTCTATCGAGATGGCCAATTTCGTCCAGGACCTCCGTTGGAATTTTTTCCAGCGAAAAAAATCCACCGAAAGGTCGCGCCGAAAAAGTTTTTCGACCAGTTCATCCCCGCGCCAGAATATGCATGAGTTTTCTTTCAGGTCCGCAATGACGGGCAGCGTTCCAATTTCGGAAAATCGATTCGCGGGAGGGAGGAAAAAATGAAGGGGGGGATAAAAAAGAAAAATCATAGGAGGGTGGCTCCATTTCATCCATCCCGCAGGAAGAGGGACTGCCCGATCCGGTCGCGAAGCGCCCGCAAAAATGCCCGCCCATCCCATCGAATTATGCAAATTAGCCTCTGAAGGGAATCCCACGGTGGATTTTCCGCGGCAAATTGGACGAACCAATCGGGAAGTGAATGCAGATCATTTGCCAATCGCGCCTCTTGATTGGGAGGAAGTTCGATTATTATGCTGAACAGGAAATCACGCACTCCAATCAAGAGAACTGTTCTACGAGCTTTAAAGAGAAAAATTAATTAGCAGCAAAATAATTCCTCATTCTCCTCCTCGGTAGGTTTGAGAAGTTCCCAGGACAATGATTAACGTTCGAGAGGATCATCCCTTTGAGGGAAATATTTTTTTTTCTATTTTTAAGCACACTTACTCGATTTCGGGAGCACCTTCACGGAGACCGCGGTGCTGTATCGCGAGATGAACTCCTGAATTTCGGCGCGATCCTCGCTTCTGCTGCACTGGTCTCTCAGGAAGACCAGGACCTCTGATCCTGGCCGGAAATGTCGGTTATCCTTGACGGAAGAAAAGGACCAGTCGGCCGCGGTCGAGAGAAGCAGTCCACTTGTGGTCACGACCAAGAGCCACCACCAGCGCTGGTGCAACCAGCTCCGGGCCATGGGCCCCACCGAGGACACCACCACTGCCTGGAAAACCCCCATAGAATTGGTCCAACAATCGCCATAATCAACCTCGATTATTTCTATGGAATATTTGTCAAAAAAGAAAAATTTGAATAAAATTGATAACACTTTTAGGAGTTTTTCAGCTCACCTGCGGCACGCTAGCGAGGCCCCAGCTACCAGCCGAGGAGGAGACCTTCACCTCAGAACGCCGTCGAGACGCCTCTTCCTCATGGTGGCGACTTCCGGTCCAGCCAGGGTGACATCCGGTGGCCTCGACGCATCCGCGATTTTTTCATGCGCGAGGCGACTCGGCCCCGAGAATGGATATCCCTTATCTCGAGTTTTATCGACTACCCTACCGAGATATGAACTCCTCTTCCGAGTTCTACATCGTGGTCGGCGGAGAAGGCCTCGACCTCACCTGCGCCGTGCTATCAGGTGCGCCCCCCGCAGACTCTCGCGACCCTCGACCTGAAACACCCGAGAAAAAGGCTCTTAATTTTTCTAATTACCCCGGAATATGGAATCATACCGCAGAAACTCGTTACCGAGTCGCTGGTGACCGGGGAATAACGATTCGATCGGATCCGGGGAGTTTGATGAGTCCGGAGATCACCGAGGGGACGTTACGACCGATGCAGCTGCAACTGCAGGTGCATCTCGGCAGTATCATAGATACGAGGACTCGTTAGTGGGAAACTCGTTAGCGAGAACCTGACAAAAGTCGAGTCCCCGGGTGCCATGGTGGTCATTATTTTACTCAGAGTCAAATCGCCATAGTTCCGAAGAAACGTCGCGTCCTATTTCTTCGAGTTCATTTGGATACGATTTTTTGGCCGAATGAGATTTTTCCTTTTGAGGGTAGAAATCCCATTAATTTCCCTCGAGTTCGGAAATACTTCCCTTGGCGAGTTTTGGCCCTGTTCGGCTCATGGTAATAAACGGTACTAAGAGGAAGAGCAAATAGGAGCCCATGGGATCCGATGCCGTTGCCGATTGCTGGTACAGGAGGGACACTTCCCCGCCCACGTTGTTTACCGGGGATTTTTTTCCCAAGGGGTGGATTACGCGATCCTGCACGTGGGGATCCCAGGACGAGGTGGTCTTATGTCCTACGAGCGGCCCGGAAACGGAAGGGGCCGGATTTAGTGGACGGCGATCGCCATAGCCCCGTAATCGATGGCCAACCCCTGGCCCCGTAACTGAATCATCCCGCCACCCCAAGGGTGGCGTTTATCAAGGGCTCTCCCGACGGTCCTGACGGCGAGCATTAGCGAGATTTCGCTAACGGAGGAGGGATTTATTAAGCACCCTCTGCGGTCACCCTGGGTACACACCTGACAGGTGAACCTTGGCTACTCTTGGTGCTAAATTATTCCCGTAAACCCCCCGTCCTCGATCCGGCCAAAGGAAGCTCTACTCGCAGGATTGGAAAATTCTAAGTCCTGATTAATAATCAGGGAACGTCGTAATTATTAAAATTAATTTCTGGGATTTTTACAAAGGGGGGGAATTTATTTGGCACCCTTTGCCACTGCCGCCGGTAGAAAATTCCGAATCTTGATTAACAATCCAGGAAAATATTAATCAACGGGGTGGAATTGCTTGAACGGTGTCCTTTCCTCCTTTCAGCTCCCCAGGATACGGTCGCGAGTACCGACTCCGGCGTACCGGGTTTAATAAGACCGCGATCGCGGTAATTTCAGGAAACCACGGCCCCGTCAAAGGGGAAACTCCCCAAAGGGGAAAAGCAGGAAAGGAGGAAATTGAATGCGCGAGTCGGGAATGCATGCACATAATCTGGAGCTTTCATTCGCGTCGAGGTTTTCGCGTCATCGACGCCGAGGTTTCCTCTGTCGGCTTTGATCCTTTGTCTAGGAGGTCCTTTAAGTGGCCCTGCCGACTTCCGAGTCCCTTACTTCCTGTTTACCGAGCCCGAAAAATCACGGATTCCCGGGGAAAAGGGAGGGTGCAACCCCACGTCATCCTGGATGCATTGCTCGGGATGGAAAAGAAAACAGGACGATCACTTTCGAGGGCGGTAAACAAGATATTTCATAGAAAAACCAAGAAAAAGGGTGGAGTGAATTCACGAAAAATAGACACAGAGCAAACATGAACGGTGATAAAAATATGAAATACCGCGAGACTGGGTAAAAAGAATTATTGATTATTTTTTGGGGGTAGGGCTACCCCTGAGGCTCTTAAAGGACGAGGTGAAGGCTCTTAAAGGACGACTCGAGGCGATAATTAATGACAAAATATTGCCATCAATTAAGGGTCCACTTTCCCCGAAGTTTCCGAATTTTTTGCTCCGTGGGTCGCCTCGGGGGTGTGAAAGTGGCTCTCCGAGGGGGAAAAATTGGAAAGAAAAAAGGAAAGGAAGGGAGTCTCCGCTCATTTCATCCTTAGTGCTTGCCATTATCCTGGAAGGACTCTTGGAGGCTGGAAAATGAGATTTTCGTCAAAGCGAAGTCTTATGGGAGAAGTTGTCATTGAGTTATCATCTCGCGCGGCAGGAGTTCTGTTATTAAACGATCATTTCAGGGAATTTCTGCGAATTTCTGTGAATTTCTGTGAATTTCGGGGATCGAGGACTAAACTGGAGCGAACAAACGGAAAGTTTTCCCTCGACAAACACCCGAGAGACTCGGGGGATCGGAACGAGCGAAGCGTCGATCGGCTCTTGGAGGAATGATCCTCCCCTAGAAACTACCCCCGTTTCTCGAGCCACCCCCTCCACCAAGAGGAACACCTCTCAGGAGCAGGGAAGCTTCATCTCGCGAAGTGATATCCCAATATTTGCCCGGAGGAACATTTCCCTTACGACTTCTCGATCACAAAGCTCGGTGTGCCGCACCCTCGCCGATTGCCGACCCAAGGGCGGATTTCTCAGGCTGGGGAATTAATCATCCTGGAAAAGTAAATTCCGCAAGTCTCTCCAGGTCCTCCAGGACCCCCAAAAAATTATCCCAAGGCCTGACCTCTTTGATTCTTTCTTTCCTCCCCAAAAGGAAGTTCCAAGGCTACCCCTTAAGGCTCGTGTCCACGTGCAAGTAACTTGCGACATTTCTTGTCAGACAGTTTTTTTCCATAATGTACGCGGTTTTGCAAGTGAGCTTGCGCAAATTTATTGAGAGCGTATCCGCAGCTTTACTTTCGACAGAATTTTTCTTTTACTACCCATGGCACGTACTAATCGCACGGCACGTAAGGGCGCAATTACCGCAACTACCCCGATAGGGAGGGAGATAACTCGTTTCGAGTGTAACGAGGAGCAAAGTTTCGCGACAGGGTTCGAGCACGATCAAGCCTTGCGAGTTTTTAGAGGAAAAACCTCGTTACCGGGAACAATTGAAGCAATTTCGATTTCGGGAACAATTGCGCGCGCGATATTTCGCGTTATGAAAAAGGAGGAAAGGGGGAAAAAAAAGAAACGTGGCAAACGCGAGGGGAATTTGTTCGGCAATTTTCCGGGAGTTTTTACGTCCGAATTCCCGAGGGACGTGCGCCGGGATTTTTTTTTTATCCCGAAAAAAGACGCCCTGAAAAAACGCGCATAACCGGATTAACCTCGGTAATTAGCAAGAGGGGACCTCGTCTACTTTAGGATTAAGTTACAGTCAAGTACCTTTAAGCCGGGGGTATTTAGACACCCTGAGAGCAGCGGGCCCTCCCTCGACTCCGTTCCACCCCTAGAGCTATGTCCTCGACTTTCCTCCCTCCGACCTCTTTTTCTCCCTGGGAACCACCTGTCTTCCGATATGAAAGGAGCAATTACGCAGCCTGCGCGGCTGGCAGATGCAGATGCTTAATCTCGTTTACCCTGCAAAGACGTAGTTTGACTCCCTCGAGTCGCCGGAACTCCGAAAATCGCGAACTGCATAAAAACATCCTGATAGGAGTGGCACAAAAAATTACCCAACATTTATAGGGTAGTTTTTATTTCAATAAATTCCCTCCGAATGCCGTACAATTTTTCGGGGAAAAATGGTTTCCCAAGTTCGGGTTAAAAAATTAATTAACCGATCAATTTCTACTTTATTAATGTACTCAATTTTCTTACGTTCAATTCATTGAGAGATAATTTTCACGGTTTTCGGGGCAGTCCCGGGAAATCGAGCGGCGGAACAGCTGCGGATCAATGGGCACCGATTGAATTATTGTATCATCATCAGCTGATCGAGTATCGATGCAGTTACTCCTCTCGCGTGTTTGGCTTACGTTGCATCAGCCTCGAGTTGCATCGAAAGCCGTTTCGCGTTATTTATGACCGACTATATTCCGTTCCCCGAATAAAGCAACAAGCGAAGATCGAGGATAGATATCGAGCTTACCGAAACGCCGAATGCGAAATCGATTCCGCTATCGAGCTTAGGAAACACCGAATGCACCCTGCACTTCGACATTGAGAACCGATCAGCGAGTCTCGAGTGCATTTACTGCCCATTGCGTTATTCCCATTCCTCGCAGATTTTTCGCAAGATTTACCCTCTTCCCTACATGCCATTTATCTCGTTCAAATTCCGCGGCAAAAAAAGAATTATAAATAAAACGAATACACATAAATTCTGCATTTTGCTATTTTAGTCTATTCGTGGGATTGCATTTTTTTTTTACAGTTGCAATTTTTCTTTAGAGAGGGAACGCGCGGGTAGAATTTTCTCCGAATATTTCGGGTTTCTGGAAATTCAGAGGTCGGGGTGGAATTGAAATTCGAGGCCGGAAGCGTGTCAAAGGCCTCTTTGCACAAATCCACGCGTGAATCTGACCGGAAATTGCACGTTTCAATTGGCAAAACGTCAAGATGTCTGGTGGTCGTTAATGAGAACGCTCAGCTCCGTTTCCAGTTTAATTGAGTCCCACGCGGGTTAAGCCTCGTCACTGTATAATGGTCGCCGCTAACAGAGCTAATGCAAGTCGATATTGAAATTGCACCCGGAGTTGGAATTGAAAGGAAATCGAGGAGCCTTGCATCTCTGTTAAGATCAAGGGTTAAAGCACCCAATCACGCGGAAATCGTCGTTATCTCGACA